ACAACAGACTACTGCATGGCTTGTACATATTCCATTAAGCATATCTTGCTTTGATATAAACAGACAACTTCAAGTAAAAAACACTCTTTTAAAGTTTTTGTTGTAAACATTCAATTCTAGTGACCACAAATAACGAATTCAATTCATGAAGGAATACGGTTGGATTCACCAAATACACGAGTGAATCGTGACAGCTCTAATAATCAGATACCATTATGTTGCAAATATACAGAAGTCCGGTGAAAATAACCTTAACATGTGTATAATTATATTTGTGGAAAGGACATCGTTGCTTTTACTAGCACTTTCATTATGTTTTCATGCATCTGTGCCATGCATAACCACTTGCCATGTTCTTATCACGGAGCCATATTAATATCCTATATTTGTCCAAAGTGGGCGTTTTGGTACAATAAATTTCTTGATTCTTGATTCTATATCTATTGACATGTTGTGAAAAACATCTGAGCATGGTAATAGAAACATACATCAGGGTTTGAAATGTCTTGTATTAAAATTTAAGTGCCATTGGTGTGGAGAAAATGATAATGGAAAGGTTAAAGTAATCTCCCGGTGCCTAAAGTACACACTTAGAAATCATATTCTTTAAAATGGGACAATCTTCAGTCAGTGAAATAAGGGAGAAATGTACTTCACACAAATAAACTGGACAAACGCAAGAAAATTAACATAATGCACAGATTTTTCTGGTTGGCGAACTTAAATTCTAAAAGGCACAACTGGACTTCTTTATCAGTGCCCAGTTGCCATCTTGAAACAAACTATATTTCTAAGCCTGCAGAATTCATTAATACCAATCAGGGCATAATCACACCATATATATATATCTGACCCCCATGGGGATTTCGGGTTAGAATAAGTTTCCTGCAACCTTTGTTGGTCGTTACTTTAGGAGACTTTACGGATTGGTCAGGCTTGCTGACCTTGTTGAATGCACATTGGTGTGAATCGTTATACAATCACTGGTTCGTCTGGTCTAGATTTGATTATTTACCGGCTACAGTCATATACATCTTCCAGGCTATTCCAGTAACACCCCACAATTAATATGCAATTCTGGTATCATGTGATCTTTTGTCCTAAACGACTATGCCTTTTATAGACAGTAGGGCTGGGACGAGTCCAAATTTACTTCCCGGGTACCCTCCACCCTATTTCCCGACCCTACCCGGGTACCCGTTGTAGATATTTAGAGATAGGTACAAAATGTCCGATTTGGAAAAGTTGACCGTAGCCCTGGCAAAATGTATTTATACGTGTGTAAAACGATCTGGTCACGCATACACTGAAGTTTACTGCATGAAGTTTTATCTTTATTTGAACATATAAAAGTCAGAAGGAATGGGTGCATTGTCAGAAAGAAATGGGAACATTAGTGACTTATAGTGTAACCATAGAGTTTTAGATAACTTTTGTCATTCAACAATATATCACATGACTAACCACGGGTCCGGGTAGTCCTGTGGGTACCAGTACCAGATTTACCCATCCCAGCCCTAATAGACAGTGCATCTACCCATAGCATGGTGTATAGTGTAAACTTTTAGTAATGGACACAGAAATTAGTGAAAGTGATGCTTGAGGAAAAGCTGACATTAAACCTGAATAAACCTCAAATCACCTCAAAGTATTGTAACAACATCGTCGCTCATTTTATGACATTTTACAACCAATATCGCAGAAGTGCATTTTTCTTAACATAGATAAATAATGTTTTCTGTGCACTCCTCTCTAGGGATGCAGTAATTTTTGGGGAAAAGAAGATTTCAAGTACTCAAAACCACATTGTATCGCTTTGGCTATCGTTTTACAAAAACGCTTTTTGGTCAATGAAAATGTTAAATTTGCGATAACACATCACTAGACATGACTTACATTTTCAGTTGTATTTAATGTATGTTAGGCACTGTTTTAAAGGCAGACATTAAGATTACTGTACGTATTTGTTTCAGAAACTAAGCAGTAATCAGCTATTACACACAATTTCTCTCAGATCTACTGGTGATTCAGTTAAAAATACCCAATAATATAAGTATTTGATGCAATCAAAGGAAGAAACTGTATCTAAAACAACTATTTTACAAGGAATAATATACTCCAATATCCTTCATTTTAGTTGAAGCGTTTACTTTATATATTTAAACCAAAAATAACAAGTGTCTTTAGTACAGCTGATTGTTATTGATCGATATCTTTTTAATACATGGGGAACAGTGTGACCAGTCAATCTGCTGATCAGTTCACACAAAATTTCATTGAAATTAATGTAATGAATGAAATTTGGAATACATTTAATAAAATAGATTACAAAAGTAAGTCCAGACATACAATGAACACATTGTTTTGTTACATACTTGTTGACATGTTATTTCCTGGTGTTATGTGCTCACGGTAGACCGAGATGTCTTTGTATTAGGGAAAATAAATCATAACATGAAAACTCAATGTATTATGTGAACTCTCTCTACACGGCTGTATTTTGTGGCAAAAAAAGTACATACTGTACTCAAGAAAATATGGTATGTCCTCAACCATAGTCTGAAACTAGACTGATATTTTATCACCAAAAGGTTTTTCTTACATCAAAAGTAGGCCATCAGAAGGCATCTGTTTATGTGTAGAAAAGATCAATTCAAATATTCCCCAAATTTGTTTTTTTGTATGTTTGTTTATTGCTTACCACACACTCAACAATATTGTAGCTATATGATGAGGACCTGTATTTAAAATTGAATCTGGACCAGATAATCCAGTGATGAATATTGTGAGCAACGATCCCTGCTGTCTGAGTATGATGACACTCAATCAACCGAGTCACCGATTCTGACCTCTCAAAAACCATTTGGTCGCCTCTTACGGCCATTGTATGTTGCTGGCGAATAAGTCTAACACAAAATCACAACAGGGATTTGAGACTCATCTATACAGCTAGTCTCAACAAGAAATATTTAACGGTTTTGGAGTTCTGCTCCAGAAAAATGGAAACACTGATCACCTACAATCCGTGAGCACTGATCACCTGTAATTACTCTAATATGGTCAACACTGATAACCTACAAGTACAGAGCATTATCAACACTCATCACCTGCAATTAGAAAGCACTGATCACCCACAATTAGTCAGTATACTCGGACCCCATGGTACCGCGGCATTCATCGTATCGCGGCATTTGTGATTTCAGGTAGTTCACGCGGGACACGCCTCTTAGCGGCTGTCTATTAATGCTAATCAGTAACCAGGAAGTGCTCACTTCGTAAACAATTTCAATTTCCTCGGAATGTGAAATTTTGCTGTAAGTAAGGAGTTATTAATCCGTTGATACATATTTCTGGCATCTGTTGTAATATTGCCTTACCCCCATCTATCAATGGCCAACGATATAACCCGCAGTTCCCCAAGTAAACTTTCTCTATCGACCTGAACTAGATCATCTGCATATTCATGACGACTAATGAGGTAACAGAAGTTACGTAGTCGGCACATTTTTTCCCGCTCTGTGCCCAGAATCTATTGGGAGATCATAAGGGCCATAATGCCAAACTTAGAAATACGTTCTTCACTAGTAACCAAAAGATAAATACATACTTTGGGCATACTAGGAGTGCTTTTTATATATTTATTGTTGACTTTTAACATTTTTCCATTTTGTGACAAATTATTGTCATCCAATTTTGTTTAAACAATCTTAAAATATCATTTCTGATATTTTGATGTTGACTTATAAAAATATTTTTCTCTTACTTTTTGGTAAATATGCATTGAATACCTCTTGCTGATAACACATTTAGAATTTTACTTGTGCTGTCTTTGCACTTGTCTGGACAAATCACTGATGTCTGGCATGATCATACCAAGTGGTTGGTAGAATTATGTCCTCTTTTTGTCCAATTTGGATCTCCATACACAACTTTTCTCTGTACCGCGATACAATGGAGTTCTCTCCCTTGTCAAACTGAGCGCGAGGCCCGGCTTTTACTCGGAGCTACTGATGTAAATAATGAACTTTTATAAGTAAAATATGCATTGTTTGATAACATGAATGATATTTGATACAGAGAACACGAATAAACATAAAGGTTAGTGAGTGCATTTTGTTCCGTTTAGCGTACATGACAAGTACCGCGATACCCCGAGGTTGCAGGCTACTGTCAACACTGATCACCTGCAATTAGTCACTACTGTCAACACTGATCACCTGCAATTAGTACTGTCAACACTGATCACCTGCTATCAGTCAGCACTGTCAACATGACAACAGCCCTTGTGATGTCAACAAAATTAGCATAAGTTCATTTGGAATCGTATCTAGTATATGTATGTAGATCTAGGCCTATAGCTCTCTGTAGCTGCCTGTCCTTTCTGGTGGATTAGTAAATCTGTAACATGACATAACTAGAAAGGCTAGGATTACAAATGCCCCGGCCATGACATGTAACACCGGTTTCGTGATTTCATTAAATGAGCTCAGGTGTGTGTTCATGTCGATTTTATGTGTGTCCTCATTGTGCAAGGTTTGCTTTGGAAAGGGTCTGAAAGTAATATTAACCCACTTCATCAGTGGTTTGACAGGCGATGTTCATCAGAATCTTGCAAAAAATAAATGAACATTTACCTGACAATTTCCTGTTTGGTAATTCGCGACTGAGTACATGACATTAGAAACTTCTACTTTAAAATCTGGTGGATAAACCGGCTCCAATTTGTACATGCCGGTCCACTGCTTATTCGTCGTGGTGGCCATGCTGATGCAAAAGGAAGTTTATAATGTGAAGTCACACGTTTTCTCGTTCCTTAGTATGAATAAGATACACAAATACTGCTTCTATTTTACACAAACATCAATTATATAAGGGAGGTAACTGATTTACTGGAATAACATAACAACAGGTGCCCGGCCGACGCACCTCATAGAACGCGTGTTTTTATTGGATAATTCGTTATCCCATTGACCACGAAATTAATTATTGTTCTACTATGCAGGTTTTCAATATATGGTCGCCTATATTTGACCGACGCTGTATTTCGATTTTAGAAAGATTAAACCATCTTAAACCTGGTGAAATGCAGCGCAAACAGGAAACAATCGCTGCACAGGAAAATTTGATAGCCAATGAAATCGTTTCTTTCAAACGCTTGTTCGACTTTTGTCATCTTGATTTTCAGATGCGAATTTTGAAGTAATCGGCAAAGTAACAGGTTCATTTTGATAAATCTGTGCATATTAGGGAAAGTTACAATTTGAAAAATAAGACAGTTCATATTTTTTCTTGAATTAGGCTCTTATATTTGCAGTTAGCGCAAAAATTCACTTTAGAGCTCCATTTGATAGGCCATGACAGTCACGTGACCATCGTTTGGAAAATGGCGGCTTCCAAAAATTTTCAACATGGACACTGAATATACCGAACGATGTTGGGGTACAACATATAATCCATGTGTCATAGGGTTTGTAACAGTTCTGGGTCTCTAAAACATCGGGATTGAGCACCCATGGCGACCCGATCACGGCGCATGAGGGGCCGTCCTCCAAAGACCCCTTTGTCAAGTAATCGCACAAATTTTCTACGAAAACCGAAAGCTTTTACAACTTCGAGTGACCCAAACTCACGATCAAGCACACCTGTCAGTGGGCCTTACTTTGGTATACCCAATTCCAGAGGCAATGGCAGGTCTGACAGGGGAAGAGGCAGGGATTCTACAGTCAAAAGCAGAAGTTTCATCAGTAGTTTCTTGGGAGATGATGATGAATTATCGTCAACAGTGGATATAGTAGATGCAGACCGAAGCAGTGACATTACTGACCTGGATACTATCGATCTTGAAAACAATGATACTGATGACACCTATGAGGGTTCTGACAGCGATTTCAGCGAAGAGAGTATCAGCACCATTAGTAGTTCAGTCAGCAAGAGAAGATTATTTTCAAGAAGACCCAAGAGTCCAGATATACCAGATGACAAGGAAATACCTCCTCTTACTCTACCAACGAGTTCTACTGATTTAATCTTATCCTCGGAATACCTGTGTCAAACTGTTGGAATCTATGAAGTCCTTAGACATTTCAGAACTATACTAAGGTTGTCCCCTTTCACTTTTGAAGACTACTGTGCTGCTTTATTGAGCGATGAGCAGTGCACACTGATTGGAGAGATTCATATATGCCTGTTGAAGGCGCTAATGAGAGAGGAAGAAAGCAATAGCACTGTGTTCGGACCTCATGATTTGAAAGATAGTATAAATGTATCACTGTTCTTCATCGATGGAATGACATGGTCTGAATTAGCCAGAGCATATTTGGACAGTGATCGTCATGATGAATACCGTTCCGCTCTCCCACCTTTGGAGTCATGTGATTTTCCATTTGTTCCAATATGTGACAAGTTAAAAGTACTTCAGACCCTAACGGATCTGTTCCTTGCAACAAATAAAGTTCGAGAAGAGATTACAAATGAAGGCAATATTCAGTATGATGATCATTGTAGAAACTGCCACAAGTAAGCATCTTTTGTGTTATAACATTTGACAGTAATTTTTTGTATAGTCATATCTTTAATAGAATAGCACAAGTCAATCATGATTATCTTTGCTCTCTCTCACATTGACAATTTTAAGTGTAAGGAAAGATCTGTAAGTGATACACAAAAATATTACCTATGAAACATGTTTGGTGCTAATGAAAACTGAATTTTGATAGTTATATTTGCAATTCAATGTTTATATGAGTAATGTGTTGGTAACACAAAGCTAGATGGTGATCTAACTTCATTTTTACTTGCCATCTGTCTCCCTTGCAAATATGTAAACAACTACATATTTTACTATTTTTCTTTCACAGTTTAAATATGTTGAACTTAGAACAAACGAAATCGCCAATATCTGTTCGTCAAAGTCTTGACACAATTTCTTTTCTTTATTACATTTATGAAACATTCCTTCGTTTCATTTATGTGTACTAGCTACAACTTTGCAAGGGAAGTCATTCACTTAATGATATGCCAACTAATCGTTTCTGTCACTTCCAAACTATTAGATAAATATGACATTTTCAGGGTTAGAAATTATTTTTTGTTTTCACTAGTTTGCAAAATGATGTGAAAGTGCTGCCATCTACCTAATAGTAAACGTGGTAGCAAATGTCACTGGTCTTTCCTGAGTTTTGCTCGCCTCAGGCGAGTGGACTTCTGGTAATGTTATTACTGTGGAATAGCAGATTTGTTTCTAGAGCCATTGCTCATTTTTTTGTAATTGATGCTGTTTCCTTTCAGATTGGGTGATTTGCTGTGTTGTGAGACATGTTCCGCCGTGTATCACCTGGCATGTGTAGACCCGCCCCTTATAGAGGTTCCTGATGATGACTGGCTCTGCAATGTTTGCCGAGCTCACCAGGTACTAGAAATGTGAAATCTCTTTCCATCCTCACCAGCGTTCAAAATGAAGAGGGGTCCTTGAGAGTTGCTTGTATAGTATTTGAATCTAGTGACCCCTAAATTGTTACCTTTTATCATCAGGGCTATGAAAAGGACCCCTTGACTTTCATGCTTAATTTTGAATACTGCTCACTATTTCTGCTAATATGTGAAAAGGTTCAAATAAGAATAGATATTAAGTTTTATTCTTCTATTAGATAGATGACATAAATCTTGATATTGCGTGCCCAAGGGATGCAACTCTGCACAGTGAATTGCGGCACCTTGGTGACTGTGCCACCCATGCTTCCCACCCACTAAAGTACTGTAGTGCAAATGCATGGTTATGGACCCAATAGCAACTAAATCACTGTCACATTTGCTATTTATTTTTCAAACCTAATAATACCCTGCAGTTAGATTCCGCACAGACTCTCTTACAAAACAAAGTAATTCATGAAGCCTGTTCAGAAATCGTAAATGCAGGTTAAAACATATGCTACTGATGAGCTATGACGGCTCATGGGTTTGACCAATCTCATTAAAATCAGATCTTAGTTCTCGCTACCGCTATTTGTTTATCGGTAGCAAGAACTAAGATCTGATTTTAATGAGATTGGGGTTTGACCGAAGTGGTAAACGTCTGAGACCTGCATCACTTCGGGCTTTCCTCCCACATTAAGCTGACACGCAGCGATATAACTGTAATACTGTTAAAAGCGGCGTTAAACCCAACTCACTCACTCAAAATTTGGAGATAACTCGGACTCCTCAAGAAATACTTTGCGATACAACTGAAATACTGTTCAAAGTGGTGTTAAACCCTACGCATACACTCGCCCTTCATTAGGGTAGACTGGCTATCACAAAATTGACCATGATCCGTCGTACCATAGGTGGGTGGTATTACTGGTATATCGGTGAATTGAGGTTAATTCCATCCATGATATGTATCACAATATCATCTTTTCATGCTCAAATGTTTCAAGTGATTTCAAATAGTGACTTTTGTCATGTATCGTCATAATCATACCTCCCCAGCCCCTGTGCATGCATTTATTGAATGAGTAAATATAATGTTGTACAACATGTACAAGGATCTTGTTTTGTTCTATTTATGAACTTCAATTCATATATAGATATTTCAGATAACTTCTGAATACAAAATTAAGAATTATACAATATATCGTGATACATATCTTAATATATCCTTTTGTATCGCAAAATATTGTGATACATGTTAAACATTTGTATACCTATTCCTGTTGTACTATTCCTAGAATTACCAGTGTTTTGAAAGTATTAGTCCAGCGTTAGAAACTAGCACTAGTCCTGTAGTCCTTGCCAAACTGGCCAATAGTTAAGGTATCATACATTGTCATAAGGATGAGTAGAAATTTGCCATTTTTAAGGGTCTTGCTATATGTTATCATTATAAGGACCAGTGGACTAAATATGTTAGTTTCCATCCCTGTTAGTGCATATTGTCTGACATTTATTGAGATTACTATTATTTAGACCTTAATGTTTCTTTATTATTTTCTCTGTTTAGGTTAAAGGTGTAACTGACTGCATATCTGAGGCAGAAAAAAGTGGCCTCCTTTGTCGACAAGAACCGATAGGGTTTGATAGGCATGGGAGAAAGTACTGGTTTCTCGTCAGAAGACTCATTGTGTAAGTATTATGGTTTTTTTCATACTTTGTAATTGTTGAGAATGGCTTTATCACACTCGTCGTATTAGCATGAGAATCAATCTTACATGACTGAAAAAGTCCACTGAACTAGTTAAGTTTCATGAAACAATTTGTGACTCTACAATGTTTGCATTGTTTGTTTTTTACGTGATGTTTTCTTGTCAAGAGTATGAATACTGATAACTATTTCAGTGAAGGGGAGAATGAAGTCTGGTACTACAGCACCAAGGCCCAGATTGATGAGCTGCTCGAGGCCATGGACGGACGGGACTGGGAGCGAGACCTCGTGTCCACTCTTCATGAGATGCGGGATGATATCAGCAAACAGATGACCATTACAGATGAGCTCACAAACACTGCCAGGGGGAACAAGAAATCAACCTTAGAGGTGGAAACAAGTAAGTAACTTCATTGGATCTTATACAGCTTCCAGGGATGTATCTAGACCTGCTCAGAGGCCCCAAGTCTGCAGCAAATGACAGTTAAAATTCCCCATTCAAAGTAAAAATTCCGAAATCCTCAGAATTCATGAAAAATCAGTAAAAAAAGAATCAAATTTGTTCCCCTATTTGACTGCCAAGGGCACTTAGTTTTGATCCTGGATAACTCCTGAGCTTTATTTTTCAATGTAATAATAACATATGATGTTTGGTGCAGTGCCCAGTTAGAAAACATTTATTGTTGATACTTAGTTGCATATTTGATTTTAGTTCTCTTTCACTAATCATTTGCTAATTACATGCAAATTTCAGTGGACATTAGAGCTCTAGATAAGCTTTTGGTTATTTGGGTATTTTACCCATGGGTTTCATTTTGATTGGGTATCCACAATTTTTAAAGGGTATTCAATTTTTGTTTTACCCACCTGTTTCTTGACATTTTGGTATTTTAGTTAAATGCTTGAAATCTATATACTTGGTGTGCCTTCCAAAGCCCAGACGCTGGTAAGAAAAGAAACTAGTTTTCTTTTCCTGACAAGGGCAACAACAACGTGTTTCATTGTCTTGACAACAAAATGTCAGCCAAGGATATTTATGTTTCCATTCTATTGTCTATTGTCTTTTTGCACACACGGTTACCATCATGATTTTTCTATGCATTAGAGTTAGTGACAGATGAGATAACTTCACTCAAATTATCACCCACAACGCACTCTGACAAACAACACTCTTCATCAAGAATACCTCTACCTAACTTATCGTTGGGATAAGAACTCTTTCCAGCTTGAAATTTTGTTTTGACCCGTCAGTGACTGCTTTTAACGACCTCTCCAGGAAGCCATTTTGTGTGCAAAACCTAGTATTGCAAGAAAGACGCGTGGTCATTTGACGCTATGTTTAGAAGCACCAATCAGTAACTTTTTAAGATATATTGCTAGGCACTATGTCTAACGGTATAATTAAGTTTGTTTGTCGCACATGTTTTGCCGAATGTAACGATCTGTAAATGAATTTTGCGATCGTCTGATACGCAATCGTTTATGTAACCGTTGTAATATATGTGCTTGTTTTATTTCAATAGCTAGTATTTATAGTTTTTGTTGCGAATTTGGTATGCTGGGGATTTGATTTTTCTGTGCATTTCCGTTTATTTAATGCATATTTTTAAGCAAATACGCAGCTATCTAGAGCTCTGGAACATGACTATATTTTGGAATTGTCCTTTGTAAAGTTCTGACAACTAGCAACTAGGGACAAGTTACTACTTTCCCAGCCTGGTGTGCTAGACTTGGCAATCAAGTAGAATATTGCAGTTTTGTTTTAGGTGGACAAAAAAATTCTCTTTCATTAAAATCAAATTTCACAGCATTATGTCTGAGAGAGAACCTGGTAATTTATCAGTTCATCCACCTGTAATCTTTGGTCTGGGTTTTATGGAGCAGTGGGTTAGCTCAGTGGTTAAGGCGTTCGCTCCTCACACCGAAGGCCCAGGTTCGATTCCCCACATTGGTACAATGTGTGAAAATCACTCTCATTCTTGCCCACAACTTTTTCACATATATTTTTTAAGACCCATGGAAAATGATAGCGAAAGGACACAGTTTTTGAGTCATCAAATGACCCTCTGAATCCTTGTTTCAGGTCAGCTGACCAAGCTTCAGTCAGAGCGAGCACTGAAGAAGGCCCAGGAGGAAGTGGAGAAGAAAGCCAAGGAGGAGGAAGAGAAGCGGAAGGAAGAAGAGAAGAAATATGAAGCAGCAAACAAGATTGAGAATGATGAGCAACTTCCTGGAGACAAGGATAGGATTAATCCAGTTATGGTGTGTAGAGTTGTCTCACCTAGTCTGACACTAGTCCGTTAGTCAGGACCGCCTCTGCGGAATATTGCTGAGTGCGGCATTAAACAACAAACAAACAAACAAACAAATCCGTGGTCTCGTGGTAGAGCGCCAGCCAGGAGAGCGGAAGGTCCAGGGTTCGATTAACAGCCGCGTCACAACGAAAGACGTTAAACGGTGGTACTTGTTACCCTGTCTGGCGCTTGGCATTAAGAGGCTAAAAGAAGGACTGGTCGGCTTGGAGTCCATATACTGTGTCTGAGTGGGGTATTCATGTTAAGCTGCGGTATGGTATCTCAGTGGGCTAGCACTGTAAATCAACATCAGTCAAGACTATTACAAGCGTGCTTGCACACATGCATGCACGTTGCTATAGAAATGCGACGCGACATTAAACCCAATTTCACCTTCAAAGTCTAGAGGGATGAACACAGATACTGTTGTTCAGTATAATGTGTCTTGTTGACTGTCTTCCCATTTTGTACAAGTAGTCACTATGTTTGTCGTAAGAGGAGACTAACCTAACGGGATCTGGTGGTCAGGCTCGCTGACTTTGTTGATGCAGGTCATCATATCCCAATTGCGTGGATCGATGCTCATGATGTCAGTCACTGGATTGTCTGGTCCAGACTCGATTATTTGTAGACTGTCGTCATACAGCTGGAATATTGCTGAGTGCAGGTTAAACAACAAACAAACAAAACAAGTAGCCAACACCACAAATCACACAAGGCTGAGGTCTTTGTATAAGAGAGAGTACACTGAATCAAAGTATCAGACAAATTCCGTTTCAAAAGTATCTTCAAATATCATATCAGGGATTTACCAGGGTTGTTTATTTTGGGGGTCCAGGGGACTCAAAACCTTTAATTGTTAGTGTCCCATGTTGAAAAATGGGGGTCCCAGAGAAATGTGAAAACATGAATACAGTACTCTACCACATGTGATGTGATGGCACATACTCAGAGGCCATTAGTTAAAAACAAAAATGAGTCCCCCCATCTGCAATAAACTTCCTAGCAGCTCAGCGGTAGAAACTAACAGTTTCAGTCCACTAGTCCTTATAATGAAAGCATATAGCAGAACCTTTAAAAATGTCAAAATTCATCTAGTCCTTAGGATACCTTTACTATTGGGCAGTTTGGCAAGGACTATAGGACTAGTGCCAATTTCTAACCCTGTAGCTCTAAAACTAAAAGATCATGAAGCATTCAACTTTGTATTGTATTTCTTCAAATGATTACATATGGAAAATGATTATACCAACTTATGAAATAACAAAATTTGTTCCTAACCATGCATACAAATTTTTTGTGTTGCAATGGATGCACACTGTGGTTTACTGGTGTCCGTTTTCAGTACTTATGCATATTGGATGCAGGATTTGGGGCCTTTTAAATCCCGGGTGTATGTTAACGCCGCACTCTGCAATAATCCAACAATATGAAGAATTGGCCTGGACATAATCGAGTCCGGACCCGACATTTCAGTGATTGACAACATGAGTATCATTGTGGTATTGGGGTACGGTGGCATGGAATCAATTTGTTACTGAGCCTGACCACCCAATCCATTTGGATGCCCATTATGATTAGCATAGGAATCCTGCCAAGTATAGTGTATCAAGAGGTGTACCAATGCAGGGGGAAACTGTTGTAAGTCTATGTCAGGCCTAAAAGTTGCCACTAAAACAGTCGCCAATTCGACCTAAATTTCAATTTGTCTACTGTCTAAGATTCAGAGATACCTTGAATAATATCTTGTGGCAACTAAATTCTATTGGTTCACATTTGAAGACACAAAAATATATAATAGCTGATTGTGGAAAACATGTCTGCTAGTAATTGTACTTGCGTATAATTCCGCCCAAAGTCGACAATGAACAGAAATACATAAATATTAATGTAAGTGGTATTTCATTTCAGTTGACAATGCTCATTGGATAAGCAAGGATATACCTAAATAATCTAGTAGCATAAAATTGCATCATTGTTTGAGTCACAAATAACAAAAATCAAGTACAGTTTCCACTAACATACAATTTCAAGACCAGTGCTATGACTTGTACATTTTATAATAGTTATTTGATAAAAGATAATTTAAAATGCTTTTGGCTATCTACAATATTGGGTTGACTTCTTGATTTTACCACTGACTACCTGGAAAATAATGCTTGTAGCCACATGGCTACTTGGTAAAAATTTAATTTACTTTGAGGCCTGTATGTTAAGGTATCGGAGTTACGATCACCTTAGCGCTAAGATCACTTTGTACATAGGCACCCAGATGCGTATCATACAGCTGAGATAATCAAACCAGCTGTTTGTCAGACACTGACTAATGGAAGAGCAGTTGGTTTCTTTTGCTGTAGTAACTATTGTCCATGTACTTTATCTTTTGTTTGTGAATAAATCAATTCCTGATTGACACACATTTCAGGAGAAGACGGAAGTTACAACAGCAGCAGCCACCACAACTACCACTACATCCACCTCAGCCACTTCTGTCCGTGGTGTGAGTCCTGATGGGGCCACCACAACAACACAACAGGTGACGGAGACGACGGAGACGACCACCATCAAGTCCACTACCTTCACCGTGTCATCAACAGGGCTCAAACCAACGGATACTGAAGACAAGGAAGAGAAGATGGATACCTCAGAATCCGTGAATCAAACCATCAACAGCAGCTCAACTCCAGCGGAAGACAAGTCTGGGACTGAGCAGCCCATGTCTGACCCTGCGGGAGGGGCGTCTGAAAGCAAGTCGGAGACGGAGAGTGAAAAGTCCACCAATAACCCCTCCATAGTTAGCCTTCAGTCAGTTTTCCCCAATGCCAAGACAAGTTTGTTAAAGTCATTGGACGAGAAGACTGCAGATGGAAGCCCTCAGACTAAGACTGTTCTAGTGGTAAACCGCGAGGGAGGGAAAGTTACCTTGTCAGTTGCAACACAGCCACTAGCTGATGGGGCTAAAGATCAGTCTCTTGTGTTGGGGCAGAAAACTACCACCACGACCTCCACCACCAGCACCGTGTCAGGTATGTGCACTGCAGCCCGATCTGGGTATCACCAGAGATCTCGGGATACGATATGTATCATGATAGGGACTGACGATACCACAATACACTACAACAAATAGGAAGAAATAATGCAATCACTGAAATACAACTCTGAAACCACTTGATGTCTTCCGTCATGTGTTGACATGATTGTCGTGTGAGACATGACTGTTTGACACTATCCGCATACATCCTATTGTTAAAAGACTTTTAAAACCCAAAATTGGCCCCAACTATTACCACTAAATCTTTGTGTTTAGCCGCACTCACAGGTGGAGCTATGCTACTTCCGTCGTTATGGGAGGTAACTCCATCAGTCCTGTTCTATTTATTCTGTATAGCGATCTTACAAACTGACAATTTGAGTTTCGTCTGTACCTAAGTATCAATGTCATTGTGGGTATTGGTGAATCGTTAAGCCCTAAATAACTGGAGCCATATTTTGATGGTGGTGTACATGGTATATAGCCATCTTCCCGAGGCAAGAGAGTTAACTGACTTTAAAAGTCCTGTTTCCACCCTTGCCGAACTAGGCTGGAATTCCTGGGCTCGATCGTAGCGCCACCAGTGGCTATTACGAGTTATGTCCTTTCTATGCCTCTCCTATTGACCAATCAGATTCAACATCTCGTATCACTTGCATTTGCTTCAAACAAAACGGTGGTGCCCAGTCAAGACGATCTGATTGATAATGAAGGTCTATATTGTGATAAAACGAGTCTTACATCGCGAAGTGCATCAAATCACGTCAGCACCTTTATTAAAAGCATGAAAAGATTTAGAAAATATCTTTTGACAACGAGTTAGCGGTGCACATGCTTTGCAAATCCTGCAGTTGACCGAAATCTGCAAGACACTTTACGAACCGGATTTCAATTTCAGTGCGCGATTTTGATTGGACTATGCATAGACTCGTTAGTCCAGCCAAAATGTAACTCCATAATACCAGCCTAGTTCGGCAAGGGTGGAAACTGGACTTTTACAGTCAGTTAACTCACTTGCTTCGGGAAGATGGGTATATAGCTGAAACATTGTCGATGCAACAGCATGTTTTAAGTTACGGAAATATGACTGAAAATGACCTTGGTAAAATAGTAATGATGTTCACTAACTTATATACCTTACCTTTTTATAAGACTTCTTGAACATAAAATTGACAAACCGATATGGCCTACTTCACTAGTAGGTGGCACGGGTGGCCCTGTCGTCTAAGGCACCGCGATTCGCTGTGCAGAGTTGCATCCCTTGGGCACGCGAGACACCTATGATTGTGGGTTTGAATCCTAGTTTGCCTGTTTATGTTTCTACGTTTGTCCACACCATACCCGTGCTTATGGGTTTCACCGAAGTGGTAAACGTCAGAGACTTGCATTTGGGCTTTCCTCCCACATTAAGCTGACACGCTGTGATATAACTGTAATAGTGTTAAAAGCGGCGTAAAACCCAACTCACTCACTCATTACTTCATTAGTATTTAATCCTGGCCTGCTCTGGTAAAATTGTCAAGATTAAAATGAACACAAAAGATTTCCTTGTGTTTCTTTATTGCTGATTGATTGGTTCAATGTGCCAAGCCCATTTCTAGTGTCCCCCCTCCCCAGGGTATAAAACCCTACTCCCTGTAAGGTTGTAATGGTCATAGGGTAGACAAATCTTTCTTCTATAACGGATCAAACTCCCTTTGAAATTTGTATTTTGTTTCATTGTCATTTGTCATATTTTTGTTTTGTTTCAATTGATTTCAGCTCTAGAAACACGGAAAATTCTGACCCGCTCCAAAACTGGTTCTTTGACCCCCAAACAGTTTACCGATTCTGTGACCTCAACCACGTCCTCATTCAAGAGCAGTGGGAAAACCTCAGCGGATGATGTTCTAGTCATAAACCGAGACGGGGAGATAACACGAGTCACTCGAAGCAAGAGTTCAATCATGGCGTCTTCTGCAACAGTCTCTCAGTATTTCAGACTTGGTACGTTCCAGTCATTGTGAAGAGTGCTTTAGATAAGGCCATGGATAGTTAAAGAAATGTTTCTCATTATCATACAGGTCAATGCAAGTATACAGTTAGAACTTCTTTTCTCAATTCATATCTTTGGGGTTGTTTTGGGTTTTGTATAGTGAAAATAGTTGTATTATTTAATTGTATGGCAATATAATTGGGAGAGAAAAAAATCGTTTTGGCCTGGTCATTATGTAAAAAAGCTTGGATTTTTTGGTGTCTCTTTTTTTCTAAAGCATGGTCCAGGCGTAAAGTGTGTCTTGATAAAATGGTATGAAAAATACATGAACATGTTATCAGGATGAACTGAAAATGCCTGTTGTTCTCACATATGCATTGGCCCCATCAAAATAAGAGTTTTTTCTGGCTGGAGGAATTGTTTCCAGCATTATTTGGTTGACTAAAGTGTCACATTTACTTCAGCAGGTTTCATGCCTTTCATGTGTTAGTATGTAAGCAGCAGATTGTATCACACAGTACTTTCCCACACGATGCTGTCATGCATCTGAGATGCCAGTGCTCGACACTAACACTGGTCCGCTGGTCAGAGTCTAGTATATTTTCTCAAGGACCAGTAAAATTAAATAAATGGTGGTCCGGTGGTCTACTGTTTGTAATGGGACGAACAAAGGAATATAAGTTTGTAGACTTCTGAAATCAGTGATAGATCAAGTCTAAGCTCTGAGGACCATTGTGTCTGGGAGATCCAAGAGGACTAGTAGATTTTTTTGGGTGCTGGTCCTTTGGACCACTGACAAATTAGGGTCAGTGTCTGACACTGTAATACTGTTAAAAGAAACGTAGACCCCCCAAACTCACTCGCTCACTCTCCCTCTCTCACTTGACCCGTGAAGATTCCGGGGTAGAATAGGTCTTCAACAACCCATACTTGCCGTAAAAGGTGACTATGCTTGCCGTAAAAGGCGACTAACGGGATCGGGTGGTCAGGCTTGCTGACTTAGTTGATACATGTCATCAATCCCAATTGCAGGGATCGATGTTCATGCTGTCAATCATTGGATTGTCTGGCCCAGGCTCGATTAATTACAGACCTCTGTCATATAGCTGGAATATTGCTGAGTGCGGCGTTAAACAACAAACCAACCAACGACCAACCCTCTCTCACTCTCTCCCATTGCAGGTAACGAAGGCAACTACAAGTTGTACCAGAACCAGTATTCCACAAACACCCTGGCCCTCAACAAACACCAGCATAACGAGGAGCGCGACAAACGCAGGCATCTGTCTCACAAGTTCAGCATGACGCCGGCCAGTGAGTTCAAATGGAATGGGACAGTGTTCGGCAACAGGATGTTGACAGTGTCCACTCTGAGACTGAGCATCACGCAGCTGGAGAACAACATCCACACACCATTCCTGCATCCCAACTGGCCCATTCATCGACAGAACTGGCAGAAGGCTGTCCACATGTGTCAGAACCCTCAGGACTTCGGCCTGGCGCTGGCCATTTTGGAGGCTTGCATTAAACCAGTCATCTGTAACCCTGTGTGGACCGAGGCTCTAGGTACTGTTTACTAATTAGAAAAGTCCAGATAAACGTTAGTTGTCATTCGGTGTTCGAATGTGTTCAGGGAGCGGAGTATTTAAAATAAGTGCACATTTAATCATTAACCGAACTGGGATTTATTGAGGATATCAAACTAAGCGCTCTTGGCAAGCAAGTTGGGAATAATACAGAGGTCCTTCAACTTTGTATATGTACATTACATTCAAAAATGAAATACTAAGCAGTAAAACCTTTTCCTCTATATATCCTGATATGAGTGAAATACACGTCAACTTGACCACACCACTACATTATATAAGATGAATTATAGCTCAAATGGATTGAATTATCATTGAACCGCCCACATGTTATCAGAAATGAGCGGGCCACTGTAACTTGATAATGCCTTCATATTGCTTGACGACGGGTCATTATCACGCCCATTGTTAGGTGACGTCATATTGATGTTCAAAGTGACATCATCTGGTTTGTTCTATGACGTGTTCATATTTGAAATAGTGGGCCAGTGACATTCGTTGTGTGTTGATTGCAGTAAATGTTTCAAAACCGATGTTGTTTATTTGATTCTATCCATTTTAGCTATAATAAAGATAGCTATTTTTCAGGGCATCATCATTTGCAGAAGCCCTCGTCTTTTCAATTGCCCTCCTTCGTAGGGCAATTTGATAATGTTGTCGTTTGCCATTATTAGATTGCTTGGTTGTATCATGATTCAGTTTTCAATATCTTTGATAACACTTATCGCGGATTAGGCCATGATACAAGTGAACCTTTGAGCATGTTCCTGCTAATGATGTCAGTGATTATGTTTGTAGTTGAATATTCCATCAAGGCAGGTGCTGCTGTAGTTTTGTTGATGTAGTGTCCTCGTTAACTGAACTTGAAGCACGTGTCATGATTCCCCTTGTGAACTGACCAATGGTTCTTGTCCTCCCAGGTCACAGTCGATTACAGAGGATCACCACAGCAGACCGCGAGGAGATGAAGAAGAGGGAGAAGGAAGTGAAGAAGAGGAAGGAGGAGGAGGAGGAGGGCAAGCCTCTGGTGTGGATCAAGTACCCCCTGGGATTGAAACATCAGGTAACGTACAGGTGGTTAGGGTGATTTCAGTGATGGGAGGGAAAGTATCACTATCTTGTTGGAGTTTTTGAATTCCCTGGTCATTGAGATGATAAGTAGCATTCTGTGAAGGTCAAATGAGAACATGTTCCTAAACAGCATATCTACAGATACAGAGAAGATATGGGTTAGACTTGGTCTTCAGCAACCCCTGCTTGTCATTGTATCCAAATGGTATAGATCGATGCTCATGATATCAACCACTGGATTATCTGGTCCCTCCTTGATTATTTATGGCCTGCCATATCATGTTTGCATATTGCTGAGTGCAGCATTAAACAACAACAAAAACTTTTCAATAAGATTTTATGAAACCGTCATGTAGCTTTCACATTGCTGAGTGCAGTGTTAAACAACAAACAAACCTTTTTAATAAGAGTTCTATGATATTGTATGATAAGGAAAAATGAAATTTCAAGAAATATGTGTGTGGAGATTGAAGTATGTTCACAGGGTTCGGTTGATCTTACTATAATGTGTGTTCAACTTGGATCACTGACGTTTATATTCGTGTGATGCCCTGTTAATTCTGTATCACCTCATTGAATGCGTGTTTTCATTTGATAGTAGTGATAGTTAATAGAGAGGGATTTGGTTTAACATTTCAAGATTGATCATTGGTTTGAAAAATCAGTTGCTGGAAATAGAACAAGGAAGGTTGGTATTGAGAGCCTTGTTTGTCTTCATTAAACAGTGACATGTATCTATGAATACCAAGTCATAAGACTCTTTTACTGGTTTACACTGGTTTATCAACATGGGGGGGGGGGGGGGGGAGAGTGGAAAAGTTGAATAATAGTGCAGTTATAAGACCGTAGACCTTTTTATTTTTAATCTTTCATCCCTGGCTGCCCCAGAGTTATGTCCCTTGAAACACTGCAGTTCCTCACACTGGCCTCCCTGGCAGTATTATTGGAAAATCACACTATCATTTTTTATGTACTTTTTCTACTAGAAACTTGCTTTTAATATATATTTATCATATACCATTGTAAAGAGGATTAAATTATCACTATTAGCAAAATTATAATAATATCCCCAAGATAGCTGATTGATTTCATGATTGATTACATGGTTGGAAATTCCAACTGGTTAATAATCATTATTCAGAATGTTAACCATGAAATGTATTGTGTGTGTGACAGGTATGGAAGCAGCGAGGAGAAGAGTACCGAATTACTGGGGGCAACGGCTGGCTCTGGGATAGCTCCGTCAGGAACTACAGCTACGTTCCACAAGACACAGTCGGACTCCGCGCTGTGGCTGTTAAGCTTCGAGCCAGGAAGAAAAAGGCTTTGAAAGCATCAAAAATGGCTCTGGCTTCTGAGAAGATGTTACAGGATGACAAAGAAGACCCTGAGTTGTCAAAGAGCAAGAGCAGTGTGGAGGGGGATGACAAGGTGAAGGAGGAAGATCCAGAGAAAGATACTGACGTGGCCATGAAGGAGAGCAAGAGCGAGGAAGAAGGAGGTGAGAAGATGGAAGTTGACGATTCTGAAAAGGAGGATTCAAAAGATATTGCTGAGAGCAAAAGTGTAGAGGAATCAAAAGCTGATCAAACAAGTGAAAAAATGGAAACGGATGAAGTTGTGAAAGTGGAAAACAAAGAAATCAAAGATGAAACGGTCGATGATGATGGGAAGAAAGATTTGAAGAACAAGAAGAAGGACGAAGATGAGAAACTGGAGGAAGAATTTCAGGAGTTGCAGAAGCAGCTGCCCCCGAAAGTGGATGTGGATCTGATTGATGTTGGCAAAGCTATGTTGGAGAGGACATACTACATTAAGGTGACAAAGCCGTACGCCAAGCTGGACGGCTTGCTGGACCGGAGACAGAAGCAGGACGAGTGGGAGCGGAAAAACAGACAGGCTTTGGAGCAGCAGATATCTTGGAAGCAGAAATGGCAGTCAAGTAAAGATGGAAAGTCAACTGACTTTAAAATTAAAGTTGAAGATTGCAAAAAGTCACCTGAGGTAAATGGTTTGGATTTGAAACCCAGTGTGAAAGGATATAAGGGTATGTGTTATTCCTTGCTATGCAGGACAAAGGGTAGTGAATGGTGTTACTCCCCAGTGTGTCGAAAGGAAAGGCAGTCTAGTCCAGATCTGGATGTGTCCAAACTGAAGGGTGAACCAGGTGAGGACAGTGTCAAGATGGAGGATGCGGGGCCTCCTGACATCGACATCAGCATGGAGGATGAGGAGATCGATGTGGAAGGGGACAAGGATAACAAGTCAAATGGCTCATCAGTTGATCTCATAAATTCTCTCAAATCTGCAGTCAAAGATGATTCTAGTAATGATGCTTCATCCAAATCCATTCCTGTTCCAAAAGAAGTAGAGGACGACAAAAAAACGATAATCATTTCGGGAGGCAATGCTGGTTCCAGTGGGAGTGTATCCATTTCATCAGATTCCAAAGTGGAAGGTAGTGGCAGCACAACTGCAAAGTCTTTGATTAATTCTGACCCAGCCAAGGTGGCCCAGCTCTTTGCAAACCGTGCAGGAGTCAACCTCTCGCAAGCACATTCGGCCTTGCAACAGGCAATTTCCAAAATGAGCATAGACGATCTCAAGGCTAAGCTGCCTCCAGTTCGCAAAAGCACTGAAAAGTTCAAACTTGCAAAATTCACAAAGATTGGTAAACGTGGGGCAGCTAAGAGCTTGAAGAAGGCAAGTTTACCTGTGTGCCAAAAGTTCCAAAATGCCTGCAAGAAGAAAAGCATATTTATTCTTGAGAGGCATGACCTCAGGAAGATGGCTCGAAAAGGCAGCAATAAAGAAGCCAGTGGATTTAATTACAACTGTAAAATGAACAATGTGAACTGGATTTATCCATGTCCCCGTCCCGTGTTCCGCACTGCATGGCGATTTCGGACTCAGACCATCAAATCCCTGGCTGCAGCCGCTATGCAGCTGAGGATATTGTGGTCCTGTATCAGGTGGGACGATGTGGCAGTCAAACCACCTGCAGGCGGAACAAACACTGTCTCCACGGAGACCGAAATAACAACTACTGAGTTGCTGAAGCGTAGAGATGTGGGACCGTATGGTCTAAGGTCAGAATTCCTGGTCAGGAAAATTGTTGTTCCTATTGGAGTACCAACTCAGCCAAAAGGTAAGACCTGATTGAGGCTTCAGATACTTATTTTAGCCATTGAGTATTTACAAGTTTTCATTCATATTTGGTGTTGATCATTTTCTTTGGGGAGGGTTTTAACTTGGACTTACTAAAGTATGGGTCCAGGGACCCCCAATTATTAATTTTAAGGATCATGGCAGGCAATATGAGTGTCCGTTAAAGTAATGAAACAATGTAGTGTACTGTACGTTTAGATAATACCTATAAAGTCTGGAATGAATCAATGATCATGTGGACAGTGTTTATGATGGATGAAATAAAAGACAGCCATAACTGCCCTCGATGTGCTGTAGGTATAATGAATATTGTTGTGCTACCCTTGGGATGCGGTCTATTTGTTTCTGTATCTATTCTTTGCATTTGCGCATGTTGGACGCACATTTGTGCGTTGCGTAAAACCATGTTTGGGTATTCTACATCTTCTTACTCTATTGGGTCCCGTCTGCTGGATTTATACACCAATGAGTAGACAATACTACTTGAAATGCTTTTCAGGTGACTTCAAACTTGTAACTGTTCATGCATTGCCCAAAGTGCGTAGCATAGCATGAACTCACAACAACAATATACACGTCTTATTAGCAGTAGGGGGGCACGGGTGGCCCAGTCGTCTAAGGCGCCGCGATTCGCTGTGCAGTGTTGCGTCCCTTGGGCACACCAGAAACCTATGATCGTGGGTTCGAATCCCGGTTCACCCCGATTATGTTTCTGGGTTTGTCAGCACCATACCCATGCTCGTGGGTTTCACCGAAGTGGTAAACGTCTGCGACCTGCATCACTTCGGGCTTTTCTCCCACATTAAACTGACACACCGTGATATAACTGTAATAGTGTTAAAAGCGGTGTTAAACCCAACTCACTATTAGCAGTAACCAATGGTAACCAAACCACAGTGACTGTTATGCCTTGATCAGTGCAGTAGAGTTCATGTATCTGTGATGCCTGCACTTGATCAGTAGATAACGATCTGTAAGGAACTGGTACATAGGTACGCATGTTGAAATGGTTGATAAATTAGGTAATTACGTAATTACGTACAGTGTAATACATTTGGGTTTTTTAAATGTTTCGTGCATATTTGTGTGTGAACAATGCAAAATTAATCAGGTAATGGTGATTTTTTTTTGCATAATTTACACAAATAGGCAGCTTATCTGGAGCTCTGTTGATTGTTATTTTAGATGTTATGTGATTGATTTTAGTTTATGTGTGTCTGAATTTATCTGTTTGAAGTAAAATAGTGAATACATGAACATTATGAAAGCACATTTGGTTTTACATCTATCCATCCTGGGATTTGGACATTGATTAAAAGAATATCTTTTTTATTACCCTTTTAGTACCACTCAAACATTGTGTGTTCTCTATTATTTGTTGAATAGACATATGTATCAGAATTTATTGTTTTACAATTTTTTTAATAGGGTTCACAACATTTTGGTGGCATTATCCAAATGGGAGATCAGCACTCAGTATGTGACCATTCAGTTTGTGCAAATATACAACCAGTTGAAAGTTGCTTACTATGCTTCTCTATTTTACAGAGAAGTACACACCTCAGCGAAGTGGACTACGGGAAAGGAAGAGACCAGAATCTCCGAAACAGACCGAGCCAAGCGTGACGGAGACCTGGGTTCCAGAGGAGGACCTGGACTTATGGGAAATCAAACAGTTCGGGGAAAAGTGAGCAAATTTGGACTGGATGTGTCTTTAACCTTTAACAACATGATCAAAAACCAGCTGGTGATACTTATAAAAAAAAAAAAACAATACAAGCTTGATGCCTAATTAAGTAATTATTTGCTCCTAGTGATATTTCTGGATCAGAATATCACACCTGTACTTCATGCTTGTCGTAAGACCTTGACCCTGGGGAATCTACTATTGTGCAACCTATGATGGTTGTATGGCGACTTATGAAACTGGCGGTCAGGTGCGGTTCATTATAAGATAGTCACAATTTTATGGATAACAACTTCTTTTATACTGTGAAAAGCGACGTTTCGGTATAGATCCTTATACCGTTGTCAAGCAAGACTGAATGAGGGACATAGTACAGAATATATATAGTAGGTTGAGGATTAACAGTAGAGGATTAACAGTAACAACAATTGTTATCCATAAAATTGTGCCTTTCAAACATTTGGTTCATTATATGTCATTTTATCCCAATGGCGTAGATCGTTGCTTGTAAAATTCAGTCACCAGGTTGTCCGGTCCAGACTGAATTATTTACAGGATGCCATCATATAGCATAATATTGCCGAGTGTGGTGTTAAACAACATACAACAGAACATACCAACTGCTGGTTAGTCAGTCTAGATTATAATTCACTCTGAGTAGATTTCGATAACTATTCTTCTACTGAATGAGTGAGTGATTGACTATGGTTTTCACGTCTAATTTAGCTATATACCAGCAATATTATGACACCAGAAATGGGTTTGTACATTGTACACATGTGAAGAATTGAACCAGGGTCTGCGTGAAGAGCGAACGCTTTACAAGCAGGCTCCTCCACTGCCCTCTGGGGCGGTCGGGTAGCCTAGTGGTTAAAGCGTTCGCTCGTCACGCCGAAGACCCCGGTTCGATTCCCGACATGGGTACAATGTGTGAAGCCCATTTCTGGTGTCCCCCGCCGTGATATTGCTGGAATATTGCTAAAAGCGGCGTAAAACCATACTCACTCACTCACTCCACTGCCCTCTTTCTGCTGAAAGATGTATGGACGTTGTACATCAGCTGCAATGTTTGTGTGGGAAGCAGGGGGTAGTCAAGTGTTTGTTTGTCATGATGAATGCCTGGGTTTGATATCCCCGCATGAATACAATGTATGAAGCCCATCCTTGCTGAAATATTGTTGAAACAGTGTACACCATACTCACTGACTAGTTAGGGGACAAAATAAGATGAAACCTGAATATTTGATCGTCTTCTTCAGATTGGAAAAACAGAGGGCAGCATCACAAGAGAAAACCATCATTGTGACAACCACCACATCATCTACAGCAACAACAACTACACAGAACGCTGCTCAAATAAAAGCCCAGATGGAGCAGCAGCTGAAACAGCAGAGGTTTGCACTGCAGCAGAAGCGCTTGCAGGAAGCACAGGGCAAGACTGGCATCATCACCGTGTCCACGGCCACAACAACAACAGCAAGCAGCATCATCAACTCCACATCCACATCATCAACACCCATCAAGACCATCACTCTGACGACCAACACAGGCGGGTTGAGCACCATCTCCACACCAACCATCATCAAACAAGTTCAGATGCAGCCCAAGACGATAATAGCATCCAGTGCTCTCAGTATGTGTCAAGTTGATGATACGATAATGAGTTCATTAAAAGCCTGTTATCCAGTAATCACAACATGAAATCAGTTTTGACTAGGCCACTTGTCTGCCAGTTAGAGACAAGATGTGGACAGATTAGTTGTTTTCTATAGCTAATCTAGCTCTGTTATGAACACCTCGATGAGTCTGTGCCCAAAACTTTTAAGTCAACTGCTCTGAACTTTGCTATGAGCATAGGAACAATAAAAAATTTAAATAAAACAAAACTTGGCTATGAGCGTCATTTTATGTTGATTTTGATGTTATTATTAAACTACTACTAGCTGTGCTTACAAGACGTACCAGACTTGGGCATCAGACAAGTGGCTAAAGTTGCAGACTGCAAAGAGCTGTCGACTACTTTGATTTATTATATTTGTCTCACGGTTAATACAGGCATTTAAGAAATGAGTGAAACTACAAAATGTATGTTGCATGCTGTGTATATAAAGTGATAGGTCCTTTACCATCTCTCAGATTGAGATCAGTAATTTATGTTCAGATATGGAGTCTGTATCATTACCAAATCACATTAATTTTTGTATTACCTATGTAGTTTTCAGTATCGCTGTTGTTGATCGTTGATATACTCATAAAAAGGATTTAGATGTGGCAGTATCTGCTATGAAAGTAATGGCTTGACGTTCCTTCAGACACAGCATCCCCTGTGCGCCCTGGGGTAAAGGTTCAGTTGCCAGGGACAACCATCACTCTCCGCCCCACATCAACAGTCGCCCTTGCACCCAAGCCTGGTGTAACCTTGGCAACCACTGCCACAACCACTGCTCAAGCTGCACGTCTCATCGCACCTGGACAAGTGCAGACACCTAAAGGTAGGAGACCTGTCATCAATGTATTTGTCGGTTCAAGACAGATTAATGTGGTTCCTGTGCTTGAATGATTCATCTTGTGTTTGTAGTTTGTCTCTATCCAAAGTAGAATAAGGTTTCCATGACAACAATTTTTAATAATATTTTGGTACATGTTATGTTCATTTACATATATAATTTGATGAGTTCTGTATTTTATGCAGTAGGTGTAACACAAATATCATCTTTGTCCCAGTACAGATAAGCCCTGTTAATGTTTTTGTTGTATTAATCATTGCTGACAATATTGAAAACTGGATCGTCGGATCCGTGAACATTCTTGCTGTAAAAGGCCACTATGCTTGCCATAAGAGGCGACTAACGGGATCGGGTGGGCCGGCTTGCTGACTTGGTTGATGCATGTCATTGTATCCCTATTGTGTGAATCCATGCTCGTGTCAATCACTGGATTGTCTGGTCCAGACTCGATTATTTACAGACCACCGTCATATAGCTGGAATATTGCTGACTACAGACTGTTAGTGCTAGGACTGGATAAAAAAGATTGATAATTGGAATTTATCGTCGATGGGAAGAAATGTTACTGATTATTGATATAAAATTGTTGTCATCGATAATAACATACATAAACTATTGTGATGAAATAAAATTTAGATTTACTGAAACAGACTTGTTACTGTCAATCATGTCAATTGTCAAAGACAGAAAGCAACTGTTTTTCACAAAAACCTCTTAGCGTTACGACCTCCTAAACCACGTCGTAAACCATGTCATAACTTTTAAGGCCGTTTCACACAGACCTACTAGTTTACACTACGTCGTAAAATCACCCAAAATTTACGACAGCCCTGGGGCTCTCCTAAAGTAGTAACGACCTCACAAATTCAAACCATCAAATGTCTACAAAGTAATCCATGCATAAATATATCACTGCTCACCAGTGGCTTGAAATATGTTGATTTCTTTAGGGAGTTTCTAGCATATTAGGTTAAAAGTACCTCTCATTTACTTTTCGATAATTGATCGATTTTAGTTAGCTCTTATCGATCTCTATGATCTATATCGATAGCCAGCTCTAATTAATGCCCAAGTGATAAGGAATTTAGAAAACTTGTCCTAGATACACCATGGTCCACTGTTGACGACATGTCTCCTTCCTTCAGCTGCCGTGCGCCTCCCTGGAGCAGTACAGATACGTCCCCAGGTGGTGGCCCAGGGCTTGCCAGGACAGGTCCAGAATGTCCAGATCATCCAGGGGCCATCAGGGCAGCTCCAGGTCCGGGGACTCCTGCCAGGTATTTCTTACTCTCCTACTTGAAGGATAGTGTTGGATAGCCAAGTGGGTAAAGTGTTTGCTCATGACGCTAATGGCCCAGGTTCATTCCCCACATGGTGCACCCCACCATGATATTGCTTGATAGTGCTAAGATCAGCATAAGACCATACTTGATTATGTATGTAAAGCTGTGGTACCTGAAAGAACACTTTTGGACAAAGTGGTACAGCGATCAGTGTGTCCATCCGTCTGTCTGTCCTCTGTCCGCCTTCGGAGCAGAATTAAAAAATTGTTGAATATGTCTTGATGAAACGGATGCTATACAGATCAGTCAACTGGTGCCTTTTGATGTTTTGGGATATTTAAAAATACTGATCAGTATTAATTTTTATTTCACTTGAAGGGGCGGTCGGGTAGCCTTTGCTCGTCACGCCGAAGATTTGGGTTCGATTCCTGACATGGGTACAATGTGTGAAGCCCATTTCCGGTGTCCCCCCGCCGTGTTATTGCTGGAATATTGCTAAAAGTGGCGTAACACCATACACACTCACTCACTTCACTTGAGACCGCCTCCGTGGTCTAGTGGTAGAGCGTCTGCCCGAAGAGCGGAAGGTCCGGGGTTCGATTCCCATCCGCATCATACCAAAATACATTAAAAGATGGTACTTGTTGTTACCCTGTCTGGCGCTCGGCATTAAGGGGTTAAAGCAAGGACTGGTCGGCTCAGAGTCAGTATACTGTGTCTGAGTGGGGTATTCATGTTAAACTGCGGCATGGTATCTCAGTGGGCTAGCACTATAAATCGGCATCAGTCCGGTCTAGTACAAGCAGCCACACACACACACACGTGCATGCACGTCGCTATATAAGTGCAATAATCTTGGAAGCGACGTTAAACCCAATTTCACCTCACCTCACCTCACTTCACTTGAACTGTAGGTATCCAATGGCCATGAACCAATAGTAGGGTATAAGTAGCTAAATGCCATTACCGAATTGCACCAGACCTGGGGGATATGTCATCTCCTGATGACTGTTGTTCATTGTAGTGTTGATTTTTTTAATAAATATTGGGAATACTTCACTTCAGTTTCGGCATCTATAACAATGTGTGATTACAACCCCAGGTCAGCAGATCATCCGTCTCCCTGACGGCCGCCTGCAGCTCATCACTCTGCCAACAGCTGCCACAGCCCAGCCCATCACCGCTGTCTCTGCCAGCTCAGCCACCAGCACCGCCACCCCGACTGTCACCCAGGTCCAGGCCAGACCAACTGTTGCAATACGACCTCAGACCATTGTGGTCAGCGCTGCGTCAGTACCAGGGACCTCGGCAGTGAGCGTTGTGCCAGCCACCAGGGTAATGGTTCCAGCCCAGTTGTCTGGGGCCAGCGTGGCTGCAGGTGCAATATCTAGTACAGGGGTTGTGTCGGCGGCAGCAGCCCTGTCAGGAGTTGCCTCCCATGTCACAACTCTCGCAATGCCCACAAGAACATTAGGGGGGAGCATTTTAGCCTCAACATCGCCAGCTAAGCCAACCATCATCACATCAGTGGCCAAGGTGGCGGGTACTCCTGTTGTGTCTGCTCAAGCTGTGATGCCCAACACTACAACACAGATCATCAAGCCACTGATGACGTCGACACTGCCGACCATGACGCCAGTGGCGGTGGCCTCCGCATCTGCTCCTACGGTTGTGACAACAGCGGCACCTGCCATTGCTCCAAGTATAGCCATTCAGTCGACGAATCAGCCGACCATCATCACATCACCAGTCACTGCCAAAACAGTCCCACGACCTCTGACCTCACAGATAACTGTACGGACACAACTGCCCGCTCAGTCAGCTACAGTGGCTGTTACGCCACGGCCGCTGACAATTGTTACTTCTCCCACATCAGCGGCAGCAGCAGTGGCGGCAGCAGCAACAGCATCTCCTGCTGCTTCAGCTGCTCAGAAGTATGCCATCACACCTCAGGTGGTGCAGCAAGGTTAGTAATACAACTATAGGGGCTGTCGGGTAGCCTAGTGGTTAAAGCGTTAGCTCGTCACGCCGAAGACCCGGGTTCGATTCCCGACATGGGTACAATGTGTGAAGCCCATTTCTGGTGTCCCCCGCCGTGATATTGCTGGAATATTGCTAAAAGTGGCGTAAAACCATACTCACTCACTAATACAACTATAATCAACATACAAATCCTCATAGAAAACATGAAAAGGAAAAAGTCATTGGTGGCAAAAGCTGACAATGATATGTGTAAACAATCTTATTGCAATTTATTGCATTAATAACAAAATTATGTCTGTAATTATGAGATCATTAAGCACTAAAGTTTCATCTCGGAAAATAAGGCCATTTTTTAAAGATATTAACTTCAACTTCGAAAGGTATTTAGTCAATCCTTACTATGCCTATGGAGATTCTGTGTTAGAATAGCTCTCAAGCAATATTTACTGATTGTAAGAGTTGACATAATGGATCAGGTGACTTTGTGGATGACATGTCATCATATCCCAAGAGGGTGGGTCGATGCTCATAACCTTTAGTCTCGAGTTGTCTGGTCCAGACTGAATTATTTACTGGCTGCTGTCATAGCTTTAATATTGCTGAGTGCAGCGTTAAACAAGAAACAAAACGAAAGCCCTCTAATCCGTGCTTCTCTCCCTGCAGTTGTGCGCCAGGCCCTCATGCAGAATCAGACGCCGGAGATCCAGGCCAAGCTGCTTGCCATGCAGAGACAGATCCAGCAACAGCAACAAGGGGGCACGACGGCCGTGAAGGTCACCACCCAGCCGGCGGTGGGGGTCAGCACACTCCAGTCCCAGGACCGCCAGCTGCAGTCTCAGTTCCAGCAACAGCTGGTCACCAAGCAACAGCAGATTCAGCAGGCCCAGGCCACTGAGAGCGCACGTGCCAAACAGAGGACTCTCACTCAGGAACAGAAGGATGACCAGATGAGGTCAGTCACAGACAAGAGTGATCTTGCCTGGAATAGGGATCATGCTGTTAACAATGCTATTACTTTCTTCCCCGTGAAACTGGACAGGTTTTGTTCTTGCCACTGGTGATTTGAGCACAGATTTGTTATTTTGGTCTTCTATTCTTCCAAATGGCCTTGGGCAACTGTTATAGAACATTCTCATGAAAAGGTCAAGAGTCAAGGTCAAGGTCATAGGTCTTCAGCAACCCATGCTTGCCGTAATGGTGACTATGCGTGTCGTAAAAGGCGACTAACGTGATCCGGTGGTCAGGCTCGCTGACTTGGTCAATGCATGTAATCGATCCCAATTGCGTGGATCGATGCTCATGACATTAATCACTGGATTGTCTTTTACAGACTCGATTATTTACAGACCGCCGTCATAAAGCTGGAATATTGCTGAGTGCGGCGTTAAACAACAAACCAACCAACCAGACTTGGTTGATGCATGTCATCGATCTCAATTGTGTGTATCGATGCTCATGACATTAATCACTGGATTGTCTGGTCCAGACTTGATTATTTACAGACCACCGTCATATAGCTGGAATATTGCTGAGTGCGGCGTTAAACAACCAACCTTGTTTGTGTTGCAGGTTGTCGGTGTGTAACCAGGTGCTGAAGACACTCCTGGACAAGATAGAGCGGGAGGAGAAGCAGGAACAGAAGCGCCAGCGGAAGCAGGAATCCGTGGAGGAGAAGCAGAAGCGCGTCATGGCAACCAAGCTCCAGGGGGCGCTCTTCAAACACAAGGAGGCGCTCAAGAAGGAGATCCTGCGCAAACGGACCCTGATGGAGAAAAACCTGCAGCAAGATATACTTGTGAGTGCTTCATCCATTCCTACACTTGGGTCATGGAACATTTATATGACACAATATCCATTACTACTATTCTTTCAAAATGTTTTGCAATAATTTCTATTCCAATCATCTAAAAGTGAGTTCCTCCTAATTCAGAGGGCAGAGTTTGAAGTGAAACTGAAATGGAAAGGGAGTGAGTGATCAGTAGTTGTGGGATGATACACAGATGCATTGGTGGATCGCAATTTTTTTTCTTCTCAAGTATCAATCACAAAGAACTAACGATTCTTACCTTCAATGTATTCTTCAATAAATATTACACAAAACACTAATTACAAGTTTAAATGTGTAGTGAAAATGTAAATATTTTCATCCATTACGCCATACTTGACACTGCCAACTGTAAATCGTTAGTGTGCCAGGTATTTGGCCATCCTGTCTATGAAAAACATGTCCACAGAAAAGTGCACATGCAAGTATCATGATACGTATCGGATCGTGAGTAAGGTATCGTGACACGTATCGGATCGCACGGTTGGTGTATCTTCCCAGCCCTACTGATCAGACAGATGACAACTCTTAGTCAAGACCTAGTAGATTGTTTCATTGTTCCCCATCATCACAGTGGCTACCCCAACTCATTTTATTGAATATGTGGAAGTGCATTCTGTGCACGTGAAAAGGAGACATAATATGCTAATATGTACTTAAACCACACTGTCACTCACAATTTGATAACATTAATACTTTACACGTCAGTTTGGGTGATGTATCGAAATAAAGTAACTATTTGTGTACATGTCACACTGTTTTCATGTACTAAAGTTACTATCTTCATTGGCAAGTGGTTCTGTTGTCATGGTAACAGCAATAGACACATTTCACTAAGTCCACCATTCCTGTTGTCCCAGATGTTTATAACAATATTCCCCCATTTATGTGTAAAGATGGAGGTAGCTGACACATCTCACTAAGTCCACCATTCCTATTGTCCCAGATGTTTATAACAATATTTCCCCATTTATGTGTAAAGATGGAGGTAGCAGACAAATTTCATGAAGTCCACCATTCCTTTTGTCCCAGATGTTTATAACAATATTTCCCCATTTATGTGTAAAGATGGAGGTAGCAGACAAATTGAAGAAGCAGACCAAGTCTCCGACCAAGCCGCCAGCCACGTTGCGCACCCTCCCTCCTGGCACCAGCCTTGCCGGGGGGAAGAAGAAGCTGGAGACCCTGATGCCCCAGACTCCCTCAGAGTCGGCAGCAGCCAAGAAACGCAAACAGAAGATCATATCAACCGGTGGAGGGCGTGCCTTTAACCCTAAAGAGAAACTATATTGTATTTGTAAAACTCCGTATGATGACGCAAAGTAAGTATAAGAAACTGAAATTATGAGTTATGGACAGTATAAGGCTTTTAGAAGCAAATTTTCTTATTTTACTGGTATACTTCCGGCAAGATTTATTATTTTGATGGTTTACTTGTATAGGGTTTACTCTAGGAATTTTCTGCCATGGGCCCTTTATATGAAAATTTCAAATACGCCAACACAACAAAATGTTACAATGCCCCATTGTATATACAAATGTGGGCCTTTTTTCAAATTTGGGGGTTACACAAGGCCACACCCTAGAATTAACCCTGCTTGTATGTTTTCTAAGATTGGGTGATTATCTTGTATCCATATAAGTTGAATTTACTTTGATGGTCCGTGACATTCAAGATGACATGAGAATCAGAATATAAATAGCACATGCTTGAAAACTTGCCATCATGGTACTTTTGAGTGATTAAATTCAATTTGGGAATTAGTAGATAACGTGTAGATGTTGTGCGTGCATGCATGTGTGCGTGCGTGCGTGCATGCATGCATGCACTTAGCAATATTCCAGCTATATGATGGCAGCCTGTAAATAAACAAGTCTGGACTAGAAAATCCTGTGATTGATATTGTGAGCAACAATCTATGTGGTCAAGGTATGATGACACAAAACCGAGCATGACCACCTGATTATTAGGTCACCTCTTACAACTAGCATAGATTGCTGGAGACTAATTCTAACCCAGGAATACCCATGGTGGATGGTGATTCAGTGACGTCCTGCATGTCACTGCATGTATAGGAGACATACCATGCCCTTAATTGAGCAGTATAGTATTGTGATCTTGCCTGGTTCTAATGATGGTGTGATGTGCAGGTTCTACATCGGATGTGACCTGTGCTCCAACTGGTTTCATGGGGCATGTGTTGGCATCACTGAGAACCAGGCCAGCTCAATCGACTCCTACATCTGTGAAGACTGCCGCAAACAGCAGGAGAACACATCAGAGGAACTGTACTGTGTGTGCCGAACACCTTACGACGAAGCACAGTAAGTTGGCGTGTGGTATTTGTCGCTTAGGCCTGATTAGTGACGGGGTATAGTTCTCCGTGGAACACTGTCAGCTGCAGGAGGAATTGATCATATTTTATGGGGATCAGTCACTCTGAAAAGTGTTAATTATAAAGTTCATCAAATAATGTAATTGAATGGGGCTTCTGTCAGGCTTCCTGAAGGATTTGCATGGATTTGATTTAGAGATCTGTCCTGTAGCCCATCTCACACAATGATTCTAGTGCTATGGCTTTCCTAAGTCTGTTAAGGTTGGTTGGTTTGGCTGGTTGGTTTGTTGTTTAACGCCGCACTCAGCAGTATTCCAGCTATATGATTACGTCTGGACCAGACAATCCAGTGATGAATGTCATGAGCATCAATCCACGCAATTGGGATCGATGACATGCATCAAGTCAGCGAGCCTGACCACCCGATCCCATTAGTCGCCTTTTCCGACAAGCATAGTCACCTTTTACAGCAAGCATGGGTTGCTGAAGACCTATTCTACCCCGGAATCTTCACGGGTCTCTGTTAAGGTATAGGAGTTGCAATCACTTTGAATGTGTAGAAATGCTGTCAATATTGGGATGCTTGCAATAAATGTAATAGTTAGGTTTTAGGTAGCAACAAGGTGACTGTGTGATAAATCATTTCTGATAGGTTCTAATTCTGATTAAATTACAAATAGGCCCAAATGATTTTATTCAAGTTTGGTAATGATATAGAAGAATGTCCTATGAAAAGTTGATAGAATTATGTAAATGTTTCTTTCCTCTCCCAACAAAATCACCGGTTGGCTAGTGTAGAATTTGTTAACCAGATGCTCTCATATGAGTGAAAACATTTGTGTTGTCAGATTGTATTATTCTGTTAGTTGCCTCAGGGCAGTCATTAGTATCCTGGTAAGCTGGTCGTGTTCATCAGTGCTTCGTTGTGCTTCAGGTTCTACATCGGGTGTGACCGATGTCAGGACTGGTTCCATGGCCACTGCGTGAACGTGTCACGGCTAGAGGCGGACCGCATGGACACCTACATCTGCCCCAACTGCATCAACAAGGAGCAGGCCACACCCATTGCACAGAAATGTCTCACAGACAAGGAGTATGAAAACCTGCGGAGACTCCTCCGTAGTTTACAGGTAAGACCATCAGCCTTCAATGCAATTGATGTACTTCCATTTTCATTGTTTCATAATGGAGTCATTTGACATGTACATGGTTTGCAGATTGATATATAAATGTTTATCATACCTTCATGTCAGAATGATGAGATCTGATTGGTCCACGTGATCTTGATAGAATACTGTGTAACCCACCTTAGAGTGTAATAAATTTCTCAGCGGGGGAATAAATCTCTTATACCCCACCACTTGCTATACAGGCTGCATGTGGATTTATGAGACACAGAATAAATCCCTTATACAGTGATCGCTCGCTATTGCGCTCTTCGATAAAGCGCTACTTCGGTTATTACGCGCGGTAACGCATGGCTCCCAAAATTTATGTACACTTTTAATACTGAGAGTTTTACACAGACATGATTGTATTGTTGTTCGTTGTTTATTTGCACATAACGCTTCTCATTGCATAATCAACGGTTTATCGCTGAATGGAGTTCTAATAATCTGTTTGAAAACATCCGCGGCAGGTCCCGGAAATACGATTGTTCTACTAGTTAACTTTTCACACTATACATCCTTTGATCTTACTAGCGCATGCATGCAATAAAAGAGAACCACAAGTGAAGTTTATATTCTTAATTAGTGGGCAATCCAATTTAAGGCAAAACTGTCACACACATGTAGTTGCTGTCACAACACGTCGGTCATTCATTTCGTAATCGCGCTTTCGTAACATCGCCTGTTTTTTCCCCGTAGTTATAACAAGCGATTTCATTGGATTAAAATTTGTTTCTAATGACGCTTTCTTGCCGAAATCTGCTACAAGTTTCGTGATTGGTCAATTTTGAGCACGTGACCTCAGGCAGCCAATCAAGCTGTGATACAAAGTTCGTGTTTGATCAATTTCAGAAGTTAGCGAAAGATTTTTTGTTAAATCGTGTTATTCTGAACGTTTTAAGCAGGAAATCACGATATATATTAAAAATATGGAACTTCGCGAATGTATCGTGCTAGGTTACGAGCTGTGACAAAGATTTTTCATGCATATATTTTTGCATTAAACGTTGTGTCCGAGCCGAGAATTCAAGGCGACGAAAGCCGAGATGTCATTTGACTTACATTACACGCGATCGCACGAAACGATGGAAATAATAACTTAGATGTAAGTTTGATTACTTTTAGATATATTTTTGTTGATTTTATTTATCACTTTGTATAATATATTTAAAGATTTGCTTAAAATAGTCTTTATTTTGCTCTTTGACATGTTCGATGCGGACCCGTTGTCGAAATGTGTGTCCGAGAATTTTATTTTCAATAACATCGCGGGAAATAGTGAATAATTTTTTAATTTATTGATAAAAAAATGATAAATTAGAATGGAATACGTATTTCAGACATTGTGAAATATGACAGATTTAATAAATGAATGATATTACAGGTAGATCTAGGTCCATAAAAATATATACTATTTTGACGTGACGTGAGATAAACACATAGGCCTCGCCTCGGCCTCGGTTAAACGGCTCATCGTCTATAACGCCCACCAATTATTTGGACCCCATTGGTAGCGCAATAGCGAGCGATCACTGTACCCCGCCGCAAAGCAAAAATCTGAGTCAATGGAAGTCATGTGACATAGCACAAGTCAACCTCAGCTCAATCGAACGTTTGTGTTCTATCAAGTTTGAATTTGTGTGATTTCTTTTACACTGTCACATTCAAACATGTCGGTAAGATAATTTCATTGAAGCAGGATCACACCAGCTCCTGCCTCCAGCTCATGGTATAAAACCTAATGCGGGACGCATAAAACCCCATCTACCACTCATGATTCTGCTACAACTTATAATATCGAACTACATAAGAAATTGTGTTTCTTTTTCAGTCACATAAGATGGCTTGGCCTTTCCTGGAACCTGTGGATCCCAAAGATGTACCTGATTACTACCTGGTTGTCAAAGACCCAATGGGTAGGTACCACATCATAGCGTGTCAAGGATTCATGGCGTATGGTGATGCAAGTTTTCTTGTTTGGAACAATGGAGTCATTTGTGCTGTAAATACAAGCATGTGGCAAGTCAGGTTATTTTGCAGTTGCGACTGAAACAATTGAAACAAGAAATTGGCATAGGATGGGGTCACTCCTGACTTCCACGTAGTAGGGCGGCCGGGTAGCCTAGTGGTTAAAACGTTCGTTCGTTCCGCCGAAGACCCGGGTTTAATTCCCCACATGGGTACAATGTGTGAAGCCCATTTTTGGTGTCCCCCACTGTTATATTGCTGGAATATGTCTATAAGTGACGTAAAACCATACTCTCTCATTCACTCCCACTTTGTAATAGGGTTACAAATTTTCTTCCACTCATGGATAAATGGATAATGATTAACTATGAAAAGAAAGTGTCAATGCTAGATGGAGATTTTGTTTTGTTAGTTTGCCACTTGCCAGAACATGAAGGTATCAACGTTAACAAGTTCAGATTGATTGGCAATGTAGGTCTGGAATTATCCGCGAATTTGTTGGTTGCATTTAGAAAATGTTCCAATCCTCTCTTTACACATCTGATTATATCACACCTTATTTATCTTCAGATTTATCAACAGTGGAGAAACGCCTCAATGCTCGACTATACCAGAAACTGAGCGATTTTGTCAAAGATGTGACCAAGATCTTTGACAATTGTCGTTTCTACAACCCAAGTGATTCCCCTTTCTACCAGTGTGCTGAAGTCCTAGAAACTTTCTTTGTGCAACGCCTGAAGTCAATGAGAGAGCGATTCTAACAGGATAAGGAGTGTTGGCACCCTTCAAATGAGGATTTAGTGTGATCCACATCATGGACATTGAATAATCAATACTATTCCGATGCGGGACAGATTTGTGGTACTGCCTTAAAGTGCTAATATATTTTATTGCAGTATGGTTCCTGGATTTGGTCACAGCAAGCTTGTGCACAGTGTTTGAAATAAACCTAGTCTCAGACGAACTTTGTCTGATTGATGAAGTCCTGAAATGTAATTCCTGCTGAGTCACAAACATCATCCTGGCAGGCAGGCCTTCTTCTGAACACACTGTTCTGCGTACCACATTTGTTGTGAGCAAAAAATTAATTTTCCCATTGATGAAAATGTTTTAAGCATTTACAAGTTGGATGTAAACATGACGAGGAGTAATATTATTGATAATGACTATACATCCATGTTTCAGGGCTACTCCTTGCCCTGAAACATGGATGTATACTAGGGCTGGGGGGGGGCACGGGTGGCCCAGTCGTCTAAGGTGCCGCAATTCGCTGTGCAGAGTTGCGTCCCTTGGTCACGCCCGAAACCTATGATTGTGGGTTCGAATCCCGGTTCGCCCCGATTATGTTTCTAGGTTTGTCAGCACCATACCCGTGCTCATGGGTTTCACCGAAGTGGTAAACGTCTGAGACCTTCATCACTTGGGGCTTTCCTCCCACATTAAGCTGACATGCCGTGATATAACTGGAATACTGTTAAAAGCGGCGTTAAACCCAACTCACTCACTCACTCACTCACTCACTCACTAGGGCTGGGACAGGTAACTAGGGTACTCGGGTTGGGTGGGTACTGAGTAGGACCCGGGTACCCTAAGGACTACCCAGAACCGTCGTAAGTCACATGATATATATCTAAAACTCGATGGTTACACTATAAGTCACTAATGTTCCCATTTCTTTCTGACCCTGCACCCATTCCTTCTGACTTTTATATGTTTGAATAAAGATGAAACTTCATGCAGTAAACTTCAGTTTTTGCATGACCAGATCGTTTTATACGTGTATCTAAATACATTTTCCAGGGCAGACTTTTCCAAATCGGACATTTTGTACCTATTTCATGAGACCTACAGCGGGTGTCCAGGTAGGGTCGGGTAATAGGGGATGGGTACCCGGGAAGTAAATTTGGACTCGTCCCAGCCCAAATGTATACTACAGAAGTCTATATCCATAATATTTCTCCTCGTCATTTGTGAACTGTTGAAGTGAAGTACTGTTCTCATGTTGAACTCGGTATTATGCATAAGTTCCTTATGGCAGCTATGTTTGCACAGATATGTGGGGAGGCAATCCGGTCTGGAAGGAAGAATCTACAGGGATGTTATGAACAGGGTATAAAAAATATCTTCTCGGGCAACAGCAAAACAAAAGAATGTTTATTTTAGTTCTCTTTTCTGATTTTTTCATTCAGCCTGGAACCAGCCTTACATTTCAATGTATATTTGTGAGAAATAAACAGTAAACTAATTGTTATCAGGCTGTTTAAAAATATTTGAACTTAACCATGGTCTGTACCATAGTTTGTATTATTAGAGAGAGAAGCCACATTTATTTCCCAAAATTGTTTTCTCAAAGGAGGAAGGCTCTAAGCAAAATAGGAGTTGTGGGATAGCCCAGTGGTTAAAGCTTTCACTTGTGATGCTCAAGGTCTTGGTTTGATTCTCCACAACGATACAATGAGTGAAGCCCATTTCTGTTGTCCCATGCCGTGAAATTGCTGAAATATTGCAAAAAGTGGCGTAAAACCACACTCACTGTCAGTGCAAAATATATTTCTTACAGTTTAAGAAACAATAGTTTATGTTTATGTGGAGTATTAACTTAATATTGCTATGTTTCAAATGGCAGTTAGGTTGTATTACAAAGCCTTTTGTAGACCTGCTCACCTTTTTGTTTACAACACTGTACTCAATTAACCCACATTATAGATGTATTGAAAACACTCCCAACATCAGCACAAGCCAAAGGAAAGGAATGCCCCCATGCCGCTGCCTCAAGTGGCGAGAGTATGTCAGGGCAAGGCAGTACCACACAAACTGATCCACGATGAGGGACTGGGTTGTAAATTATTGTAAAATTGTACATATCTTCTCATCTATTTCACACTGTCATATGGCATCACTAGCTGTCCCAGGCTGGAACTAGTGGCCTTTCCATGTTGTAACATAATCATATCATATTTAAACTTGTCCATTTCAATTAGACACCATGCTAGAACTTCAGTTTTCACATACTCCCATACTCGGTAGTGTCATACAAGATATCTTGGTTAAGGAATATCTGGCATTTATTGTTGTCACTGAAACTTGTGAGGTGAACATGCCTCTCCTATAGAAACTCCTCAAGCAAACCGGGTATTTGAAGGAAGACGGTAAAGGTATGGACTGTATTTAAAATATTCGTACGAGGTGATGATACCAGAATATAACCCATCTCACTTACTTCCAATACTCCTGAAGTGGCAAAACATCTGTTGCTGTTCTTAAGGTTTTTGTTGATTTACCGGATGATTCAGAAGGTAAAAGGTTGATGGATGTCTTTGTTTGGTTACAGTTGTTACAGTTGCTGATGTTGGCTGAATGAAAGAGCAATCGCTTTCAAATCGGATCTTAGTTCTTGCTACCGCTAAACAAAGATCGGAGGACATACCAATACAGGTCACTTTAGAACGACCTTTCGCACACTTTGACCGGCCAATGAACTAACGAGAAGTCGACATTAGCCAACCAGAAAGCAGCTTTCTTGAGCTTTACAACACTAGTTTCAAACTGGCGACTTCTGTTCCATGCTTTGAAAAATATCGATTCAACATTTGAAAACTGAACATAAAAAAAATTCTGGAATGTCTAATAGATGGCCGAGATTGTATGGCAGTTCTCCCACTGGCTACGTTTATCCGATTGAAGTGAGAGATAGATGATGACTTTACTGAATCAGTCATAGAGCCCATAGCTGTCATTCAGAATACCCTGTGTTAACCTTTTCAAATTTGCTTGATTAGAAAACACATTTTGACTGTAAGGAACGCTCCGATTAGTCAGATGAATGGTTGTTCTGAAGTTATCCATAATGGGATGTCCTCAGATCTTTGTAGCGAGAACTAAGAACTGATTGTAATCAGATTGAATGAAAACGCAATAAAGCAGGAAATATGAAAAGTGTGAGGTGTATATTTACTATACTGCCGTTCAGTGCAAGTTGCATGACTGCAGAGTAAGAGAAGTTGGATGATATTGACACCAAATGCTCATTTCTTGCAATAACTAGTGCTACTCGTTCGTGACATGTATGAAGGGAGGTTTATCAAACCATAGTGTTAGTCACAGTGTCAACATGATTCTGTTCAAGCTCAGAAAAACGCTGTATCCGTTTGTGTTGCCAGTATCGTCAGTGTTTGTTTGAAATGGACACTTTTCATGCATTACTTCCTGGATGTATTTCATATGCATTTGTTACATTTTCCACCTGTAGAGAAATTTGTAATTTATTTCTTTGCCAAGTGATTGTTGCCTGGCTAGTGGCGCCTTCACCCTGACACACGGTTCATGACCTGTTGCATGACACATGTACATAACATTTCACACACTTGTGTATGTTTCAGCTGTAGATTCAATAGCATGTTCATTCATCATGTACACCCTCAATAATATGTGTAAATAAATTCATTTTATAGATCAGCATATTAAGCATGTATTTTGTGTTCTTGATTTCTGAGTGAGTGCGTGAGTGAGTTGGGTTTAACGCCGCTTATATGGATACAAGATAATCACCAAATCTTCGAAAACATACAAGCAGGGTTAATTCTAGGGTGTTGCCTTGTGTAAGCACAAAATTTGAGTGAGTGAGTTGGGTTTAACGCCGCTTTTAACATTTTTCCAGTTATAACACGGCATGTCAGCTTAATGTGGGAGGTAAGCCCGGAGTGATGCAGGTCTCAGACGTTTACCACTTCGGTGAAACCCACGAGCACAGGTATGGTGCTGACAAACCTAGAAACATAATTGGGGTGAACCGGGATTCGAACCCGCAATCATAGGTTTATGGCGTGCCCAAGGGACGCAACTTTGCACAGCGAATCACGGCGCCTTAGACGACTGGGCCTTTGCCCCCTGTTGATTTCTGATCATATCAATGGGTGTCTTCCTTACATGCTTCTCCAACAGCAGACGAGGTAATGGGAAGTTGATGGTGAAAGCAAGCTTTTGGATATATAAGATTTCTAAACGATTCATAGTCAGATTCTATTTTAATTACAAGAGTATTTCAATGTATCCAACGAGTAAAAACAATTTTGAATTATTTTTAATACACTTGTCATATTAACAGCATCTAATGTGGACGAGTGTAGTAAGTTATTTTTTACTCACACTGAATATTATCTTAATTCTGTGTTTAAAGAAAGACGTCGCTCGTATAAGGATTCCATTGGTTGACTGAGGCTATTCCTAACATCTGCCCAAGTGGGGGTGGGGTTCTCTCATTTGCAAAACAAAGTTTAAGTTGAAAATAGATGAGACTGTGATACAAAAGTGACCATAGGCTCTCATTAATTCAGACTTATCTGTTCTCGAGTTCTGCATATCATAGGCAACAGCAGAAATAAAATATGTCAATAATACAGAGAGTTTTGAAATGCATGAAATAAGTATTATCTATCGGGAGTAGATATCTGTCTGGGAGCAGAGTAGATGTGTACAGCTGCAATATGCTCAATTTAAATGATCAGTCTTATGTCGACAAGAAAATTAGTCCCATCTGCACGTGTGTTTTTTAAATTGTGATATCTGTGATATATAGCAGTGGAGTAGACAGGTTACATGCTTGTTTCACCCAAAATCAAGTGATTAGTTGATGCCATAGATGGCAATATGTCCACAACCAGTGATTGGCTGATGCCATAGACTGCAATATGTCCACAGCCAGTGATTGGCTGATGCCATAGACTGCAATATGTCCACAGCCAGTGATTGGTTGTTGCCACAGACTGCAATATGTCCACAGCCAGTGATTGGTTGATGCCATAGACTGCAATATGTCCACAGCCAGTGATTGGTTGATGCCACAGACTGCAATATGTCCACAGCCAGTGATTGGTTGATGCCATAGACTGCAATATGTCCACAGCCAGTGATTGGCTGATGCCATAGACTGCAATATGTCCACAGCCAGTGATTGGTTGTTGCCACAGACTGCAATATGTCCACAACCAGTGATTGGTTGATGCCATAGATTGCAATATGTCCACAGCCAGTGATTGGTTGATGCCATAGACTGCAATATGTCCACAGCCAGTGATTGGTTGATGCCATAGACTGCAATATGTCCACAGCCAGTGATTGGTTGATGCCATAGACTGCAATATGTCAACAACCAGTGACTAGGTGCATATTTAATTTTGCAACCAACAGTATTAATCTAAATACCACACGGAATCGTTATATGTATATCATTTATATACAGTTGCCCAAAAGATACAATACTTTTTACAAGATTGATCAGATAACCAAAATAGTTCCTTTTAACTTGATCGACAGAGGCACTTGAACTCCCTGTCAAGAGTTGACACTGTCAACTGTAGTTGATCTGTTGGTGACAGGTAACCAACAATCTCAAACAGCGCCATGAAAGTCAGGACCTCGTTCACTCGTACCAGTAACAGCGACAGTACACAGGTTTCCTATATGGTTCCCAGAGGGTGAAGCCAGCGTTCAACACAAACGTAATAGTTACAGATCCCTATATCAAGACTTGCAGACAATCAGCACGGTGAAACTGTTGACATGTTCCCAACAGCTTCTCTCATCATCGCTGGTTCACTGGACGGCCAGGTCGTGCCTGTAGGTATCAGGCTATCTCACTACATGACAAACACATCAGACAATTTCAGGATGTCTTCAGTTTGGTTTGAGGTTGTTTTGTAATGACCACGTATACGATGAACAGACAGCAAATTCCAGTCACAAGTAATGTCACGGCCACAACCAGGGGCAGATAACTTGTGTTCCCTACAGGCACACTGCACGTCACACTGTCAACTTCCTGGAAAACAAATACAGTTAATGAAGACTATTTAACAAAAATCTCGCATCTTAGTCATAAAGTACTACCTAAACAGAAAAACAAGAATCAAAACATTTGTGCAAAAAATAAACCGTAACTAGTTTCCTAAAAAATCGGCCAAATTTAGGCTGGTCATATGACCCTTTATGTACTTCTTCATATTGACCAATTTGTCTGTCTGGAAACTTGACATGTCTTCCTTGAAGGGACCAAATTTGGCACGATTGATGCTCATGATGTCAGTCACTGGATCGTATGGTCCTGACTCGATGGAACAAATTGTATGATTACAGCCCTCATCACAACACCACCATCACTATGGCAGAGGTTAAGGCCAACAAGGGAGACAACTTACAATCTCATTAAAATCAGATCTTAGTTCTCGCTACCGCCAAACAAAGATCTGAGGACATCCCATTAGGCGTCACATCAGAACGACCTTTCATCCGACCAATCGGAGCGTCGCTTACCAGATCATGAAAGTGACATTCGGAATTCTGATAATGCAACCTCGAAAACGTTAACAAGGGATATTCCGAACGATAGTTACGGGTTTAACGACTGAATACATACAATGTAGACCATCTATTACCCATTCCAGAATGTTCTTTTGTTCAGGTTTTAAATTTGTAATCGAGAATTTGTCAAAATATGTTTCAAAGCGTAGTCGCCAATTTGAAATTAGTGCCGTAAAGCACGAGAAAGCTGCCTTCTGATTGGCTAATGTTGACTTCTTGTCAGTCCTTCTATCGGTCGGTCAAAGTTCACGCAAGGTCAGTCTGAAGTGACCCGTTATGGCATGTCTTCATATATTTTGTTTAACTGTAGCGAGAACTAATATCTGATTTTATTGAGATTAGACAACTTACGGCCTGGTAGTGGTGCTCATGCCAGAGACATTGAGAAGCGTTGGTGTGGTCACACGGGGCCTGGAGCAAGACCACAGACTCTGAAAAAAACAAAGTTTAGATTTTTAGATTCTTTATATTGTATCCAAGGCTCTTCATTTGTAACCATGGTAACAAAATGGTCCCATTTGTTAATATGCCACGCAAATGTTTTCTAAAGAATTACTTCTGGTATGATATTTCAACCTTTTAATTGGGTAGGCTAAACATCCAAATGTTACATAATGATCTTATTTCTTCTTTATGTTCATATTCATGTGTTTATCATTTCTCTGATGTGGGGGGCACGGGTGGCCCAGTCGTCAAAGGCGCCGCGATTTACTGTGAAGAGTTGCGTCCCTTGGGCACGCCCGAAACCTATGATTGTGGGTTCGAATCCCGGTTCGCCCCGATTATGTTTCTAGGTTTGTCAGCACCATACCCGTGCTCGTGTGTTTCACCGAAGTGGTAACCGTCTGAGACCTGCATCACTTCGGGCTTTCCTCACACATTAAGCTGACATGCTGTGATATAACTGTAATACTGTTAAAAGCGGTGTAAAACCCAACTCACTCACTCACTCACTCACTATTTCTCTGATGTAAGAAGAGATTTATATTAGTAGAATAACTCTTTACAAACTCTGTTTCGTGGATTGGCTGACATGTATCAGTAAATGCTGTAGCATCACCAATATCCTGTGACGTCCCATCTTCCCAAGGCAAGGGAGTTAACTGACTATATAAGTCCAGTTTCCACCCTTGCCGAACTAGGCTGGAATTATTGAGTTATATTTTGGCTGGACTAACGAGTCTATGCTTAGTCCAATCAAAATTGTGTAACGAAATCGACATCCGGTTCGTAAACTGCCGTGCTGATTTTGGTCGATTGCAGGACTTGCAAAGCATGTGTACCGTCAACAAGCCGTCAACAGAAATTTTCCAAATCTTTACATGTATTTAATCAAGGTGCTCACGTGATTTGATGCACTTCGCAAGGTAAGACAAGTTTTATTACAAAACAGATCTTGATTATCGATCAGAAGGCGTTGCCATTTTGTTTGAAGCAAATGCAAGTGATATGAGAGGTGGAATCTGATTGGTCAACAGGAGGGACATAGAACTGACAAAACTCGTAATAGCCACTGGTGGTGCTCCGATTGAGCCCTGAAATTCCAGCCTAGTTCAGCAAGGATGGAAACTAGTCTTTTACAGTCAGTTAATTCCCTTGCCTCGGGAAGAAGGTAAAATCCAGGCAAAGGCAAGTCCTGTATGAAACAGAAAATTACTCCAAGAAATCGGTTAATATAGTTAGCTTGCACTGAGTCAATATAATTTCTATACTTGAATCCGTCGTTTACATGGAGACGTGGCAATCAACACCATAAACACCCGACTAGAGAAGAAACACATGTGTCTACTTTGAATCTGACTCTCATACAAAAACAAGTCCTTTCTTACCTTTGATTGAACAGTTTGTGAACAAGCGAGGGTTACTGATAACAACATCGACATGAGTGATGCTGGACTCGTGTGCAGGGGGCTGGTATCGGAGGTGGATGGGGAGGGTGACTGATGCTGCCAGGCTGAATCCTTCATCACTGTCTGTGACTGTCTTCAGGTCAGCGTACACATGGAGGGTGTGTCCGGGCGAGAGGTGGGCAGGCATCTCTATGTTAACAGCTGCATCAACTAAAACCTGGAGATGATAGGAAAATAATGGATCAATAACATGAACACAAAAGGCAAGACCAGTATTACAAAACTAACAGATTTAATCCAAGACTGTTGGATATGAAATTAAATGGCCAATCATCTGAGGAGTGCAGAGTTGTGTCCCTTTGGTGTGCCAGAATCCCATTATCATGGGTTTTGAATTAGAGATTTGTCCTGATCGGTTTATCAGCACAATATGCCAGCTCAAGCTTTTCACCAAAGGAGCAAACGTCAAAGACCTATATCACTTCAGATTGTCCTCCCACATCCACCTGAAACGATGTGATATAACCAAAATACTGTTCAAAGCGCACCCATGAAGATCCGGATTAGAATATAGGTCTTCAGCAAACCATGCTTGCCGTAAGAGTCGACTGATGGGATCGGGTGGTCAGGTTTGCTGACTTGGTTGATGCATGTCATCATATCTCAATTGCGTGGATTGATGCTCATGATGTCAATCACTGGATTGTCTGGTCCAGACTCAATTATTTACAGACTCCCATCATATAGCTGGAATATTGCTGAATGCGGTGTTAACAACAAATAAACAAACAAACAAACCTTAAATCCTGCCTTCTAAAGTATCCAACTTATACTTGATAAAGGAAAAATAACAAGGCTTTTTATTCAAACTAGATTCATGAAAATAGTCTCTTTACATCATAAACATGTTGCAATGCAAATAAATCACAGAAGCACTGTATATGAAAACTGACATGTAACAACTGTTTGTCTGCATCAAGGGTGAGTTAAACACGAAAAAGACTTTACCTTGTTTACAGGGTTAGTAAAAGTTTCAAAAATTCAGTGAATAGACAAGTATATCAGCATGATCAGAATTTGCAGACATGGTACAAGAAGTTGGTACCCATACCTTTGGTCCCCCAAACTGAAGCCTGGAGGACAGCTGGAAGGGGTCAACATAGATCCCCGGGGGTAGCTTCTCAACCAGGAGGATCCCGCAGTTCTGTATGTCCCCGCGGTGGTGGGGGTTCACCAGCCACTCTACTGATGTTGTCAGGTCTCTGCTCAACAAATACACAGAGATATGCCTAAATGACCTCATGATAGATCAAAATGAAATTTCAAAATTAATTACCGTATTCGACCTAATAAGCGCCCAGGGCGCTCTCAAAATCAGAAATAGGGGGCTCTCATTAGAATATTATTTTGAGTTGAAAGATCGTAAATTTCGTGGTTTATGCTGACAGCCTGAAATGTTTATATACGACAGATATATTTTCCCAGGATTTAATTGCCCATAATTAAGAGTGCATATAACATACGAGTGCGTATTATACACAAATAAATAAGTCTTGTGAACATTAATCAATTGGAAGGGGTGCTAATTGAGATTGTTCACTAGCCAATATATTAGCAAATATCGCTGTGGGCGCTTATTAGAACAGGGCGCTTATTACGTCGAATACGGTATTGACAGTTATAATGGACCACCTGTAGTTACTTAGGGACCAGTCATATATTATAGTATCCGTGAAGAGCTGGGTTAGAATGGTCTTCAGCAACCCATGCTTGTTGTAAGAGGGGAGAGTGCTTGTCGTAAGAGGCGACTAACAGGAACAGGTGGCCAACCAGGATTTGAAACCACACTCATAGATTTCTGGCACGTCAAATGACAGCAGCAAATTCCAACGCCTTAAACAACTGACCCATCCTTGCCGCCATCATTAGAAGAAACTAATAAAATCTTAAATGTCTTTACATGTTTTTATCATTTAACTAAAGCATTTATCCATGACATAAGCTTATGACATAAAAACATGTATGTCATACCCCAATGACATAAGTATGCAAATTAGATATGCAAATTAGATAACCGGAAGTGGGACTTTTTTCACCGGTGCACGTACGTAGGTGTTGACAAACAACATGGATACCTCTGTTGTTGGAGACAATGTTTTAATAGATGAAAGGGGATATCCGTGTTGACAAATGGATATTATTGGTTACAGGTTGATGGTACTTTTTTTCTCAGCGAAGGAATATGCCATAAAGGAGTTAAGAGGTTGTTTATTTTGGTTTACACGGCTATGGAAAACATGTATCACTACGCACGATCTATACGTAAGATTTCGACAAGTTGCTGATGTTATTGTTAAAGCAATTATTCCTTAATAGGGAAGCAAAAATGATAAATAGAATTCATCACTCGTGTTTTTTAATATGGGAAATATATACCTCGTCCCGTTAATCGGTATTAGCCTCGCCAAAGGCTCGGCAAATACCGATTAACTAAGACTCGGTTGATATTTCCCATATTAAAAAACACTCGTGATGAATCCTCTATGTAACTCACTCACAATACAAGCCGGAATCATTCTCCCAAGTATCTTTGAACCAAGACATACCAAGAATTATAAGTAGTGTGGCCTTAACATAGAAATTGCACAAATCACTTCAACAAAAACAGAATGACTTAATAATGAGATTTCCCACCATATATTTCAGGGTGTCGTTGTACAAAGCGATCTTAGCCCAAAGGTGATATTAACTCCGATACCTTAACATAGACTTATGACAGTCGTAGCGCTAAGGTTGTTTTGTACAAAGGCACCCAGGAGTCAGGTGACATGAACTTTAACCAGGCTACAAGCCTTCACTCACTCAGGAGTTGGAAAGATCCATCTTGTTTGACTATCTGAGAAAGGTTCTTTACAACAGTTTGTTCATGATATTGCATAATTCCAGTTGATTCAATGCCAGAAAACTAAACACTGTGATCAATCATTAGTCTGGTAGTAAGTCATATGGTGATAGTCAAACCTGGTTGACAATAGTACCTGTGGAAGCCATGTTTGTGCAGCTGTCGCTCTAGAAAGGGTGTCCCAATCTTCTGGGTTGCTGATGCCAAGCAGACTACAGCCGATGTAAGGACTGCCACTACTGCGGAGCTGATGGGACACATCCTGAAAGCTGATGATTTTAAAAACTGCCCATCAGTCCATCAAGTAAATAAATAAACAGTACATCCTGTTACTGATAAAAATTTACCACTCTTAGTTAAGGATGTCTGTTAGAACTGAGCACCTTCACCTCACTATGCTAATAAAGTGTGTGAGTGAGTATTGTTTTACGCCACTTTTAATAATATTCCAGTAATATCACGGTGGGGGACACCAGAAATTGGCTTCACACATTGTACCCATGTCGGGAATTGAACCCAGGTCTTCGATGACAAACGAACGTTTTAACTACTAGGCTACCCGACCGCCCCTGCTGATAAAGAGTTGTTTGTGGTTTTATTGTCAAGTCAGCAATATTCCAGCTATATGACATTAGCCTGTAAATAAACAGGAGTGATATTATGAGTGAGTGGGTTGGGTTTAACGCTGCTTTGAAAAGTGACAACACATTTCAGCTTGATGTGGGAGGAAAGCCCGAATGAATGCAGGTCTTAGATGTTTACCACTTTATTGAAACCCACGAGCAGGGGTATGGTGCTGACAAACCTGGAAACATAATTGGGGCAGACTTTGATTTGAACCACGATCATTGGTTTCTGGTGTGCCCAAGGGACGTAACTCTGCACAGAGATTTGTGATGCCTTCTATAACCGGGTACAATGGCACAATCAACTATGCCTGTCCCCAGGCCTGACCACCCAATCCATGTTTTTTTTACAAGCATAGCTTGCCCGGGACCAATTCTAACTCAGGGAGGGGAATGATAAAGAGACAGAAAAAATTTACACTGTAAAGATTTACATTGTCAAGTCAAATAAAACATTGTCAATACATTTATGTCCTAACTTCTATGATAGTGGTCATTTAATATTTATTCTGACATAGGCACTCTCATATTAACATTAATTATTCTTGAAATTTATATATATATCTAGTTCTATCATTTCAGAAAGAGCTAAAGCCCTGTAACAAATGTTATATTTGGGATAACACTTTCTCAATAAAGTACAGAAATTAGTACTTTGGGGGTGGGGGTGGGGGTCGGTGGTTGAGTCCCATATATAACATTTGTTACATTTGATCACTTTCTAAATGGCATTGTGTGTTCATAGCGTTCGGCCATGGGAGCCTTGCCAATTAACACTTGTCAGAGGGGTACACAAAGTATGTGATCCAGGCTACCAGTTGTCTCGAGATGGGACCTTCTTCTTCAGTCAATCATGTACAAAGTGCAACCCTTATACCTACGTTAAGAATACTGTGGAGAAGAAATATATCACACTGCTCAACATATTTATTATCACACAAAAATGCTGCTCACATTGATAAGGGTACCTTACAAGTTAGTTGTCTTATTTATATAGTGTACTAAACTAGCTCTCGGCTACACTATATCATGCTTGCTGAAAAACGGAAGGATTAATCAAACGATATTTTTCATGATATTGGTAAAAAGATTACTTGTCTCTCTAAAATCTGGTACTGACAGCTTGTAGGGCTGATGAGCCACCTACGGATACAAATATGATATTGATATATTCTAAATTTCATGTTTACTTGATTCATTTACTTTCTTTACAATTTCTTGTTGATATATACTAAGCGGGAAATAAAATAACATCATTATTAATACCTGATCACTCAATGCAACAAGCACATGGTTCTCCAAAATTTTGTAAACAACAATTTCTATCCAATAATAATGGACCTTTCCTTTTCTCCGTTCCTTGTTTATGGATTACACTTCCGGTTCCGGGTTATTTCCTGAAAGAGAGGAAAATGGCAACATTTTAGTTATTACTGCTAACCAGCTTCACATTATATTTTAGCAATGGGTAATTTATTCGGCAAATCGAAACCAAAGCCATCACGAGTAACAGAACAAGACAGAGCTGTTCTTGTAAGTCAAGATATTGCTATTCACGAATCACTGACCAACTGCTGTCATTTTGTCTCACGTCTCTGTGCTTCTCATTGTTTACTGTTTGATTGACTAATATTCACACAGAATTAGATCAGTTTATCAAATTAAAACAAAGCCAGTAGAATATAGGCACCGGATCCAGACTTTGATTCACGTTACTTTGGCGTCATTCTCACTTGTCAGTCAGACTGACAGACACAGCTGTAGTATGTATACACGTTATTGTGACCATGGTGACATCAATGTTTCTAGGCTCAAATTTTATATTTTGCCCTTGATCATTCCATTAGCACGGTTAGCTAAAATGATTAAGAAACTCGAAAACATATATTTGCAATTTCAGCGCAAGTGTCAAACTGTATAGAACTTTAATGAATTACCTGTACAAACTGAGGTAGAAAACTAATTTCACAGATCTCTTCCCCATGATTGACTGTAATGATTACCCCTAACAGTGAGGTAATAGTCTGTTTCATACAGGTTTCATGTATCTACTGAGACCTTTGAATGCTGTATGTTAAATACATTTGTGACAAAATCTTCATTGTAGTTGTTGATGCAAACATGGAGTGAGTGAGTGAGTGAGTTGGGTTTAACGCCGCTTTTAACAGTATTACAGTTATACCGCGGCGTGTCAGCTTAATGTGGGAGGAAAGCCCGAAGTGATGCAGGTCTCAGACGTTTACCACTTAGCTGAAACCCACGAGCACGGGTATGGTGCTGACAAACCTAGAAACATAATCGGGGCGAACCAGGATTGAACCCACAATCATAGGTTTCTGGCATGCCCAAGGGACGCAACTCTGCACAGCGAATCGCGGCGCCTTAGACGACTGGGCCACCCGTGCCCCCTTGCAAACATGGAAAAAGCATTGGGGTTTGTTTGTGCAGTGGGATGTTTAATCTAAGGGCACACTAAACATGATATATCTTTACTTTCAACATTAGTGTTATGAAAATGACCCATTGACGTTCTGTTTTTATTTTTGGACATTTAAAACAAATTACTTACCATGCCAACCATGCTGTCTGTCAAGTTTTTAATTATATTTTTTTTTAATTTTGGAAAGCAAATGCATCAGAAAGTATTCATTATGTTCATGGTGGTACTTAAAACAAATCTCTCTTGGGGATTCTGGCTCAGATTAGGTCTCCATCACAACCCACAAGTTGTAAGAGCCAAGTAATTAAAATGAGGTTTGTGATGTATAAATTTCCATGATATAGAAAACCCCTTTTTTTGTGTTCATTACTGTTCAAGACTTGATTAGTAGCATGCTGCCTCAGAGCTCCGGATAAGTTGTGTATTTGTGTAAAATACGCAAATTAAATAACCATTACCGGATTACCAAATTCATTTAAGTTACTTGTATACAAATATGCATGAACAATTTTGAAATAATAATTTTATAACAACACTTTATTAGAAGTGACCCAAAACAGCATTTAAATCTCTCCTCATTGGTGTAAATATACTCCATAAACTGGTCTCAAGAAGTGAAAATATGTTGACTACCCCTGAAAAATGATGAATGATGATATGTTATCCAGAGCCCTGCTGCTCTGATATGGGGGGATCATGGCTGACTGCAATGTACAATACCATGCCTTCTGTCACACAGAAGTGACAACCACACAGGGATAAGCATAAGACCAACTTTCCATTTGACCTGTCTGATTGTGTGTTCCCCCTCCCCCCCATCAAAAATAAATCATTGGCACAATCACACAATTATTCATAGGTAGTTACAAATACCAAATACTTGTAATTTTTATTTTTACCAATTATTTTTTACTCCTGCATGATGTCGGTGATGGTTATAATTATAATGGTTGTATGAGCATGTTAATGGTATATATTGTGCTACATTTACTATTTTGCAGCAACTGAAACAACAGCGAGACAAACTGAGACAATACCAGAAGAAGATTAATGCAAACTTAGAGAGGGAGAGGAACGTAGCCAGACAACTACTGAGAGATGGAAAGAAAGAGTGAGATATGATGTTGAATACTGAACCCTGTTGACATTCATAAGCTGCAGTATATATTGACAGGCAGATATTGTATGCTGTATTTATCTGATTTATGTTTTTTCAGTTCATAATTTATCCCCAGTCATACCAAACAGTGTAAACACCACAAACATCTGGAACTACCTGGAACTGAGTCCCCCTGGGGATGTCGGAGAAGGATAGGTTCCCAGTATCCCATGCTTATCATAAGTGTTGACTTTGTGACTTCGCTGATTCCATGTCATCATGCCCTGCTCATGCTCTGCTCATCATTGCTCATGCTCTGCTCATCATTGTGCATGCTCTGCTCATTATTGTGCATGCTCTGCTCATCATTGCTCATGCTCTGCTCATCATTGCGCATGCTCTGCTCATGCTCATGATGTTGCTCAGGGTGTGAGAGAGTGTGCTCTGCTCATCATTGCTCATGCTCTGCTCATCATTGCTCATGCTCTGCTCATCATTGCGCATGCTCTGCTCATCATTGCTCATGCTCTGCTCATCATTGCGCATGCTCTGCTCATCATTGCTCATGCTCTGCTCATCATTGCTCATGCTCTGCTCATCATTGCTCATGCCCTGCTCATCATTGCGCATGCTGTGCTCATGCTCATGATGTTGCTCGGGGTGTGAGAGAGTGTGATCTGCTCATGCTCTGCTCATCATTTCTCATGCTCTGCTCATCATTGCTCATGCTCTGCTCATCATTGCTCATGCTCTGCTCATCATTGCTCATGCTCTGCTCATTGCTCATGCTCTGCTCATCATTGTGCATGCTCTGCTCATCATTGCTCATGCTCTGCTCATCATTGCTCATGCTCTGCTCATTGCTCATGCTCTGCTCATCATTGTGCATGCTCTGCTCATCATTGCTCATGCTCTGCTCATTGCTCATGCTCTGCTCATCATTGCTCATGCTCTGCTCATCATTGCTCATGCCCTGCTCATCATTGCGCATGCTGTGCTCATGCTCATGATGTTGCTCGGGGTGTGAGAGAGTGTGATCTGCTCATGCTCTGCTCATCATTGCTCATGCTCTGCTCATCATTGCTCATGCTCTGCTCATTGCTCATGCTCTGCTCATCATTGTGCATGCTCTGCTCATCATTGCTCATGCTCTGCTCATTGCTCATGCTCTGCTCATCATTGCTCATGCTCTGCTCATCATTGCTCATGCCCTGCTCATCGTTGCGCATGCTGTGCTCATGCTCATGATGTTGCTCGGGGTGTGAGAGAGTGTGATCTGCTCATGCTCTGCTCATCATTGCTCATGCTCTGCTCATCATTGCTCATGCTCTGCTCATCATTGCTCATGCTCTGCTCATTGCTCATGCTATGCTCATCATTGTGCATGCTCTGCTCATCATTGCTCATGCTCTGCTCATCATTGTGCATGCTCTGCTCATCATTGCTCATGCTCTGCTCATCATTGCTCATGCTCTGCTCATCATTGCTCATGCCCTGCTCATCATTGCGCATGCTGTGCTCATGCTCATGATGTTGCTCGGGGTGTGAGAGAGTGTGCTCTGCTCATGCTCTGCTCATCATTTCTCATGCTCTGCTCATCATTGCTCATGCTCTGCTCATTATTGCACATGCTCTGCTCATGCTCATGATGTTGCTCGGGGTGTGAGAGAGTGTGCTCTGCTCATGCTCTGCTCATCATTGCTCATGCTCTGCTCATCATTGCTCATGCTCTGCTCATCATTGCACATGCTCTGCTGATGCTCATGATGTTGCTCGGGGTGTGAGAGAGTGTGCTCTGCTCATGCTCTGCTCATCATTGCTCATGCTCTGCTCATCATTGCTCATGCTCTGCTCATCATTGCTCATGCTCTGCTCATCATTGCACATGCTCTGCTCATGCTCATGACGTTGCTCGGGGTGTGAGAGACTGGTTTGTCTAGTCCAAACTTGTTTATTTACAGGCCACTGTGATAAACACATGATATAGCTTCAACATTAAACAAAATTCACTCTCTAAATGGAGATAACGATCTGTTTTCACCTTTTTCAGAATGTGTAAATATCGTCAGTATTCAGATAGGTTTGCTTATGTTCACCATGTTTATGTATGTCATTACCCATTCTCCTCCATATATTGTTACAATGTATTTTCAATCATGCCCAATATGACAGTGGAATTTTCCTTGAAAAAGTACAGGAAATGCTTGTTTTGTTGCTTAAGAGTCAGGTTTGATCAGGTTTGTCAGGGTATTTTTGTTTCTTTTTTAGCAAAGCATTACTACTCTTGAGGAAAAAGAAATTCCAGGAAGGGCTCCTAGTAAAGACGGATGGTCAGCTAGATAACATAGAGAGAATGGTAAATATAGTTAAGACAATTGAACATTCTGTGAATACCGTATTCAACGTAATAAGCACCCAGCTCTAATAAGCGCCCACGGCGATATTTGCTAATATATTGGCTAGTGAACAATCCCAATTAGCACCCCTTCCGATTGATAAATGTACACAAGACTTATTTATTCGTGCATAATATGTTTGTTATATGCATCCTTAATTATGGGCAATTAAATTTTGGGAAAATATATCTGTCGTATACAAACATTTCAGTCTGTCAGCATAAACCACGAAATTTACAATCTTTCAACTCTGTTGTTTTTCACCAAAATAATGTTTTAATAAGAGCCCCTATTTCTAATTTTGAGAGCACCCTGGGCGCTTATTATGTCGAATACGGTATATTAAGATACGTTGAAAATGTTTAGCTCTACAACAATGGCCACAAACTAATCCAAGACTAAATACATTGAAATTTAATTTTCATTTAAAATCATACAATTAATGTTGTCAGCATGTGTCTTTAAGTGGAAAAATAATTTTTTGATATGTCAAGTGTTGAATTATTTTAACCAATCTCTGCAGGGCTTATGGAGTCTATGCGTCTGCTCACAAAACCTTTAAAGTCTTTTGACATCAGGGGCGGTCGGGTAGCCTTGTGGTTAAAGTGTTCGCTCGTCACGCCAAGGACCCGGGTTCGATTCCCGGCATGGGTACTATGAGTGAAGCCCATTTCTGGTGTCCCTCGCCGTGATATTGCTGGAATATTGGTGAAAGCGACGTAAAACCATACTCACTCACTAACTCATTTTGGACATCATGGACCAGCTATTCAAGTAACCTGATGATTTCACATCATTTAGAATCATTGGTAGGTTTTGTTATATTTTTGTTATGAACCAGATGTGACAGGTATCAATTATTTTTCTGTTGTTTGTTTATAGGTTCATGATCTGGAGTTTGCTCAGATTGAAACTGAAGTTGTAAAAGGACTCAAAGTTGGTAATGAATCACTGAAGAAGATGCACGAGGTGAGGAGACGAGGAATAACTACTTTGTAAACATGGACAGACCCTGTATTCATGATGGGCCCATCACATGATGCAACAATGTCATGCATTTGGTTTCAGTTTGGTCCGAGTGAAAATACTTGATGGCTCTAGCTTGAGCACGGAGCATCAATGTTTTCAACTGTAACTAGCTTAGGCAGGAATTTGAGAATAGCCAACAAGCCACAATGAATTATCTGTCCAAATTGAAGGAATTATTTGTCCTGAACATTTGGTGAGGACTTACAGCATTCCTTCATGAAGGACAGATTATCCGTAATTTCTAGTTTCAAGTGGTTTATTCTATATATTACTCCTTGACATTTTGTGAGAGAAAATAGAGAAAAAACATAAAATGTCAACCTTACACTAAGTTACAGAGAAACTTCATTGAAGCAGTATTGCTCAGATGGCATAGTGTAATAGGTTTGTGACATCATCAACAATGGATGACATGTTACATTTTTTCTCAACAATGAAGTATTGTGATGTCATATGGCTACAGTATACCAGTCAGCATTGAGAATTTTTAAAAGCACGTGCAAATAATTACACACAATCATTCATCCTTTATGGGTAGACCTGTGAAGATCCGGGATAGAATAGGTCTTCAGCAACCCATGCTTGCTGTAAAAGGTGACTGTGCTTGTTGTAAGAGGCGACTAACAGGATCGGGTGTTCAGGCTCGCTGACTTGGTTGATGCATGTCATCGTATTCCAATTTCATGGATCAATGCTCATGATATCAATCACTGGATTGTTTGGTCCAGACTCACTTATTTACAGACCGCCGTCATATAGCTGAAATATTGCTGAGTGCAGCGTTAAACAAGAAACCAAACCAAAACCTTTATGGGTAATATTGTTTATTTAATTATTATCCCCTGCCCATCCTTCTGTCCATCCGTCACATTTTGTTTACAGAGCAGAACTACAAAAACATGAGAGACATCTTACCCAAACTTGGCACATAGATAGGTCTAGTGGTGAACTGGTGCCTTTTGATAGTTTGGGATTTATAAAATAAAATGATTTTTCGAGTTTCCATGGCAACAATTTTGACTTAGACTGAAAATGGCGGAAGTGCTTGTTTCCAGAGCAGATCTTGAAAACCGTACAATATTTCTTGCCTTGCACACAACCGGAGTATTTCATGCTTGTTCATAACTAGAAAAGTTTGTCATTGCATTCTATTTTTGTGCAGCTGCTGTCGCTGGAGGATGTGGAGAAGATCATGGAAGAGACCAGGGAGGGAGTGGAGTATCAGCAGGTGGGGCCTTGAAACCATACACACAAGCCTTGAAATCATACACACAAGCCTTGAAACCATACACACAAGCCTTGACACCATACACACAAGCCTTGAAACCATACACACAAGCCTTGAAACAATACACACAAGCCTTAAACTATACACACAAGCCTTGACACCATACACACAAGCCTTGACACCATACACACAAGCCTTGAAACCATACACACAAGGCTTGAAACCATACACACAAGCTTTGACACCATACACACAAGCCTTGACACCATACACACAAGCCTTGAAACCATACACACAAGCCTTGAAATCATACACACAAGCCTTGAAACCATACACACAAGCCTTGACACCATACACACAAGCCTTGAAACCATACACACAAGCCTTGAAACCATACACACAAGTCTTGACACCATACACACAAGCCTTGACAAGCCTTGAAACCATACACACAAGCCTTGAAACCATTCACACAAGCCTTAAAAACATACACACAAACCTTAAAAACATACACACAATAACTAGCCATTCGGCATAGGCATGTAAACATTGGTGTGAAAAGTTAATTGTCAGTATTGTCTGGCGTAATTAAACCAGCATTCTGCATCTTTTTTCGAAAACAAGACCGCCTCTGTGGTCCAGTGGAAAGTTTGTCTGCCCGGAGCCCAGGTTAGTGGTTTGATCGCCAGCCGCGCAGTACCAAATGACTTTAAAGATGGTACTTGTTGTTACCCTGCCTTTGCGAGGGCCAAGGAGTTAAACATGGACTGGTCGGCTCTGAGTCGTTATTATACGTACCATGTCTGAATGGGGTGTACATGTTAACCTCAGGCATGGTATCTCATCAGGCTAGCACTATTAAACGAGCATTAGTCCAGACTACTACAAGCAGCCACACATGCATATCTCTATATAAACACAATAATTTTCAATTGGACGTCTCAGCTCACCTCCATCCGTACCGCAGCACAATAACGGCGACCCAACTGTGAACCATGTTAGCACATATCTTATCAGTGATGAGAAACACTAAAACATTGCAGACAAATCAAGTTATGTTCTCTCCATACATGCTATACTTATATTCATAATCATGTCAAAGATACAACAATACATGTTATTTACAGAACAAAATGTAATGCACAGAGGGAACTATTCTGATAGACCACAGTGAGGACGCTCTGAATGCGAGAGCAAGATACAAATTCATCATTTATTGACCCGGCTTCAGTTACTCAGAGCTCCAGATAACTTTTTGAGCAATTGAGTTTTTACTCTAGGGTTTCGATTTTAATTGAGTTATTACATTTTTCATTGGGTATCCAATATTTTTTCACTCATCTATTCATCACTCTATTGTTTTTTTTCCAAAAAAAGTGAACATTTGAAGATTTAAAAAAAAATGAAATATCCGGTAATGTTTTAGATGTATATAACTGTTCTAAATTTATAGGCTTGACTCTTAAAGTAACTTATTTCGTAATTGTATTTCGGAAACTAGCTCCTTTGTAGGCATGCTGAAAAAGCTGCATTGGGTATTTACGCATGCTGCTTTTATACATTTGAGTTTTTCATTTAATGCATGCATTTCTGTACGCAAGTTAATTGAAAGTAATTAAGTTTTGACTATATTTGGGGGGGGATTTTGCGCAAATACGCTGCTTATCTGCAGCTCTAGCTACTCCCTTGATTGACAGCAGTTTTCATGTACTTGTAAAAATAACTGTTTGTTGACATCAGGAAATTGATGACCTGCTGGCAGGAGGACTCACAGACCAGGATGAACAGGACGTGCTGACTGAACTCAGTCAGATAGTACAGGTAGGTGCCAATTGAAGCATTCATTGTTTCAGAAATAATGTTTCATCGGCATTTTTGGTACAATTTTCAATAATATGTTTGATCTTAACTTGAGCACAATAATAATGATATTGGACTCGCTGATACAGTCTCACAGCACTCCATTAAAGAGAAAGTTGTCAAGAGGAGATTAATCATAGTGGAGCTTGATAAGATGGGTTTTAAGAGCTGTATTAATAATGTCAGTAGATGTGATATACAGGGGAGCAGATTCTACAGTACAGGTGCTGCATTTGTAAATTCGGAAAGCAAATGATTTCTGTTTCTGTTTCTGCACTGTTAGCAGTTGTTGGTTTTCTGACTGATTTTCAGCAATCTCATTAAAATCAGATCTCAGTTCTCATTACCAGTAAACAAAGATATGAGGACACGGGTCACGCCAGACCGACCTTCTGTGAACTTTGACTGACTAATAGAATGACTGCCACGAAGTTAACATTAGTCAATCAGAAGGCAGCTTTTTCGTGCTTTACGGCACTAGTTTCATACTGGCGACTACACTTTTTAACATATTTAACAAATTCCTGAATAAAAACTTTAAAAACGGATCAAAAGAACATTCAGGAATGGCTTATAGATGGCCTTGATTGTATGGATTCAGTCATGAAGCCTGTAACTGTCATTCTGAATACTCCGTGTTAAATTTTTCAAAGGTTGCATGATTAGAAAAAACATTCTGACCTACACTTTCCTCTAATTGGTCAGATGAAATATCGTTCTGACATGACCTGTAACTGGATGTCCTCAGATCTTTGTTTAGCGCACAACACAAGTGTCATACTAACTTGTATTTCTGCTACAATCAGGAATCAACGCCAGAACAAGATCTGGAACTACCGGAAGTGCCTGATGAAGATGTCGGAGGTAGGAAGCAGAATATGATTATTCCCAACCACTCTGCGTGTGGTTCAAATGTGTACTTGGGCATGCTTGATGGTTTGTTCGAATACCGGTTTGCCTTGATTATGTCTCTAGCTTTGTCAGCACCATGACTGAGACATGTATCACTTTAGGCTTTCCTCCCACATCAAGCTGACACACCGTGATATAACTGGAATATACTGTTAAAAGCAGCGTTAAACCCAACTCACTCACTTGTTATAGCGAAAACCAGGTTCAATTTACCATGTCTCTCATGCTTGTTTGCTGCAATGCTATTAAAAGTGTGAAACCTTCTCTCAAATGAATCTTCATTGTAAATTTTTGAATATGTCATGAATCAATGCATTGCACAGTAAAACAAACATGAAAAAAATAAAATAAAAAATTATCAAGTTTGAAAACAAATTACATTAAAATTACTCAGTATGTAACGACAAAATGGAACGTGTGTCAATCACTGCTTGTCCTACCAAACTGCCCATTAAGACTCAACCGAAAATATTAAGATGCCTTTATAAAGGTTTCTTACGTTTGTCTGCATATTAAAAAAAGTATGTCACCTTCATGCACAAAGTTTGTCAGAAGTACTTGCTTGAGCGCTGGTTTTCTTTGTGGACATATAAGAGTTTTGTTATCTTCCTGGTGAAGTTCATCTTTCCAAGGCAAGGGAGTTAACTGACTATAAAAGTCCAGTTTCAACCCTTGCCGAACTAGGCTGGACTTATGGAGTTATATTTTGAAATTGGCGGTTTGTCAACTGCCTCGCAGATTTTGGTCGATTGCAGGATTTGCAAAGCATGTGTACCATCAATTTAGCGTTAACGTATATTTTCCAAATCTTTTCATGTTTTTTTATCAAGGTGCTCACATGATTTGATACACTTCGTGAAGTAAGACCCATTATTTATTACCATATAGATCTTGATTATCAATCAGATCATCTTGACTTGGCACTGCCATTTTGTTTGAAGCAAATGCAAGGGATGTGAGAAATGGAATCTGATTGGTTAATAGGAGGAATGTAGAAGGGACATAACTTGTAATAGCCACTGGTGGCCAGAAACTCCAGCCGACTCAGCAAGGGTGGAAACTGGACTTTTACAGTCAGTTAGCTCCCTTGCCTCGGGAAGATGGGTGAAGTTCAGCCTGGACATGTCTCCCTTCACATTTCACAATCTGACACAGGAACCCTGTCAAGTGGCATCATATTGACGATGTTGAAAATTTCCCAATATGGAATATTACATTTTTTATTCTATTGCTGATATTATGGTAAGCCGCTGGAAACAAATTCTGACACATTTGCAGTGAAAACGTATTGGTGTGGGAGGGAGAGGGCAAAATCATTTGGAGTTAACAGAGCATTTATAGTGCTTACGGGAACAGGATGATGGGAAATCTGACACGTGGAGATTACCGAACAACATGAATGAGTGAAAGGAATGGTTGTCGGTTATTAGGCATTTCGCTTTAAGCAAAATTTAATGGTAATGGGTCGTAATCTGACAGAGGAATCCCATCAGGTGGCATCTTACTGTGAGTAAATAATAACCTGTGCGATGTATTAGGGGTGGGAATAGTCCAAATTTACTGCCCAGGTACCCGACCACCAAGTACCTAACCCTACCCGGGTACCGATGTAGGTCTAATGTTGGGTACAAAATGTCCGACTGGGAAATTTACCCTGGCAAAAACTGTTTAGATTGAGTGAACTATGTTTATAACGAACACACTTATAACGAACTGACAGATATAACATACTATGTTTTGCTCCCAGCCATTTGTGTATGTATGCCGAATTTATGTGCTAATAATGAACTACGGTTATAACAAACTAAAATTAGTGGTCCCCTTGAGTTCGTTATAACCATGGTTTACTGTACATGTATAAAATGTCAAGATCTTATACACTTGAGTTGGCTGAAGCTTTATCTTTACCCAAATATGTAAATGTCAGAAGAAATGTGTGCATAGAGTCAGAAAGAAATGCGAACACTTGTAGTGTCACTGTGTGATATCATTGTCAATGAATAATATATCACATGACTAACCACAGGTCCGGGTTCTAAGGACCCACCCGACCCGAGTACCCGAGTGTTCTGACCCAGCCCTACAATGTATGCTCTATCACCCTAAGTGATTTTCTCCCTCTTTCTTCTTCAGAGAGAGAAAGAAGGAAGGAACAGAAGAAACAAAGGGAACCAGAAGCTCTGGCAGCATCCTGATCCATCCAGTCTGCACTGGCCCAATCAGGTTCAAACTGGTTCTGTCCAGCTTCAAGTGGATGTGTGCAGTGCATGAACTGAATAAGACTGATGCTCAAACTATGTCTGCTGTCCTGGATCAACTCGAATGATGGATGATAATCATGATAATGAAATGCAGATGCTTTTGATTAATTAAAAAACTCTGTGTAAAATCTTTCTGGATAATGCATGATTGCAAATGACTTTAAGTATTCAGACATATATACAATTATCTGCATCACTGGTTGCCAGACTGATGATGGTCCTAGTGTCTGTGTTCTACAGCATTTCGTCAGGGTATTTCAGGGTATTTCACATTTCAGACTATCTGTTTCACCTGGCAAATACTTTTGTGTATTTTATGAACTTATTTCTTTTACCTTCTTTCACTGAATGTTTCACATATGGCAGGAGAAACAAAACAAGAAATATAAGTCCCAAAGTTTTAGAATGTGGGAAAACTTTTAAGTCTTTCAAAGTGTTCATATTATTTGGAAATTGGACTTCTCCGAATTTGAAATACAATTGAAGATTTCTTCCTTGTAACTATGCTCAATTAATGGTAAGACTAAACTGTGACAGAAATGCTGATTTAGGTTTTCAGTTCGTGTTTCTATTATTAAGTGTGAACCAATCCATGACACATGCTGACTTACGTATTACGGTTATAACGAACACGCTTATAACAAACTTACGGATATAACGAACTTACTGATTTGGTCCCTACTATTTGCTGTAGTTCTGCTGTATATGCTTATAACGAACTGCGGTTATAACGAACTAAAATTAGTAGTCCCTTTGAGTTCGTTAAAACTGTACTTTACTGTACTTAACAAGAGAAGTGCACACACTTTAAAATTATTCCAGTGTGTTCCACATTGTTTCTACCCAGTAATTGGGTATAAGATTATTATTTTTCACACCATACCTGGGCTCAATGGTTTCTATAAAGTGGTAAATATCTAGGTCAGTGACATTACAGAAAAACTGTTCAATGTTGCTTTAAACTATCCTCACTCACTCTGACTGCAGCTGTCTCCTAGCAACTAACAGTATCCAGGTAAGGGGTCGGCTAACAGGATCGGGTGGTCAGGCTCGCTGACTTGGATTTGCATGTTATCAATCCCAAATGCTTGGATTGATGCTCATGATGTCAATCACTGTCTGGTCCAGACTCAATCATTTGCAGACCGCCGTCATATAGATGGAATATTGCTGAGTAGGGCGTTGAACAACGAACAAACAAACAAAAGGTAAGGGGTCAACATGAACACATTCCTGGTAGTTTAAATCAGGTTGTTCATGTACATTTCCTGATGAATAGGTTTCCGTGTGGTTTGGTTAGTTTGTGTATTGAATTGTTAGGTTGAAAAAATGCTATCGTGGACAGAATCATATTATTATCCTTCAAGCCTATTGTCTGACACACCATGCATGTCATATTTGCATATTACATGTATTCATAATGTTCTTGGAATTATAGCGATTGGTGAATTTGTTCGGATGTTATTGTCATGATAACACGTATGGTATGTATGGTACATGCATTGATTAATGATGGGGGCATGGGTGGCCCAGTCATCTAAGACACCACAATTCGCTGTGCAGAGTTGCGTCCCTTGGGTATGCCAGAAACCTATGATTGTGGGTTCGAATCCCGGTTGTCCCGATTATGTTTCTAGGTTTGTCAGCACCATACCCGTGCTCGTGGCTTTCACTGAAGTGGTAAACGTCTGAGACCTGCATCACTTCGGGCTTTCCTCCCACATTAAGCTGACACACCGTGATATAACTGGAATACTGTTAAAGCGGTGTTCAACCCAACTCACTCACTCACTCACTCTCTTATTAAACTTTGTAATAATTATCAGTACTTCTGATTTTCTTGCACTGTAGTTATAAAAAATCAAGTAATTAATGTATGTCTGATTATTAAGATTCCTCAACGATGGCAAGATGATATTTATGCATCTCATGTTTAAACTGATTGTGACATATTGTAAATGTGGTCTACATGAGAAACTATAGAAATAATAAACACTCTTTTTGTAATGCTTTTGTTGTCATTAATTAACATATCCCTGTATAACAACATCTAAACAGTATGTTTTATTTTGTCATTTAAGTGTCACTGACAGCTGGTTTTTAGAACTGTTCGAATCAAAAAAACATTCCGAACTAAGCAGAATTGTGGAAAAGAAACTGTAAATTTCTCTACAGTAATGGTCACATGAAACAGTCTTTTTGAAATAAGTCCATTGGGTCCAAGAGGTTTTTGGGGGCACGGGTGGCCCAGTCGTCTAATACGCCGCGATTCACTGTGCAGAGTTGCGTCCCTTGGCCACGCCAGAAACCTTTGGTTGTGGGTTCGAACCCCTGTTCGCCCCAATTAAGTTTCTAGGTTTGTCAGCACCATACCCGTGCTCGTGGGTTTCACCGAAGTGGTAAACGTCAGAGACCTGCATCACTTCGGGCTTTCCTCCCACATCAAGCTGACACGCCGTGATATAACTGTAATACTGTTAAAAGAGGCGTTAAACCCAACTCACTCACACCAAGAGGTTTTCGTTGAGATTGGTTTGTTTGTTTCTTTTTAACGCCACACTCAGCAATATTCCAGCTATGTGATGGCGGTCAGTAAGTAATCAAGTCTGGACCAGACAATCCAGTGATTTATATCATGAGAATTGATCCACATAACTGGGATAAGATGACAAACATCAACCAAGTCAGTGAGCCTGACCACCCGATCCCGTTAGTCGCCTCTTTCTTCAAGCACAGTGGCCTATTACAGCAAGCATGGGTTGCTGAAGACCTATTCCACCCTGTATCTTCATGGGTAGTTTGCGTTGAGAGAGAATGAATGGCACATATATCACGTGTAATAAATTCGGCTACAATAGTGGCAAATACTTGCTATTCTGTAGCAATAAACTCTTGTAAGGAACAATATCAGTTGCAGATATACAAGGGTGGTTGGGGTAGCCTAGAGGTAAGCGTTCACTCATCATGCAAAAGACCGATTCAATTCCCTTATATGGGAATAATGTATAAATCCCAATTCTTTCGTCTCTAGTCCTAATGATGTTGGAATATTGCTCTGAGGGTTGTTTGATAAATTTTGAGCCTCACATTGAAATAGTTGCAATAGTGAATTCTTGTTTTGTGGTTGGTTGGTTGGTTGGTTTGTTGTTAACGCTGCACTCAGCAATATTACAGCAATATGACAGCGGTCTGTAAATAATCGAGTCTGGACCAGACAATCCAGGGATTGATATCATGATCATCGATCCACGCAATTGGGATCGATGACATGCATCAACCAAGTCAGCGAGCCTGACGACCCGATCCCGTTTGTCGCCTTTTACGACAAGCATAGTCACCTTTTACGGCAAGCATGGGTTGCTGAAGACATATTCTACCCCGGAATCTTCACGGGTCTTATTTTGTGGACATTACATGATGTCATAAAGATATATCCATAAAAGTGTCAGTTTAGGAAATTGTTTCGCTGTGACCAGTTGGTAAAATAACCAGGGGTCTGTGACGTTTGGAAACTGGGCACTCTTGAGGAACGTGCAGTCATGAAGTACTTTCAGAAAAAGGGCTAACACCAAAAGCTATCCTTGAAGATGTGAGTACGATACCAGGTAAAGATGTCCCTTCCCATGCCCCAGTAAGAGGTGGGAAGCAGAGTTTAAGTGTGGCAGAGCGTGCCTAGATGACGAGCCCTGTCCTGGAAGGCCTGTGATGTCAGCAACAACAGAAATGATCCAGAGAATCCGATATGGTGAATACTGACCAGCGAATGATTGAGTATCATATTGCTAGTTCATTTGGCATTTCCCAGGAGAGGAGTGAGTGAGTATGGTTTTACGCCGCTTTTCACGGCGGGGGACACCAAAAATTGGTTTCACACATTGTAACCATGTCAGGAATCAAACCTTGGCCTTCAGCGTGACGAGTGAAAGCTTTAACCACAAGGCTACCCGACCGACCCTCCCAGGAGAGGACACGTCCCAGTATTACTGAAAAGTTGGCAATGAAGAAAGTGTCAGCTAGTTGGGCTCAAAAGCGCCTGACATCTGAACCAAAATGCACAAGGCAAAACGTCTCGCGATAACATAGCTCTGTTTCAAGCTGATCCAGAAAGATTCTTGCAATGATGTGTGACTGTGGATGAAATCTCGGTTCACCAGAGTCAAAACGACAAATTGAAAGTACTTGATCACTGCACGTTCCTCAAGTTTGTGCATTTTCCAAAGGCAAAAGATCCTTGTTTATATTATTGTCTTGTCACAGCAAAATAATTTGTTCAGTTGTGGATATACCTCTGTGACGTCATGTGAAGTCCACAACAAAGGATTTCGCTATTACTCAATACTATTTGAGGCTCAATTCTTATCAATCAACCATCGTAGAAGTAATACCATACTTGTATCGGGCATTAACAGAGCGTACTTAAGAATATACTGCGAGGAGCATAATCAGAGTGAATATAGGGCTCATAGGGGCAAATTGGGCCCCTACTTGTCGCCTCAGAAATAAGGGTTGTGTGTAATTTTTTATCAGGACTGCATGGCTCGGACTCGATTATTTAATAGCTGCATTCACCCACCCCAAGCCTCATATGGTGGCCCTTGACAGTTTAAAAGCCACAGGTCTCATGTCAATCATTTAAATCGATAACTGCATTAATGCTAAAACGAATCCCTTGTTCTGCTTGAACCCTTGCATTAGCCGACTTTGATATAAACTGTTAATCGTTTCTGCAGCGCCTCGCTGTAACGTGTTGAAATTACTAGGATTTGGCGTTTAATAATGTTTCGATAGATATATATCTAGATCAGACGTGCCGTTAAATTGGTGAGGTGAGGTGAAATGGGGTTTAACGTCGCGTCCAATATTATTGCACTTATATGAGCACGTGCATACACGTGTGTGTGGCTGCTTGTTCGAGTCCGGACTGATGCCGATTTATAGTGCTAGCCCACTAGGATACAATGCCGAAGTTAAACAATGAATACCCCACTCAGACACAGCATACTCCGAGCCGACTAGTCCTTGTTTTAGCCCCTTAATGCCGAGCGCCATGTTGGGTAACAACACGTACCATCTTTTAACGTCTTTTGGTATGACGTCGCTGGGGATCGAACCCCGGACCTTCCGCTCTCCGGGCGGACGCTCTACTACTAGACCACGGAGGCGGTCGCCTTGACATTGGTGTTTTTTCGCTGGTTGAACAAGAAAAATACACGAACCCGTGGGGATTCTGGGATTAAAATATAGGTTTCCAGCAACTCATGATGTCAATCACTTGATTGTCTGGTCTAGACTTGAAAATTTACAAACCGCAGTTATACATCTAGTATATCACTGAGTGTGGCGTTAAACAACCAACACAAACAAACAAACAAACATACAATGACAAGGACGGTCTGCCAGAATGACAGCTGGGAAATTCATTTGCAGTGAAGAATTGTATCTCAACCTGTCTGTCGTCTGCAGTGTGGCCTAGCGGGTGAATAAGGCATCTGACGATGATACTTTCCTGACTGATCGGGACATTGTAATGTCTCTATACAATTTGGAAAAAGTCACTATTTGATCTGGAGAATCAGTTATTGTTGGTCCTAAAACCACACAAAATCATGCCAGCAGGTACCTCTAATTGTTTGACTGGTAAAATTGGATCTATGATAGAGCTTAGTCAATCTTTGATAACAACGAGATTTATCCAACATATAGTATTATACGAGGGCTGGTCAAAGAGTTCTAACCTAAGCCTGACTAACTTTCAACTATAGACTATAACAAGTGAACTAGTGAATGTAGTACCCTGTTTGAGTAGTTCATTGCACGTGTATTTGGTCTGTTGAGGCCGTGTGCATAGTAGTGACAGCCAGTTGAACGTGATAGGGGTCCAAATGGAGTCAGAAATGGAAAAGAACGAGTACCGAGCAGTCATCAAGTTCTTTACTTCTTTCTGTACTCCCCAAGAAGTTCACGACCGCATGTCACAAGTGTATGGGGATAAGTGCCCTAGATATTCCACTGTTAAACGTTGGGCAGCTATGTTTAAGGCTGGGAGAACAAGCTTTGATGATGACCCTAGGTCTGGACGTCCCTCAACTTCCATCAATGAGGATTCAATCGATGAGACTGAAAAACTTATACTGTCAGTTAGACGTATTACCATTACTGAACTTGAGGAAGACACAAGTCTAAAGTCATGGATCCACTGAAACTATTATTCATGAATATTTACAGATGAAGAAGATATCTTCTCGTTGGGCGCCAAAGATTCTAAATTCTGATCTTAAGGATAATAGAACTGACATTGCCAGTGAAAATTTGAGCTAAATGAGGATTTCCTCAAATTCAAAAAGAGATTAGTAACGGATGATGAGGCCGTGGTCTACCACTATGATCCCGAGTCAAAACGTCAATCCATGGCAGGCAGCATTCCACTTCTCCGGCACCAAAGAAATTCAGGTCTTCAAGATCAGTGAAGAAAGTTATGGCCACTGTATTCTGGGATGCAAAGGATGTGATCCTTGTTGATTACTTAGAAAGTCAAAAGACGATTACCGGTGCCTACTATGTGCTGATTCGCTTCATCGCCTGAGAGATTCTGTCAAAGAAAAACGGCGGGGAATGCTGACTGATAGAGCTCTACTACATCATGACAATGCCTCTTCTCACACCGCTCGACTTGCAAAGGCTTGTGTACGACAATGTGGTTTCGAAGTGCTTCCTCATCCTCCATACTCGCCATACCTGGTAATAAGTGATTCCCACCTGTTTCCTAAACTGAAAGAACTCCTTTGTGGAAAGTGCTATGGCGATAACGATACCTCAAAGCTGAGTTTTTCAGTGTGGTTTCAGAAAACTTCTTCCTGACTGGAATTGTAAAGCTTCAATATCGATGTGAAAAGTGTATTGAACAGCAGGGAGAATTGTTGGTTTTGTTTGTTGGGCTTAGAACGTTTTGACCAGCCGTCGTACAAGTGCTGTTTTCCTCTTTACATCATGATGATAACACAGATATGATGTTATGACGACTCTGTTCCCCATAACTCCACTCAAGTGGAAATATTATTCGTGACGTCATGACAGGTGCGCTTCAAATCCGTGTTAGTGTACAGAATATGAAGTAAGTTGTTTCGCTTTGTTACCTGGGCACAAAAGGGGCCGTGACCAGGCTGACATCAACAGTCGATTGTTTGTTATTTGCAAAGTCATAAATAGTCAGGGTGTGTTGTGTGCCTAAAGGCTCACATACGATTTGTGACCTCTAGCTTAGCCCTAGCCTGTCTCACGGTCCCTGATCCATATTATTTAATTTCCCCCTTTCGTCCAGCCCTTACTGTAACGCTACAGCCCTAAATAAAGCAAGTCTAGATTTTCCCAATCTCCCATCTCACTGGGATCTTTTTGAATTTAAATGGAGTTATTTGTTTTTATCAAAATATATTTTTAGAGACTAAGAGTAAGTCTAGCTTATCTCCAATGTCTCCGCATAAGTGGTAATGGCGGTCTGATTGTTAAGTCTTATTCAGAACACATTCACTTGATCTCCTGTATACAAGTGATATGAAGTAAGATATATCTAATACAGACAAATATTTTAAGATGTTCTGATAATGGACACGAGGATTCGTCTGTAGGCGATCGGTTTAAGTGGTATTCAGGTCTATGAACCGTACGCTAAAGGTTGAAGCCCAATTGTTTTCTTTAGATGGTTGATTTATTTGTGCCGGTTAAGACACGAACTAGAGAAATGGCCCATGAAGAAATAATCGCAGTTCAGTTATTTCGCAAACAGCCCGAGGTCTCGATTACAATAGAAAACAAAGCCAATATTTACCATCAGAGTTTCGCGAATGGGTGGCTCAACTCGAGCTTAATTATCTGAAACGGGAGGAGCTATTTGTATGTCAACAACAGCGAGTTTCCATCAGGATTTTAAAAATGCTTTCAAGCATTCGACAAGAGAGTCGATATGTCAATCATGGATCGATAGCAGGCGTGGCTAAGTAGGTCTACACCTGTAGTGTATACAACACAGATGGTGGTAGATAGCAGACGACAGAGAGCAGACGCCACCCCGAGCAGACGACACTTGTTGCCGGGTGCTGCCACAATGCGGAGGGGAGGTTTGGAATGAGTGTACAACTTGCTGCTATTAGCCTGAGGAAGAGGACATATTTGACCTATATGGTGATTGCATTCATTCCTCTTTGTTTCTATTATTCCGTGTGTGGTCTAGATACGATAGGCATTCTGTCCCTTCTTTGTAGCGGGGCTAATACATTATGACACCTACCTATTGACATTGAAATTTTGCCTTTTGCTTGTATAATGACAAATGCCGGGTCTGTACACATGTGGACCTTTATTGGTATCCGCTTTCACTCGGAACCTGTTTTATTGGCACATCATAGTGACAAAAGTAGACGGCTAGCAATACAGGTCTCGACTGTGTCTTGATCCGAGGTTTTATTCAGTACCAGACAGAGGTACTGAATGTGCATTTTGTGCACCTAAGTGTCAGCCCTTGACTTGCTGAAATGCCAGATCTTTAAATGTATTCTGGGTATTTACCCTATTGAACGTACAGTCGGATCTACGACTACTGTGGCAGGCTGGTTAGTTCAGTAATGATCGACGAGGCATCGAGAAGGGGAATTTGTAATTAACCACAGACCGTCTCGTGTTGGGAACACCGGCGATAACACCGATCTCGCGGGTATAAGGTAAAAACTATCACAATGTAAACTTTGTATTAATTGTTTGATTTGTAAGTAATCACTGTCAAACAGTACAGAGAAAGCGATAGACTTAAACTGTGTTACAGTATCAATACTCGTGGTTACCATGTGTGCTGTATGTGGTTGACCTTGCGAACGGTCAATGTACTGTATACATTAATGTGATTAATTTCATCATTATTTAGTAAGTGTCCATTAACACATATTCTTAAATGTCAATTGAAGTTATCGATTCGTTAGTAATGTGTACCTATGTAAGATTTACCCCTGGAAATATTCCACCGCTTGTGAATGTATTTATAATACATATTTTTGTTCACATATCTAAACACGTGAAGGCCTCTATTGTTATATACGTTACAGACTCGGATGGTTATTATTAGTATTCACGGACATGAGCGCTGACCGCTTTGCAAGGTGACGCGCATAGAATTGATGGCTAATTATTTACCGAATACCTCCTGACTTTACACGGAATTCTAGCTACTTGTTCTTGACTGGAAGGGTATACGTAAACACATTGATATACACAGTAAACACCTTGAAAGGTTCAATAAACACAGTGGTCAAGGTCTTAAGAAGTCCCTCTGCCATCAACAAATGTCAGTGCGTCCATGTGTGTTACTCATGTGGTTGCCGTTACACAAAGTAGTCGTAGCGTAGATTCACGGTAATCGTAACACTACGACTGTCGTAACCCCTTTTCCATACGTAGATACACGTTAGTAATAAAACTGCATTGTCGTAATTCCGTTTCTCTACGTATATTTACGGTAGTCGTAACACTGATACTGTCTAAGTCCGTTTCTCTACGTATATTTACGGTACTGTCGTAAGTCTCTTTCTATACGTATATTTGAGGTAGTCGTAACACTGCTACTGTCGTAGGTCCGTTTCTCTACGAAGATAGATGTCCGATAGTCATAAAAATGCGATGAGCGTAACTTCTTTTCTGTACGTAGTCATCTTCCCGAGGCAAGGGAGTTTCCATCCTTGCCGCACTAGGCTCGTATTATGGAGTTACATTTTGGCTAGACTAACGAGTCTATGCATAGTCCAATCAAAATCGGTTAACGAAATCGAAATCCGGTTTGTAAACTGTCATGCAGGTTTCGGTCGATTGCAGTATTTGCAAAGCATGTGCATCGCCAACTCGTTGTCAACAGATATTTTCCAAATATTTTCATGTTTTTAATGAAGACGCTCACGTGATTTGATGCAGTTCGCGATATAAGACCTCTTTTATCAAAATAGAGATCTTGATTATCGGTCAGATCTTCTTGACTGGGCGCCGCCATTTTGTTTGAAGCAAGTGCAAGTGATGCGAGAGGTGGAATCTGATTGGTGAAGGGTCATAACACGTAACAGCCACTGGTGGCGCTACGATCGAGCCCAGAAATTCCAGCCTTGTTCGGCAAGGGACTTGACTTTTGAAGTCAGTAAACTCTCTTGCCTCGGGAAGATGGTAGACGGTAGTCACAGCGCTAAGGTCGGGGTCGCGCATATATTGCTCCAGCATATCTTATTACCCATGGTGCATATGTAATACACACTTGTTAAAAAAGTTCTCTTGCGTTTAACAGGCTCAAACTATAACAATGAGATTAGTGTTATTGAAATGGCAAGTATGTTAGTAATAAGCGTACATATGAAACTAATGTGTCTGAGTAACGTAATAACAATACTGGCCCGTGGGGACAACAGGTACTCAATACCCCATGTTTGTCGTGAGAGCTAATGCCATGGAATAAAATAGTTACGTGTCACCTGTAGGATTATGTGCCATCGTTTCCCGACAAGATAAATTGCTGTTTGTGCTTTCACTGGTGTGTGTTGGTCAGATTCTATTATTTACAGGCCGACAAGATACAGATAGAATATTAAGCAATACGCACAACCTAATTCACTGCATTATAAGGCTCTTTCACTGTAGGCGTGGGTGGGCCGGTGGGATTGGCCTCAGGAGTGTATTTTGCTGCGCACAGCCCACCCCCAACCCCAACCCCAAACACACACATTTTATGCAACATCTTTTCATCCCCAAATACATTTTTGACCCCATCCTCCCTCTAACACACATACACGCACGCACGCACGCACGCACGCACGCACGCACGCACGCACACACACACCACTTTATCCACACCAACCTTTTCTAAATTTCTGATTGTCTAAATTTCAGGTTGACAAAGACACCAAAATACCAGTACAAGGGTAAAATATTAATGTAGCATAATCATGACCGTAAAGCGAATAAAGTGCATTCATCATAAAAAATAACCAAATAATTCTTATAAATTGTCTCGAGGTAAGCATAGTAATCTATAAGCAATGTTTACAAACATCGACTTCCAGCCCCAACATCCGATCAGTCAGACTGGCAAGGCTTTTACAAATAATACGTGCACATGCAAACTCCCCTTTCATGGGTGGGTCTTTAAGTCATTGTAATGTTACTTGTTATGCCATGTGCCAATATTGTAGACTTAACCTTCAATGTAAGTTCTTTTCAGGCTTCGCAATCTCACCGGTCAGCCACCCTCTATAATAAACAGCCAGTCCGTACGGTATTATTGCAATATGATGAACTGTTTGACGCCCTGGACCCGTTGTGTTTCTTTTGACAGCATTGTATAAGGTGTATCCTTTAACTTTACAGGAGTCGACGAAGCGAAGGTCCATCAGCTCCCACCAGTCGGAGGACGGACAGTCAAACTTCAGCGGAGACCCTCCGACATCACCGTCCAAAAGTCGGTTTCCCATTCACCTACAATTAAGTAGCATTCTCGAGAACGGCTGCAAAATGTCCGTGTCCAATAATCTCTTCTACGCTGTGTTAAAGGCTCGGTTTCAGAAAACAAGGTTCCTTCTGGATAGATTCACTGATGTAAATAGTCGCAACGACTTCGGCTACAACACCCTAGTAGCAGCTCTCCACATAGAACACGATGTCAAGCGACACAAGATGTTCACAATGTTGATACGTCACGGCGCAGACCCTGAGAGGAAGGACCTCACCCACGGGAGGAACACACTGTCCTGGGCGTGTCACCTGGGGAGGGAGCTCCAGGTGGAGCACCTCCTACTGGACTATGGGGGAGATATGGACCTAGCGGAGAGAGACAACGATGGGCTGACCGCTCTTCATCATGCTACACACGCGGGCTGCTTGACTATCGTGAAGCTTCTGATCCAGACCTTCCTCAAGTACAGACTCTCCGTAGACGTCCAGGACAATCGTGGGATGACACCCTATGTTCACGCAAGGAGGCTGGGCTTTAAGGAAATCGCTGAGATCCTAAGACAGGAAGGAAGTGCCTCTCCGGCAAAGTCGGATTCCAGGTTCTTTAAATCTCCACGTGAGTGGTCTCAGATTGGGAAGTTTGAGAGACAGAAAGACGAAGAGGTCCGGAGAAGGGAGGAGAAGATCAGGGCAAAGATTGAAGGTCGTGTTACCAGGTTTAAATTCGGGAATAAGTTGCAGGGTTCAGACTTAACCAGAACTGTAATCCCCGAAGAGTCAGGACAAGAGAAATTGTTTGTTAAGAGGACTGTTAACAAACCGGATACAGAAAGTGACAATGCTCAACGTGAAACCCATTCTCTCCCCCCTGATATAGCATCTGTTAGGGCAAGCCCAGATACCACAAGGGTTCGGCCCAAGTCAGACCGACTTTATGACGAGCCTGATGGATCTAAAGGCGGCTCACAAGATGTTGCTATATCTCTAATTGGGATGTCAGGAACGGAACATGGTCGCATAGCTGACACCTTTCATCATAGTCAGCTTGACACGACCAAAGTGTCTGAATACACAGAGATGCTAGGAGGTGTACATGCTTTAATGACCATTCTGTCTCACGAACAAACGCCATCTTTTCGAAAATCGGTCGTTCATGAACCCCCGCCTGTCACCAAGATCCCACAGAAATCCAAATCTAAAGTTTCAACGCTAGCCATTCTGTTCGGCAAAGATAAGGCCAAGAATAGGAGGTCAGGCCGGAAAGGGAAAGGGGTCAGAGACAAGGTTGACGCCCGGAAGCGAAGACAGGGTCTGCTAGGAGGGAAATCAAAACAGGTGATACTGCCGGATATTCGTTTAAATGATCGTGCTGTGTGACACTCGTGTAAGCCATTCCCGTGATAACTGAAACCAAGAGGCTTCTGATAAATCGTAGTATGTGACCAGCATTCAGTATCATGTAATCGGGATTGCAGCACAGTGTGACTGGTATTCAGCATAAAGTGACTGGTATTCAGCATAAAGTGACTGGTATTCAGCACAGTGTGACTGGTATTCAGCATAAAGTGACTGGTATTCAGCATAAAGTGACTGGTATTCAGCATAGAGTGACTGGTATTCAGCAAAAAGTGACTGTTATTCAATATAACGTGACTGTTATTCAGTATCATGTGACTGGTATTCAGTATAAAGTGACTGGTATTCAGTAATATGTGACTGGTATTCAGCATAACGTGATTGGTATTCAGTATTATGTGACTGGTATTCATCATAAAGTGACTGGTATTTAGTAATATGTGACTGGTATTCATCATAAAGTGACTGGTATTCAGTAATATGTGACTGGTATTCATCATAAAGTGACTGGTATTCAGTAATATGTGACTGGTATTCAGCATAAAGTGACTGGTATTCAGTAATATGTGACTGGTATTCAGCATAAAGTGACTGGTATTCAGTAATATGTGACTGGTATTCAGCATAAAGTGATTGGTATTCAGTAATATGTGACTGGTATTGATCATAAAGTGACTGGTATTCAGTAATATGTGACTGGTATTCAGCATAACGTGATTGGTATTCAGTATTATGTGACTGGTATTCATCATAAAGTGACTGGTATTCAGTAATATGTGACTGGTATTGATCATAAAGTGACTGGTATTCAGTAATATGTGACTGGTATTCATCATAAAGTGACTGGTATTCAGTAATATGTGACTGGTATTCACCATAAAGTGACTGGTATTCAGTAATATGTGACTGGTATTCATCATAAAGTGACTGGTATTCAGTAATATGTGACTGGTATTCAGCATAAAGTGATTGGTATTCAGTAATATGTGACTGGTATTGATCATAAAGTGACTGGTATTCAGTAATATGTAACTGGTATTCAGCATAAAGTGACTGGTATTCAGTAATATGTGACTGGTATTCAGCATAAAGTGACTGTTATTTAGTAATATGTAACTGGTATTCAGCATAAAGTGACTGTTATTCAGTATTATGTGACTGGTATTCACCATAAAGTGACTGGTATTCAGTAATATGTGACTGGTATTCATCATAAAGTGACTGGTATTCAGTAATATGTGACTGGTATTGATCATAAAGTGACTGGTATTCAGTAATATGTGACTGGTATTGATCATAAAGTGACTGGTATTCAGTAATATGTGACTGGTATTGATCATAAAGTGACTGGTATTCAGTAATATGTGACTGGTATTCAGCATAAAGTGATTGGTATTCAGTAATATGTGACTGGTATTCATCATAAAGTGACTGGTATTCAGTAATATGTGACTGGTATTCAGCATAAAGTGACTGTTATTTAGTAATATGTGACTGGTATTCAGCATAAAGTGACTGTTATTCAGTATTATGTGACTGGTATTCACCATAAAGTGACTGGTATTCAGTAATATGTGACTGGTATTCACCATAAAGTGACTTTTATTCAGCATAAAGTGACTGGTATTCACCATAAAGTTATTGGTATTCAGTATTAACCTAGTAGACAATGTATGCTTTATGATGACTACCAAAGGCAAGTACAATATTATGTGATGTATAGTATCTTCACAATCATAATGCTCTTAAGACAAATGCACTTTTGTATACTCGAATATTATATTTTAACGACCTTAACAGTATTATCAACAGACAAACAAATGGCACATTCGGGCGTTGCTGTCCCGTCTGTTATTCTAATTACAGATAAACGTCAAATATTCTTGTCGCCTTGTTGAATCTATGACCATCTCAGTTACAGACTGGTGAACGTTCAATGTTCAAAGAACGAACATGTCAGCGACTGCGTATTCATAGCCTGCAATTCGATAGTCCCAATGATAGCGCTCCTATACACTAAGGCGTTGTCAGCGTCGACGTGCTAAGCCAGTCGAGACGATGACAATGGAGTGCATTGTATTATACCAGTTGCATGTTAAGATGTTCCAGTAAACTCTGCTGATGGATATACTGGTTTACATGTGCCTTACAACACCCCCTAAACTTGAAGGCGACTCACGGGATCGGGTGGTCAGGCTCGCTGAGTTGGTTGATTCCTGTCATCGATCCCAATTGCGTGGATCGATGCTCTTGATGTCAATCACTGGATTGTCTGGTCCAGACTCGATTATTTACAGACCGCCGTCATATTACTGAATGCGGCGTTAAACAACAAACAAACAAACAAAAACCTAAACATGACGACAATTCAAGACACTATAATACAGATATACCAGAGCATTTGTTTAAATTCCATGACGCATTCAAACCGTCCTTAAACCTTTATGAACTTATAAATACATTATCTGAAAAGGTAATTGGTTGTGTTAAGAAGTTAATTTGACGACACAATCATGGTAATTCGTTCGAAGGTTTGGCTATAAAATGTTTATCAGATTGTATCGATTTACCATGATCAACCGGTTGCAAATATCCGATAATTGGTTTTCACCCCAGCTACGAATTCAAAACAAAAGGAAAACATGAATCGACAAGACTGTTAGGAGAATCGTCAAGTACAGAACAACAAGGCTGGTATTTCTGGGTGACAATGGAGTTGTAGGGGGTTATCGGCCATATCTGAGGACTACATGTGTGTCACTTTCGTCACGAGTCGTCAGGATTATGTAGAGACTATCGATTCGTCAGCCAAGCAACAGGCTGGGGATATGTAAGTGGGGACCAGCATTTTTAAAATGGGAGGGGTAAAAAATATCTAGATTCTCCCTCAGGCAGATTTTCAAAGGTGTGTGGGTTCGGGGGTGGAGGGGGGTGGGTGGGTCTGCCTATGACATGTACCACTTGCCTATATCGTATACCTGCATAAGCCGTGTCCATGAACACAATGTAAATCCATGCTCACGCCATGCAAACATGCGACGAGAGTACATTATTTTGTAAGGTTAAAGTACCACTGCAGCTTTATTACAGTTTAATGACATATCTACAACTAGGGTACCGATGTCAGTATAAGAAAGAGGTTGCATTAAATAGGCAGTGTGACTAGTAATCGATTTCTACAAAACACAGGTCAATCCTGTACCTGATATCAATAATCTATAGCTAACCAATTTTAATAAACGTAACCTTCTTTTATGGATTTCAAGTGGACTCGGAGTAATTGATTTGAGTCGACGGGAGTTCAGGTTCTGCTATGTACAGTTGAACAAACAGTCTATTATCCAACACATAACAAGAGGCACTATACATCTGGTCCGACTACCCGACCGACCTCGTTACAGAGGGGACGTTTATCCCCACCCTGCGTACACCACACCACGTTAGACTGGAGGGTGGGGTATGCGATTGTCAGCCCAGTGCCGCAACAAATTCATGTAGGACAGCCGAATAAATAAGTAGAAAATACTACGCTCATTCTCGTAAGATACTATTTTTACGAAACGAGTAGACTTTCAAAGTCACATTTCACGAGTTTCGTAAACATGCATACCAAATACTCCAAATTCTTGTCAAACGTTCGAGATATTTTAAATAGCAACGTATAAAATGTCATTTTGTTATATCTTATTTTATGCAATATTGTTTTATTATGTATATTTTATGAAAGGTTATTAATCATGAATTCCCCAGGGGGTATTATCTGAAATGAATCTTGTTACGTATATTCACTCCGATTTAACGTTTGCATACTTATTTCATTTTGTTTCGATATCAGAATCAATTTCCGACCTAACTAATGAGCAGATACATGTACAAAGAGACCACTAGTCTTAGTTCGTTATAACCGTAGTTCGTTATAAGCATATATACAACATATATACAGCAAATGGACAAGCGGAAAAACAGTTCTTATTATCCCCTAGTTCGTATAAGCGTGGTCGTTATAAATGTAGTTTACTGTACACAGGCTTTGTAGCATACTCTGGACAAATATCCCGCCGCTAAACAAGTGATGACAGCTGTCCCGTTCCGCAGAAAGTTGACCTGAAGGCATTGAAACATTGCACATTTCTCCCAGGGTGTTACCATAAAGATTCAAATAAAATATTTGTTGGTGATCACATTACCATATTTATTCGCAATTATGTCCCCAGAAACAAGAATCCAACAAAGGTTAAAAAAAAGTAAAAAATTCAAAGTAATGAAGTCTTAATACTGGTTTGTTTAAAGTCTTTGACACGTATTGTAAAACCCATAACTCGACAAGGAGGAATACCTTTTGCGTCTATAAGACGAAGGATTTGACATTTCCAAATAACAAAATCGATGTCAGCATAAACATAAATTTGACGATCGAACTTTCAATTTGTCGTGACCTTGTATTGTACGAGATCGGATCGATGAATTAGTGTGTTTATGGCTGGCGGACCCGGACAACCGGTTTATGGTAAAGTCCTGCAGGTGATGTAAGGCTTCTCGTTGTATGGTACAATGGTTTAATCTTATCTCCTCAACGCCTACAGGCCGGGCTTTGATGTCGTACAGCCAGATAAGCAGGGCGTGTGTATTCGTATGAATTTATGTATTGACAGTCTCGTCTTACACAGGGTTGACAAACTTTGTGACCGGCGTTGGACGCTCACACCATTCCAGTATTGTTACTTGAACCTACTTGTTCATATGTACCGTAATATATGATCAATTTTGTACGTATGTAGCCTAATATATAATCACACCAACAGGGTTTATATTGGACAAATGTGATAGGTATCATATGACTTGCTGTCGGGGTTTCAAAAGAACCTCGTGGTATATTTTATGATATTGCTCGTGGGTCAATACCGAAACTGTTTTGAGAGTTGTTATATATTTCAGAAGCGAATGGACAAGTGCTATACTTGACATATTGTCATCACAAGTATCATGGGCCTCGTGGAGATTCAGGGTTTGATTAAGCCCCCAGAAACATATTCTTGTCGAAGAGGTGACCAACGGATCGGGAAGTCAGGCTTGGTGACTTGGTTAAAACGTGTCCTCGTACTCCGACGGCGTTGATCGTTGCTCATAATATCAATCACTGGCCCAGACTGGATTATTGAGAAGCCGCCGTCATGTAGCTGGAATGGTTTTGAATGCGTCGATAAATACTAGCAAACACGCATTACGTTAGTGTCTTCCATCAACCCGTACGGTACCTTGATTGAGCGTGGGAATGTTGTTTAGCAACGCAGTTAGCGGACAATTCTTTTTGAATAATCGAGTCAGGACCAGACAAACCAGTGACGGAAAGGTATGACCAACGATTCACGCTATCGGAGCACTCAGTCAGCCAAGTCACCGAGCCCGACCACACGATCCTCTTCAATAGGATCTAACGTCAAACGGGAAACTGACGACATAGGGGAAACTGACGACATAGGGGAAACTGACAAGCTGGAGAAACTGACGACAGACAGGGGTAACTGACGACACGCAGGGGAAACTGACAAGCTGGGGAAACTGACGACAAGCAGGGGAAACTGACACACAAGGGAAACTGACGACATAGGGGAAACTGACGACAAGCAGGGGAAACTGACAAGCAGGGGAAACTGACAAGCAGGGGAAACTGACAAGCTGGGGAAACTGACGACACACAGGAGAAACTGACGACATATGGGGAAACTGACGACAAGCAGGGGAAACTGACAAGCAGGGGGAACTGACAAGCAGGGGAAACTGACACACAGGGGAAACTGACGACATAGGGGAAACTGACGACAAGCAGGGGAAACTGACAAGCAGGGGAAACTGACAAGCAGGGGTAACTGACGACAAAGGAGAAACTGACGACAAACAGAGGAAACAAACGACAAACAGGGGAACTGACGACAAGCCGAGGAAACTGACGGCAAGCAGAGGAAACTGACGACAAACAGGGGAAACTGACGACAAGCAGAGGAAACTGACGGCAAGCAGGGGAAACTGACGACAAGCAGAAGAAACTAACGGCAAGCAGAGGAAACTGACGACAAACAGGGGAAACTGACGACAAGCAGAGGAAACTGACGACAAGCAGAGGAAACTGACGACAAACAGGGGAAACTGACGACAAGCAGAGGAAACTTACGACAAGCAGAGGAAAGTGACGACAAGCAGAGGAACAGACGACAAGCAGAGGAACAGACGACAAGCAGGGGAAACTAACGACAAACAGGGGAAACTAACGACAAACAGGAATAACTGACGACAAGCAAGAGTAGCTGATGACGAACAGGAGAAACTGACGACTAACAGGGGAACATCAAGACAAACAGGGCAAACTGACGACAAACAGGGGACACTGACGACAAACAGGGGACACTGACGACAAACAGGGGAAACTGATGACAAGCAGGGGAAAGTGACGACAAGCAGGGGAAACTGACAAGCAGGGGAAACTGACGACAAAGGAGAAACTGACGACAAACAGAGGAAACAAACGACAAACAGGGGAACTGACGACAAGCAGGGGAAACTAACGAAAAGCAGGGGAAACTAACGACAATCAGGGGAAACTAACAACAAACAGGAATAACTGACGACAAGCAAGAGTAGCTGATGACGAACAGGGGAAACTGACGACTAACGGGAACATCAAGACAAACAGGGCAAACTGACGACAAGCAGGGGACACTGACGACAAACAGGGGACACTGACGACAAACAGGGGACACTGACGACAAGCAGGGGAAACTAATGACAAACAGGGGACACTGACGACAAACAGGGGACACTGACGACAAGCAGGGGAAACTAATGACAAGCAGGGGAAAGTAACGACAAGCAGGGGAAACTGATGACAAACAGGTGAAACTGACGACAAGCAGGGGAAACTGACGACAAACAGGGAAACTGACGACAAACGGGAAACTGACGACAAACAGAGGAAACTGACGACAAACAAGGGACACTGACGACATGCAGGGGAAACTGACGACAAACAGGGGAAACTGATGACAAACAGGGGAAAATGTGAACATTCACCTTAATCTCCGTTGCACGATTCTCAGAGAGACCCTTTGGGACTTACACTTATCACGAAAACAAAGAAAGTGTATCATTGTAGTGAATGGGGATTCGTCAAGGAGGTCCGAACCCTTGGAAATATTTACATATACCTGCCTGTGATTAAGCCACCCAAATTGATGGTTGCAATGCAAAAATTTAAATAGGGATTCAAAGCTAAGGATTGTCGAAATTGTTTGTGACCGTCGAACCGTTGGTTCATCAAATATAATAACGTATTTGCTGGCGACCCTCAAGGCCCGGTTAACTTCCTCACGTTGGTTACATTGTGCAAAGCCAATTTATCCTGACAATAGCTGTGTTATGAATGGTACAATGTTCGCTTCAAGTCACACTGAACGATGCTCAGAAACACAGAATAGAAACCGAAAAATGCTGACAGTTATAAAACCACACCGCTTAACATAAGCATAAAATAATAATTTTTTCTATGTTATTCCTTCGTCTACAACTGAGATGAATTGTGCACCTAATCAACCCACATTCTCAGTTACGGTTTGCATGTGCGTGCGTTTGTGCGTTTGTGCGATTGTGCGTGCTTGCTTGCTCGTGTACATAATATTAACTGAGAATTAATATTAACTCATTCAGGTGTAGAGTACTTACTTAACAATATTATTCATAATTGATGGTGGGGAAGCCTTGTGGTTAAAGCCTTCGCTCGCCACGCCGAAAATCCCCCCCCCCCCCCGCCGTGTTGTTGCTGAAATATTGCTAAAAGCGTCGAAAACACTCACTCACCCACTCACTCACTCACTCACTATCATTGATAAGCTATATCTAATAACTATAACACACCAAACCGTTAATCGATTCGAGACTCTGGACACAAGACACTGATCCATCAAGAATTATTGTTCATCAGTTGTATCGTAAACAGGCTAGCGTTATCTTATTTCTATATTCTTGGCCGGCGGGGTAGCCTAGTGGTTAAAGCATTCGTTCGTACCGCCGAAGACCCGGGTTCGATTCCACACATGGGTACAATGTGTTGAGCCCATTTCTGGTGTCCCCCGCCGTGATATTGCTGGAATATTTGCTAAAAGGGGCCTAAAACTACACTCATTCACTCACTTTTTCAATATTCTAAAGTTTCATTTTGTCGAAAACCGCGGACTAACTGACGGGACAATCAACGGTTCAATCAACCCTTTCATTACCTAGTTTCTCAGACCAGCAGGTATCACGGAGCAGCCCTCCCACAGTGACCACACGAAGCGTATCGACAAGCAAGCTGAACGACACAACACCACGTATTGAGCGCGCTGTGACCAGACATCAAACCCACATTAATCAAAGCAACTAACAAGCGGAGAAAGCTTGATCACCACGATGTTGTGTCGCTCTTGACGGGCGCTCCGAATGGGGAATGCAATCTGTCCAGAGCTATATCGAATTTAGAAGCTGTGGTCGCTATTTTGGCAAGGCATGAGATTGATCACTCTCTCTATGTACTCACAATTAAACCAACGGCACACACAGATCCATGATAAACTGGTTCATTTATATCTTATACCTCATGTAGACCTCTCAGCTTGTCATTTGTAGGCACAATGTACGACATATTTGTTTCACACAACGTGATAATTATATGTTTGTTTGTTGCTAAAATTCCGCACTCAGCAATATTGCAGCTCCTAATAATCGTTTATGTGGCAAAACCTTGAGATAAAGGTACAAGATTCTATAGTTATGCAATGTTTAACTATAGAATGTTTATTCCTAATACAGGATATTTACCATCCCCAAACAGACCAGCATGATAACCTCTATTTATTGGTGTCATCTGTAATATGTTAAGGATACCCTGATAGATAGTTCTTATGGAGAGCCAGAAGGCGGCCCTCTTGCAATTTAACTGCTGCTACTGCTACTACTACAACTACTACTACTACTACTACTACTACTACTACTACTACTACTACTACAAGCTTTAACATCTTGGCTACTCGACCACCATTGATAAACCAAGAATAGTGTAACAGTATAAACTCGCTGGAGTGCTCTCCCTTATTGTACTGTATCAAAGGCATGGGCGAGTGAGAGAGTTTGGTTTTACGCCGCTTTTAGCAATATTCCAGAAATGGGCTTCACACATTGTACCTATGTCGGGAATCGAGCCGGGTCTCCAGCGTGACGAGCGAACGCTTTAACCACTAAGCTACCCGACCGCCCTCCAAGGAATGAGATCTCTTGGGAGGGAAAGACAACATCGGCATCAATGTTCCGCAAATTTTATTTATCACATGTATATACAATAAACAACAAAAACACAATGAGTCGACAAGCACACGATGAGGAGCGCTCAAGCATCGATGTGATAACCTCCTGCCCTAAGGGTTGACGCTAAAATACAATTCTGGAAAGAAAATCATCAATCAAATATAATGAAATAGTGGCCTGTTAAAGCAACAATCGATTGCCAGGATTACTTTGTGGAACTGTGGATACTTGGTATATGCAAAAGGGAATTTAACACAATGCCGATACCATTACAGAACCAGACCTATATCCATCGAGGATTAGAAATTAACCAGTTAATCACTCAACAAATGTTGAACGGAACACCAGAAAATAAACTTATAAGCTTCAAAAACTACATTCACAACGTCTACATTGTGTGTCAGTATATATTGTGAGTGAGTGAGATTGGTTTTACGCCGCTTTTAGCAATATTCCAGCAATATCACGGCGGGTGACACCAGAAATGGGCTTCACGCATTGTACCCATGTCGGGATTCGAACCCGGGTCTTCGGCGTGACGAGCGAACACTTTAACCACTACCGCCAGACCGCCCCGTATATATTGTGGGTTCACGTTTTAGTCTTTTAAGGCAAAAGATACTCCTTCACTTTCCCATCAACACCGACAAATAGGTGTCTCTCATTGTAAAGATGCAATGCAGTGAGAGAAGCCAGTCCATCCTCTGGCACAAGAACGTCCTTGACATACTGCCCAGACTCTGTCAGCTGTATCACCCTGTTGGCTTCACCGTCTGCCAGGAGGATGTCTCCAGTTCGGGTAGTCTTCACAGCGACTGGTTTGATGAATGCGCCGTCCTCAGCGGGGCTCTGGTCCCACAATAAATCACCCTGTTGTGTCATGCATACAAGAGACTTCCTCTTCCAGTTGGCTAGGAGGATGTTTCCATTACTGGCAACACACAACCTATGATAGCCACCTTTGTCACGTTCGAATGGAGACGGGAAGGTTTTGACTATATTTATTTCCTTCTCCTTCCTATCCAGGATATCAACGGTACCAGTGTCATACCTGCAACCTACTAGCGTGGAAGGAGTTAACCCACGTAGGCCTACGTAACGATACATGCTTTCGATTTCAGAGAGGCAAATGAGGTCAGGTGTGACAGCCAGTATCAATATTCTGAAGGTTTCATGGGCAGACACCATCACTTGGTTGTGCCCCAGCTGTGTCAAATCATAAGGCGTGGCCACACCATATTCGCTATGACACGATTCGTTATTCTTGGTGTAGAAGGATTTGACAGATCTATTGAGACAGTCGGATACAACAATTGTCCTGATTCCTTCCACATCGAGGACGATGATATCAAATGCGTAGCCAGTCTGTCTGAAGTCTTTCTTTAAGGCAACATTAGTGGTACTTAGAAGCTTAGGACGACACGAGCGGTCATGTAAATCCTGGAATGTAAGATCTAGCCGACCAAATGAAAGGTCATCAAAAACCTTCTTGACATTTTCAGAGTCTTGTGAGACGGAGACATCGTGTATAAGACGCACAAACTTGTCTTCATCCTCTTTCTGTCCTGACAGAAGCTTTTGATGAGCAGGGTATAGTTCCATCCAGTCGTTGTTGCCGAGCATCGTCTTGAGAACAAGATTGTTTTGATTGATCGATTGGATGTCTGTTTCATTTTGCCTCACATCATCAGATAGCAGCTCAAACTGCTTCTCAGAGACTCCCTCAAGTCCGTCCATTAACTGTTTCTCTTTCTGTCTGAACTGACTGATAATTGTATCGCTGACACATCGTATTTCTGATTGAATGCGTGTTCTTGTCTTCCTTGACTCGGAAATGCTTGCCTTTATTCTCTGTATATTTTGATGTTTCATTTGGATTGTTCTGGAGATTGATTTTCTCTTTTCGGATAAATCAAGATCTGATTTCGTGGACTGAGTGCTGACACCATCTTTGCATGTTGCTTGTTCTTCATCTGACTCTGGGCAACAGTCTCTGCTTTGACCTTGGTATGGTTCCTGTGACTTCTTCGTTTTCACTACGTTTGATCCTCCAGTATTTCCACAACTTCTTTTTTCCCCCGATCGTGTCGTAGGCATCGTGTAGACGTGTGAAGAGACACAATCACTGCTTAATGTACAGCAATGTTATGTCACCTCACTAAGATGTGTCAGCTTGACTGGTAGCAGGACAGTTAACCTGTAAATAACAAAAACAGATGTTAAAGGTGTATTCTTGTAGGCGTGAGTGAGGCGTCTTACAGACCTATAGTTATAGAAGGGTGTCTATAATAGTTTGCTGTCATATCTTCTTACACGACTACAGCTGTTACTGAATGTGTACAGTCTACGGAGACGCACATCTACTCACTATGCAGAGTTGTATCCCTTATTCACTCGTTGGCATTTCACAGTTTAGAGGCTCATTATATTTACGGTAGAGAGGCAGGCGTAGATAATAATCGCCATATATTTCCTACCTGAAATACAATGTCTGGTGTGTACTGCTGCGTTTGATTTGAGGCACCTCGTGACGTTTGTCCATACAAACATTAGATGCTTTCTATACATGATTAGTTTCCTCGTCTCTGGATGATACGACCTTAACCACATGACAGTCATATGAACAACTCCATTGTGAAAAGATGGCCTGTGCACTTGTTTACACAATTGTCCTTTGAAACCTATCAGTGTGTCTGTGTCACGTCTCTTCACCCGCGTTGATGCCTCGCGTTGATGCTGTAAGGGATTAACCGTTTGATATCCACACCACCCCAACACCCTACCACCCCCTACCCGACCCATCCAACACACCCCTCCCAAGAGTATCAAATGGTCCGTCCCATACTCCGAGGTAGAATAGGTCGCGAGTGTATGAAGCTTGTAATTGATAACATATTAACATACATGTCGGTATCAGGGACTTGCCTGTTTCGTCGTCACCGTGTCCCGGTGGGCTCCTGCTACAGCATTCAATCGATTACCATTAATCCAGTTGTACTCTGCTATGCACAACAGATTGGGTATTAATTTATAAACACGAGACAAATAAGATCGTGGTACTCTGACTATATTAGTACATGGTCGCTATATTTATGGAATACTATCGGGAAAAGTGTTTCCAGTTTATCAATGTGCTATGCTTTGGTGACCGCCTCCGTGGTCTAGTGGTAGAGCGTTCGCCCGGAGAGTGGAAGATCCGGAGTTCGATCCCCGTCCGCGTCACACCAAAAGACGTTAAAAGATGGTATTTGTTGTTATCCTGAGTCAGTATACTGTGTCTGGGTGGGGTATTTATGTTAAACTGAGTCGGCTAGCACTATAAATCCACACACACACACACACACACACACACACACACACACACACACACACACACACACACACACACACACACACACCTGTGAGAAGAAACACCTCCCTCCTGTTGTTCCACCCTAACAGAAGTGTGTCCGCTGTGTTGGTCCCACTCGGCTCGTCACAGTGGGCGCAACCCTGCTGGGGTCGTGCTTCCAAACCACGTCACCCTCGGGTGTTTCTCAAAGTCCGTTGGTTAGGGGGATGGAGTTATATGGGAGATAGCTAGCTAGGTAGGACATAGTTTATAACATTCTTAACAGCATTTTAATTTTCGGTATTTGATTGATCAAAGAAGTCTTTTCAAGACATTCTTTGAACCAGATCAACGACAGCGAAACTACAAGATCTCCATTTAACTCGGCATATCGCTTAAATCGATGTAGTTTCAGGACAACATCAGAATTACTTCTACTAATCATTATATATATATGGATGTTCCAGCTTGTTTCGAATCATTATTTTTTCATGTATTTGTGTGGTCTCTACGGGATTTCAATGTACTTACTAAACCAAATAAATAAACACTTAGCAGAACTAGTACACATCTCTGACGATGACACACACTGCCTGTATTTGTTGAGTGTTCACATAAATCATGCAAGTGCAGCGGGTCTTGAACACCTATGCCATGGCATGGATGTAGGCTTTACGCCTAATATCGCTCAAGGGAATGCATCCAAGTATTTTATGTCTATGCTTGCACCCATGAAACACGATCAGTAGCCTTCGTCAATAATATGAAAGTTGTGACATGTGTGCAGGATGAAGTAGGTATCATTGATGTTGCTCAGTAAAGGCAAACTCTTTGATATCATTTCCGTCACATACGAATAAATGCCCACGTTTATCAAGACAAAGTCCAGATGGGTTGTGAACCCCTTGATCCGGCGTAAGGACGTCTCTGACAAACTCCCCCGTATCTGTGAGCAGGACCACCTTCCTGACGCTGTTTAACCAGCCGGACACAAGGATGTCCCCTGTGCTGGTCTGGATGATCCCATCTGGATACACTATGGATGGCATACACCTGCTGTGGTCGTGTTTCCACACCAGATCACCCTCGGGTGTCATGCAAAACACAGAGTTCGCTTTTCCGTCTGACACAACGATGTTGCCGTTGTTGTCCACGAAGAGGTACGCAGAGTAGTGGATGAGGGAATTGCTTATTGATCTCATTACGTTGCCATCCATATCAATAATGTCAACACAGTAGCCAGTCCCGTGTTGTCCACCTCCTGCTACTAAAGTTGTAGGGCTGAGAACGGCAACACTGTAGTATCGCCCACATGGGATGGTTGAGAGCAGTGTCAGCTCAGGGGTCACTTCTACAATGACAAGCTGGGCAATCTTCGGTAGAGCTATTATCACCCTGTTCTCCTTTAGATGTGTTATCCCATGTGGGTAATGCTCCAGTGGAAGAACGCTAAAGCAAGGACCGTTGTTTCCTGTGTAGAAAGATATCAGTTGGTGGTTTCTACTATCGGTGACGACAACTACATCCATTCCATCAATATCGAGAACAGTAACATCTTGTGCAAGTATTGCATGGGCTTTCTCATCCAAAGATGTGCAGTTGATCGTGTTAACCAACGTTGGTGTATATAAGGGATTATCGCGATACGTGAAATCTACCTTCGCCAGCTGCAGGTTGTCAACGGCTTTGTCAACTCTCTCCGAGTCCTGATTGAATGTGATTGTGTTTATTGGACGTATAACGTCCCCGTTACTCATCCCTTCCTTAAAATCCATTACTTCTGCCAGAAAACTCTGATACTTAGCCTTATCGCCATCGTGCACAGCTTTGTTGATGAAGTCAGATTGCTGTTTGCAAATGTGCAACTCAGCTTCTTCTTTCAACAACTCAGCGTTCAGCTGCTGGAGCTGCTTCTCCGTCACTTCCTCCAACTCTGTCATCATCTTCTCCTCCTTATGTTTAATCCTATCCACGGCATTCGCGACAATTACAGCAATGCTATCTTGGTTGGATTCTTTACGTTCACGGGCCTCCGTGATGACTCTCTGTTGACGTTGCACGTAAGTCGACCGTTCATCTACTCGCTTGGACAATGTCCTCACTAGGTCCTGCAGGACATCCTTGAGTTCTGACGTCATCGGTTTGGTCGTAGCAACGCCGGCATTGGATTGTTGATACTGCTCACTTGTTCCTGTTTTATCAACACTCGGCGATTTGGGATTCCTTCTGATTCGACCCGTCTTCACTTCAACCCCCGTAGCTGGGTCACTGAGGATAAGGTCACGTTTTCGACTGGAACGAGTTTGAGGCATCTTTGAACTGTTGAGTAAAAATACACTACTCAACGAAATCAGCGATGAAAACATTGCAATACGTTATTTCAGATTAATGGTGAAGTCAGATTGGTTTACAACACCATCTACTGTTGCACGGCCAAGATAAAACATAGGTCATTCAGCGTTCAAAGGTCACTTTATGGAGCGACATACATTACTGTGTAGAAGTAGGTTAGCCCACGCCACTGCATTGTTAGCGACGTTCATGGACGCAACACCTGTACAGAGAAACAGCGGCTGGACGTATTTGTGTCTGTGTTTCCCGTCTCCCGACCTTCCTCAGTGAAATAACATAAAACTTTCTTATCTCAATTTCTCCTGTCGTGTGAAACTGCAATAGCAAAAAATACTCCTACCATTGCCCACTTTAAAAAAGACAGGTCATCTTTCTCCAGCTAGTGTTATTAAAAAATCGTTTCCGAAGTAAAGTTACTCGATTTGCATCATAAATAAATTTAACGACTAATACCAAGTGTTCTAAACATTGATATGTCAACAAAGAGTTAATGTTTTATCACAAAACATTAACTCTTTGTTGACATATCAATGTTAAGAACAGTATTTTTTATATGAATTCATATTTGTCGCCATCCGGCCCTCTTAATCGTTGAGGTTGGAGATGAGAAACACATACAAAACATATGGATGGCCTTATTGTTATCGACTGAGAGTACATGGTTTCTCAAGTATCCAACGTAACGATGGTGTCCTTACCTGTACGGTTGGTCTATGTTAGAAAGGAATGAATTCTGCGCAATGTGCTCACAATAATCAGATGCTCTACAGACGAAGTTGTCTGTTGCACTGTTTCAGCAAGAGCAGGTCGGGCTGTAACCTAATTCAAAACAAAACGCCCTCTCACTGATAAAATGATATGTCGTATCTTGTACCAAGCAAGGCAGGATTGTGATGCATGACTCACCGGCAGATTACGGGTGCAAGATAACATTTTTATTGTATTTTGACGTTTACGTAAAATACTCATACGTTACCATATGTTATCCCCTTAATTATATTGAAATCAGCGAAAAATATACACCAATAGCAACGAGTATCAATAATAACAATAAAGTTGAATAATTAAAACATGAAGCGCTTTGCAAAATTGCAAGGCCACTTTTATGCATCAGCGCATTGGCAACGATCGTTTAAATAAGAACTAATACCAGTGCGTCGAAAGTATGACGATATGTTTTGTATATTTTGGAATTCAATGTTAAACATTACGGATGTTATGTTAATCATTTTAAATTTAGATTTTATTAATTAATATCCACTAAGACATTAAAACCAAGATTACATTATAAAACTGATCAGTCTTCACCGTGTCGTAAGATATGGTCACTTAACATTTTTCTACATATTGTTGTTGATACTAACGTCTTCAGTATTTCCGCAAAAGTGACGGGATAGAATGAATTCTTGGGTGAACCATGTGAGTCTTTTACGACCGCTTAGAGCAGTTTACTCTTCATTCATGCTGTAACGCTCAGTCAGTGTGTCTTTGAAACCTAAATGGGAAGTCCAAACATAAGTATAATATAAAACACCTATTGTAGCTACTCGTGTCAAGGTCAAAGACTATGACAGACAACACCCCGTTAAAGGCTACTCGGGGTATACTAATTACAACAACTCTCACACATGATACTGTCGGTATCTGAATTGTCGCTCAGTGTTAAATAGAGAACAGAAAAATAGAGTAGCCTCCCTTACTACTTAAAAGTGTTTAAAGGGAGCGTTTGAAATTCGCGGGACCTGGAAGTGAGTGAGTGAGTGAGCTGGGTTAAGACGCCGCTTTGAACAGCATTTAAGTTGTATCAGGGCAAGTCAACTTGATGGAGTTTACCAACGAGCACTTTGTAGAACAGGTCCTTGGTCCTATAGGAATTGGCTTTTAAGCACGTTTAGTCAAAGAAATCAGACCAATAAACTTAACATCCTTTAAGCCAGGATGACCTGGCCTCCATTAAAAGACGATGTCTGACCTCCTTAGCACCGCGATGGTCTGGCCTCCATTAAACCACGATGGCCTTACCCCCTTAAAACCACTGTGGTCTGTCCTCCATGCAGGATGGGACTACCTCAAATTTCCAAACACAGCGGGTTTATCTCCATTCTTCCACGACGGCAAGAGGGTGTGAAAGGGGTGCGCTCTTGCAAGGCGTTACTACAGCTCGATAGGTCCTAGTCTCCCTAGGGTCTCACTCAAAGCATTTGGCAACAGAACTTTTGCTCACACTACATCTTTGCTCTGGAATTCCCTTCCAGTGGAAATTAGGTAATCTCCAACTCTGGACACTTTCAAGACAAAACTGAAGACTTATCTCTTTAGATGTGTCTATGACCCTGTGTGAAGTCTATGAGCGACTACGTAGACGGAAATGGCGCTGAAGAATGGACTTTATTATTATTACAAAGGGTATAAAACTCGCTATCTTAGAACATTCCGAAAAGGGGTCACGGGTAGTAATAAATGTAACAGATATTGCCAAATTTCAACATTAAAATACCCATAGTCTTGACCAGTTCAAAATAGGTGTTCAAAACACAGAGGTTTTCTAAAAGAATTTGACAAATAACCCTCCAAACTGAGTATATATGTTTTAATTTCATCGGAACTTTTTATGCACTGTTTGGACTCGAGACGGCTCGATAGGTCATTTCTTGCGAATCAAATATGCCATCTGGCATTGTAGGGTTATTTAAGAAATGCTGAACGAATTTAATTCGCCAACAATTTTAGCAATTAACATACTACTATTTATTTAAAAATGTGTACGTCTTAGTTACAATAACCCCCAGTAAATAATACAAATTATAATACAAGATAATTCAAAATAAATGCCTCTTCACCCGGAACTGGGATGTGGAAGAACTTGACCAACATCACGGTTACTCACAACTCTCAATGGCTGCCAATGTTTGTGTTTACAATATGCGTGCTTCTGACAGGTAACACGAAGCAAGGTGACAACCCCGATCTATGATGTGGTTCAACATTAACCTGTAGATTTACTGGGAATGAGCTTGTGGTACAACAGGATTGCCAATAGAACTGGAACATGACTGAACAGCCCTTTTTAGGCTGCAGACGAGCCGACTATTTTGATATGAGGGGTTGGATTTAACCTGTCAATTTCATGATTTCACGACATTCGACGACTCTATCGTGTGAAAGAAGTGTGACAGCTGTGACCCGGAAACAGTGGTTCGTGTATGGTTTGCTTAATCGTGCGTGTTCTGAAATGAGACCGCCTCTGTGGTCTAGTGGTAGAGCGTCCGCCCGGAAAGCGGAAGGTCCGGGGTTCGATCCCCGACCGCGTCATACCAAAATACGTTAAAAGATGGAACTTGTTGTTACCCTGTCTGGCGCTCGGCATTAAGGGTCTAAAACAAGGACTGGTCGGCTCGGAGTCAGTATACTGTGTCTGAGTGGGGTATTCATGTTAAACTGCGGCATGGTATCTCATTGAGCTAGCACTATAAATCGGCATCAGTCCGGACTAGAACAAGCAGCCACACACACACACACGTGCATGCACGTCGCTATACAAGTGCAATAATCTTGGGCGACGTTAAACCCTATTTCACCTCACCTCTGAAATGAATTTCATCAAGTTGTTATGATCAAGTTCCTGTGATGTGACTTCAGTGATGTCGGGACATTGTTTTAGTGGTCTTTCGAAGGGAGGAGTGTTTCCTGATGGACTTTCAAATCCCTCCTGCCAAATTCTAACGGTGGTGGTTGAGGGAGACGGCAATGAATATCGATCACAAAAAGGTTTGTAAACAACTTGCTGATGAATAGGATAAACAATTCTTATGATAATTGTTATGTGGCAGTGTATGTTATTGTCTTATAGTTATATAGGGGGGGGGGGGGGGACAAAGGGGGGCCCAGTCGTCTAAGGCGCCGCGATTCGCTGTGCAGAGTTGCGTCCCTGGACACGCAGGAAACCTATGATTGTGGGTTCGAATCCCGGTTCGCCCCGATTATGTTTCTAGGTTTGTCAGCACCATACCCGTGCTCGTGGGTTTCACCGAAGTGGTAAACGTCTGAGACCTGCATCACTTTGGGCTTTCCTCCCACATTAAGCTGACACGCCGTGATATAACTGGAATAATGTTAAAAGCGGCGTTAAACCCAACTCACTCACTCACTCTTGTCTAATAGTGATTGTGACTATAAATTGTTTCTGTTGAGATTCGGTAGACGCTCGTTGTATTGCGTATGGGCAGTGATCAGTCGTCAGGAGGTTACAATATGTAGATGCTTGTGTCGTGTGTAAACTTCCAGTCTGTACACTGCGGTTGGTTATAGTATGTTATAGAAACATATGGGAAGTTCTGTAATATTCTACGTTTTGAGACCACTATCTGGAACTTTCCAGAGTCTGGAAAGGTTGTCTATAAGAGGACAATAGCGAGTTTACGTATGGAACACACAAGCATTTTCATAACGTCAAGGCCAGCTTTCATTCGAGGATCGCTCATCATCCCTGATTCCCTGACCAGCCCATCTCGGAAGCTTGACCACTGTCGCCGCTGGATGGATATATGGTATTATCAATGTCTTTAGCTATCACCACTTTCTTTTGCATTTGATACTGACCACTGCAATCATATTATTAATTGCCATTGAATATTGTACTCTTTTGTTTACTGCAATTGTAATTGCTGTGCAGTAATTTGTATTGATTTGTAAACTTATTGAATTTTGTAATACATTTGTTGATTGTATACCACTTGCTGGTCGGTTCTTTTACGAACAGATTTATGGATTAACGTATTCTTTCAATTTGGGAATCGACACGTAACATGAGGTTGTATCTTACTTTCGTTGTCAGTTGTTTCAGTGAGAACTTTGCCTGTTCCGAGTCTGTTCGCCACCGAACATGTCTCAAACAGTTTCATAAACATTATCATTTGTATGCAAAGATATGCCTTTGTTAAGTCTTGTATTGTCATCATCGAAGCAGTCAGGTTTACGGCCTAGAACGTCATATCGTCGTCAAAAGGTCCGATATGAGTGAGTGAGTGAGTGAGTGAGTGAGTGAGTGGGGTTTTACGCCGCTTTTAGCAATATTCCAGCAATATCACGGCGGGGGACACCAGAAATGGGCTTCACACATTGTACCCATGTCGGGAATCGAACCCGGGTCTTCGGCGTGACGAGCAAACGCTTTAACCACCAGGCTACCCGACCGCCCAGGTCCGATATGAAACTACCGTATTTCCTCTATTAGACGCTTGGCCGTCTATTAATTTCGCGAGAGTCGTTGACCGGTGTGTATTGGAGACATGGCTTGTATTAGAGACCCAGCGTGTAATAGACGAAATATAGATACGTTTTACAGTATGAATCGATATGTAGGCTGTCGATGTATTCATACGCGCGTTGTGAAAAGGCATAATATATTTGAAAGGGGTTTCCGTAGCGAGAAGGAAACCTCTTAATCAACCAGAATCAAGCATTCTTCAATAAAACAACAGATCCCATAGAGGCGTGTCGACATATAGCTACAGATCCCATAGGGGCGTGTCGACATATAGCTACAGATCCCATAGAGGCGTGTCGACATAAAACAACAGATCCCATAGGGGCGTGTCGACATATAGCCATACATCCCATAGAGGCGTGTCGACATATAGCCACAGATCCCATAGAGGCGTGTCGACATATAGCCACAAATCCCATAGAGGCGTGTTGACATATAGCCACAGATCCCATAGGAGCGTGTCGACATATAGCCACAGATCCCATAGAGGCGTGTCGACATAAAACAACAGATCCCATAGGAGCGTGTCGACATATAGCCACAGATCCCGTAGAGGCCTGTCGACATATAACCACAGATCCCATAGAGGCGTGTCGACATATAGCCACAGATCCCATAGAGGCGTGTCGACATATAGCTACAGATCCCATAGAAGCGTGTCGACATATAGCCACAGATCCCATAGAGGCGTGTCGACATATAGCCACAGATCCCATAGAGGCGTGTCGACATATAGCTACAGATCCCATAGAGGCGTGTCGACATATAGCCACAAATCCCATAGAGGCGTGTCGACATATAGCTACAGATCGCATGGAGGCGTGTCGACATATAGCCACAGATCCCATAGAGGCGTGTCGACATAAAACAACAGATCCCATAGGAGCGTGTCGACATATAGCCACAGATCCCGTAGAGGCCTGTCGACATATAACCACAGATCCCATAGAGGCGTGTCGACATATAGCCACAGATCCCATAGAGGCGTGTCGACATATAGCTACAGATCCAATAGAAGCGTGTCGACATATAGCCACAGATCCCATAGAGGCGTGTCGACATATAGCCACAGATCCCATAGAGGCGTGTCGACATATAGCTACAGATCCCATAGAGGCGTGTCGACATATAGCCACAAATCCAATAGAGGCGTGTCGACATATAGCTACAGATCGCATGGAGGCGTGTCGACATATAGCCACAGATCCCATAGAGGCGTGTCGACATATAGCCACAGATCCCATAGAGGCGTGTCGACATATAGCCACAGATCCCATAGAGGCGTGTCGACATATAACCACGGATCCCACAGACGCTAGTCGACATATAGCTACAGATCCCATAGAGGCGTGTCGACATGTAACCACGGATCCCACAGACGCTAGTCGACATATAGCTACAGATCCCATAGAGGCGTGTCGACATGTAACCACAGATCCCATAGAGGCGTGTCGACATATAGCCACAGATCCCATAGAGGCGTGTCGACATATAGCTACAGATCCCATAGAGGCGTGTCGACATATAGCCACAGATCCCATAGAGGCGTGTCGACATATAGCCACAAATCCCATAGAGGCGTGTCGACATATAGCTACAGATCGCATGGAGGCGTGTCGACATATAGCCACAGATCCCATAGAGGCGTGTCGACATATAGCCACAGATCCCATAGAGGCGTGTCGACATATAGCCACAGATCCCATAGAGGCGTGTCGACATATAACCACGGATCCCACAGACGCTAGTCGACATATAGCTACAGATCCCATAGAGGCGTGTCGACATGTAACCACGGATCCCACAGACGCTAGTCGACATATAGCTACAGATCCCATGGAGGCGTGTCGACATGTAACCACAGATCCCATAGAGGCGTGTCGACATATAGCTACAGATCGCATGGAGGCGTGTCGACATATAGCCACAGATCCCATAGATGCGTGTCGACATAAAACAACAAGTTCATAGAACCACATCAATTATGAAGCTCAAAATATAATATGGGCATGGACACATGAAACTCCATGCAGATACTTAAGGGACTTGGTCACTTAAGATTGAAGATACTTTTTGGACATAGTCACATGAAATCCCTGGTACATTAGGAACAATATTACATGGAAGTACGGATACAACAGGGGCATGCCACAAGATCTGAAAGTCCCTGGCCATGACACTCGACATACAAGTGATATGTACCTCGTTAAAGGAAAGTATGTAAACCTGGTGAATGTGTATCGTGTAAATAAAAGCAAAGACCCCTGGCAACACCAAGACAGATGATACACATTATGGAGTGGCAGAAAACCAAAACTTTAAAGTACGTATGGACATTTTACCATGACATTGAATGCGTCGCAGTTAAGTCATAGTAGAATGGCGGGAAACATATTCTGCTCAAAATTTAAATCAGAATAGGTTTATCTCCCAATTCACTTGATCAAGGAAAAAAAGGACAAAAAAAAGAGAAAAAGACATTGGTAATTAAGTATATTTTAGTATATGGACACAGACGTCATAGGAACATCATTGTGCAGACATGTAATATATGTTACATATATTCTTAGAGATGAAGAGCTTAGAGCCATAAGGGCCAATGTCATGTGGAGTCTGCTGTGAGAAAAGTGATGAAAACACATAATATTGTGTATGTTAATGAACTTGTTTTACCGATAAGTTCCTAGACATTAACGCATTCTGACAGCAGAGATATAAATGTCGTTATAAAACATTCGAAAAAGGAAATAAACTTACGTTTTTAATATGTGTAAAGGTGGAAAAGGCCAATGTCTGTATTTTGGGCCCTTTTTTACCCTTAGGCATTTGCATACTATTATTAGGATTTAACATGTGAAATTGATAAACTACTACTGAAAGTACAAACTCTTACTATTGAAGTACTTTTAAATGATTTAAACTTATGCCAACTTTGTTGAAATAGTTGAAATATGATAATAAGGAGACAAACTTTCAAAATCTCTCTCAAACAACCAGTCTCAACCACACACGGAAATGAGAGCTAAAAGGGCCAAAATCTAACAAAGTGACTATGGCCCTTTTGAAACTTTCTTTTGGCCCTTTTATAGAATTGTAAGTAGCTATATTTTAAAAACCCATTAATGAAAACATACAATATTTTTTCTACAGGTAGACAAGAACTCATAGGTGTTATTTATGCAATAATATGCAAAAAGGGCCAAGGTGCATTTTGGCCCCTTTTAGCTCTAAGCTCTTCATTAATGTCGAAAGACAAGGGTCACGTTCTGTATAAACATGTCACTGTACTGTAGCAGAGGATTACATCATGCCTGCCAGTATTGTACACATTGAGATAAAGTTATCTCTTGGCAGCAGCAAACAACAGGCACATCACGAATTAAGGTGCACTTCATGAAAGCACTATTACCTTTCAATTTTACCATTTCGAGAAGACCAATTTCAAAATGCAAAACCCCTTTCCTTCATAAAGTCCATAGCTTTCATTCCGATCTTTGGTTTGCTCTCTTTCGGCTTTCGCGGGGGGATGTGGAGACAGTCCATGTTCTTCACGATGTCTTTCACATCAAATGAAGTCTGGTAGTCCTTTATTGGTGTAAGCGCATGTTCCAAATTACTATAACGTCTGTCGTTTGTTAAACTATCCATGCTCATACCGTATCTCCTTGACGATCCTTTCTTAGCCCATGTTTTAACTCCACCACCGGCCGATTCTCGTCCAATTGCACCGAGCATCGTTACTGAGGCTGCAGAAAGACCCGCCGCCGAAACAACAACGTTTGGTAATCGTGGGGCCTCGGTTGCCAGTGATTCGTTGGCCCAAGGTTTCACACTGTGTGTTCCTGGTAGCTTAAAGGCCCCTGATGATTTCGCGGCCATCTCTGTGACCAGATCTGGTATAAACGTCACTGATTTACCCTTTAAACCATGATCGCCGTTCCGCAATTCCCTCGGCCTATCGCGTCCATTTTTCGGATCCATCCTCTCAAGAAACGCCTGACGCGCATTGGTATATTTCCCCGGTCCCTTAACACGGTACGAAGACACACTGGAATCACTGTTCTCTATAGAAGACCTCCTACTGCTCATTGTATCACTCTGAGTTAACATACGTTTGAAGACACTGGACTTCCGCTGCATTCTGTCGACGAACACCTTCTTCTCGTAGGCATTCTGGGAGAGGAATTTGTACCTCTCTTTCGAAAGATCCCATAGTTTCGACTTTAGCATTCGTTCCTCGGTAACATTATCAACCAGTTGACCAGACATTCTGGACGCTTCGTGATTAGCTCCGAGTGGATCTGCATCCTTTTTTACCCACGCTTCCATCTCCTTCATTGCATTCGACTTATTAGACATGAACTTAGATTTAATCCGAGGTGGTGCGCTCTTCGGTTTTGGATGCATTGTCATGGACTAGGGTTCACTTGTCACAAACTTGATTCCTCACAGAACCGAACGTTCTAAGCATCAAATCCCCCGAAGAAAAACATCACAGCCGGTGTTCGTGTCTTATAATGACTTAATTATTGCGGTACGCCATCAATACTAAAAGAACAGTGTCGAAACTGAAAATACCCAGAACACTTTCAGGATCCACGCTATGAATAATGTATACTGGTGTAATTGTTGTACCCTGTCGTTGATTTCTTTCTATCCGTTAATTACCGTTCCCAAGAGTCCTTTTGACATTTCATCCATTTGGGCTGATCTGAAGTTCCTGATCGAGTCTCATTACTTCTGAAGAACTTCTTCGTCAAATCTATCTGATCGGGTAAAACACTCGCTGAGAGTCCACACTCCCTGCATTGTTACCTGAAAGCAAACACAGTATGAAGTAAGACTTTTTCAGTTTGTTTCCCTTCATTGGGCATGAACTATTGGCTTAGATCATATATCAAGAGCTCCAGTGATCCGTTATTGATTGCAAGACAATATGCACGGAGAAACTCACATAACACATACTGGGTAACTCATTTAGGATATCCACCTGAGATTACCTGTATTCAAAACACAGTTGCCCACCTTTCGGCTTTACGAACAATATAACTTTGATGTCACAGTACGAGCCTGATTAAGACTGATCTAACATTATGGGCAAGTGTTGATAGTGACTGTTAACTAAGTAGGTATGGTCAGGTTGGATTATCTCTAGGGCTCTTGGCAGTACAAAAATCACTCGTTGCATGGTAGCTAAATTGCTTGTGTTTAGAAACACAAGGTTTGCGCTTATACTTTGGAGGGTATGTTTAAGAAAGGAAATTAGATACTTAGAATGTTAATTGTGTGCAATGTAGTTTGTAGCGAAAAGTACGTGAGTGAGTGAGTTATATAAGTATGGTGTCCCTTTGACCGTATTCACTTATATCATAAGTGTAAGCTTCAGGACTGGGTAACGCCGATGGTAGATATTATTACTTGGTGAAATTCACGGGAACGGGCACAATGCTAACAGACATGGAATCACGACCGTGTCGAATCCGGAATTTGAACTCAGTGGCAGCGGATTCTGGTACGGGTAAGGGACTGAGCTCCACATCACCGCGCCTTAGGCTACTGGGCCAACCGTGCCCTCGGATGTATACGTCGAAATGTATGGAAGTAGGGTATTGCCTGTCTGATAACTGTTATTCTTCTCTTTCAGGAGTTGCCAGCGCCAGAATCATTATAATCCTCCGGGAGCAAAATTTGAATCATGAGGACATTTTTTGTACTCATGAAGAGTATATACGGTAAGTAAATAGTACATGGACTAAATAGGTACTAGTATCAACAAAACTAGGTTATTGCGTTTTCTTTAGTTTAAGAACGAAAAATATAATTCAAGTTGCGTCACTTAGGTGAGCCATAAACCTCTGATCGTGGGTTCGATTCCCACATTCGCCTTGGTTATGTTTATATGTTATTATCAGAAATATCCCCATGGTCTAGTGTTTCACTAAATCGGCAAATGTCTCAGACCTGAACCATTTTAGCCTTTACTCCTACATCAAACTGACGCACCGCGATGTAACTGGAATACTGTTCAAGCGGCGTTTACCCAACTCACTCACTCCACAAAGGTCAGAAAACCCATTCATGAAACCATAGTATTAATTGACACGTTATATTAAACTGTTCTTTTCGTTTATTGCCGTCAGTCTATAGCAATCACGTTAAATCCTTCAACCGTTTCGGGGCGGTCGGGTAGCCTAGTGGTTAAAGCGTTCGCCCGTCACGCCGAAGACCCGGGTTCGAATCCCGACATGGGTACAATGTAAAACCAAACTCACTCACTCACTCACTTCAACCGTTTCATTGGTCATTGCTATTGTCGTTCGAAAAGGGTAAGTGATAAAAGAAAAATCCCCTCAATTTAATTCACACTTCGTGTCCTTTAATCGATCATTGTTTTCTTCCAGCAGCGAAAGATAGGTCCATCGTTATGAAGTAGGGTATTGCCTGTCTGATATCTGTTATTCCTCTCTTTCAAGAGTTGCCAGCGCCAGAATCATTAAAATCCCCCCGGGAGTAGTCTCAATACACATCGCCACGTTGAACAGTGATATACATCGATCACCAATACCTTATTTTCACCACGGGGCATAATAACCGAGCAAGACAGCCTTGACCTACACATGGTCGATACAAATTCGTTATACACCGGGGGCATGGGTGGCCTAGTCGTCTAAGGCGCCGCGATTCGCTGTGCAGAGTTGCGTCCCTTGGGCACGCAGGAAACCTATGATTGTGGGTTCGAATCCCGGTTCGTCCCGATTATGTTTCTAGGTTTGTCAGCACCATACCCGTGCTCGTGGGTTTTACCGAAGTGGTAAACGTCTGAGACCTGCATCACTTCGGGCTTTCCTCCCGAATTTAGCTGACACGTCGTGATATAACTGGAATACTGTTAAAAGCGGCGTTAAAGCCAACTCACTCACCGTTATACACCATTTAAACATAATAATGAACGTTGTAGGTTTCGGGCCAACCAAGCCATACACAACTCTCTTGTACGACATGAGGGTTATAATGACCCATTGGTCCACGGCGCTATTCACTGTGCGGAGTTGCACCCCTTGGCCGGGCAAGGAGCCTATGGTAGTTGGTTTGACTGTTTCGCCCTGACGTGATCATATTTTTTGTTATTTTGAGGGCTTTTTATATTACATTTCTGGCGGATTTGTAATTTTTGCTTTTACCCGATAAAACAATTGGTTACCTTTTGCATCTATGATATATTTTGCATATAAGAACCCAGCATCCCGCTTTCATCATACGTATTTTGATCTCACAGTGAATCCATTTTCCCCATAAGGTCAAAGTCACTGTGATCATACAAATGGTTATACATATTCTGACCATGAGGACATGTTTCACGGGCGTCCTTTTAATCCCGCGCGTCAGTCGTTGTTATGAGGGGGCACGGGTGGCCCAGTCGTCTAAGGCGCCGCGATTTCCTGTGCAGAGTTGCGTCCCTTGGGCACGCAAGAAACCTATGATTGTGGGTTCGAATCCCGGTTCGTCCCGATTATGTTTCTAGGTTTGTCAGCATGAATGAAACTGGAATACTGTTAAAAGCGACGTTAAATCCAACTTACTCACTCACTCATTGTTATGAATAGTAATTCAAATTATTTGAAGCAGATTCTGTTTTCCATGAAACGCAAACGACACTGACATTGTATTAAAGAGCCGAGTTCAAAGTGGGTCCAGTTGTGTTTGTTGGTATTCTATGTGGATTATTTTCTAAATTCCACCTCCCTCGTCACATTTTTTCAGGAAAAAAGTTTGACAACAAGTCATATGCACGAGAAACAGTTTTATGAAGCGTGTCCCATTTTCATAAGAACGTCGAAAACGATCGTTGAACATTCTGCATATAAGACATTATGCATCTCTTCTATAAGCAGAGTCGATTGTACGATTCCTACTATATCATGAGCATGTGTTTATGCAACACTATTCAGGCTCTATGTATCGATGTAATAAGACGTGTGGTATGTATTCAAGGGAAGGCGTGTGTTATGTATTCAAGGGAACACGTGTGGTATGTATTCAAGGGAACACGTGTGGTATGTATTCAAGGATGACGTGTGGTATGTATTCAAGGGAAGGCGTGTGTTTATGTATTCAAGGGAACACGTGTGGTATGTATTCAAGGGAACACATGTGATATGTATTCAAGGATGACGTGTGGTATGTATTCAAGGATGATGTGTGGTATGTATTCAAGGAACACATGTGGTGTGTATTCAAGGGACACGTGTGGTATTTTTTCAAGGGAACACGTGTGGCATAGATTCAATGGAACACGTGTGGTATGTATTAAATGGAACACATGTGATATGTATTCAAGGATGACGTGTGGTATGTATTCAAGGAACACGTGTGGTATATATTCAATGGAACACAGGGGGTATGTTTTCAAGGGAACATGCGTGGCATAGATTCAATGGAACACGTGTGGTATGTATTAAACACGTGTGTATAATTACAAATTACAAATTATAATGCCCAAATGCAAACACACACCCTCCACCTCCACCAATACGACATATATGAAGCATCACAATCATGGCATAAAGGTAGAGTACCTGTCTTATGAGTTGATCATTGGCATTTTCATATACTAACGGGGGAAAAGTAAAAACCTGCGCTCCACATAAAGTTCAATTGAATAATTATTCCGAAATTAAATAATACATATTTCAATACATATTCATTAAGACATCTCCTCGACTTTAAGGTCGTGAGTCACAGTTCGCACGTGCATGGTAATACACGGCGCACAATTTTGAAGTTCGCGTGTTTATTGGGAGCATGATATTCACGCACGTGTTTTGTTAATGTGAAAAGAACACAATGATTGTGTCAGGTGCTAATGAATATACTTTTGTTTAACCGTAAATAACGCTTACACAATGCCGCGGCTTGCTGAAAATCAACGTCTTCGCGCCGTGGGTATGGTGCAAACAGGAATGGCGCAAAACGACGTTGCCAAGCATGATGATGTTCATCTAAGCACAATAACATTTGTTTGGAGACATTATCAACATCAGGGCACCAGTCAGGGCTTGCCACGTATCGGTCGTCCAAGCGTGACGGGGCGGTCGGGTAGCCTAGTGGTTAAAGCGTTCGCTCGTCACGCCGAAGACCCAGGTTCGAATCCCGACATGGGTACAATGTGTGAAGCCCATTTCTGGTGTCCCCCGCCGTGATATTGCTGGAATATTGCTAAAAGCGGCGTAAAACCATACTCACTCACTCACTCCAAGCGTGACGTCACGTCAACACGACAACCATATTCGGTTGGTGCACGGAATCGATACAAAACTGCCACATTAACAGCTAGGAAAATTCCTGCTGTGAGACCAATTAGTGGCTGAATCGTGCGCAACCTGTAGATGGAACACAACATCCGACCCCGACCTCATGCGATACGCCCAGTCTTGCTTCCACGCCACCGTCCGGCACGCCTAGCTTGGTGTAGACTGCATCTGAGGTTTAGAAGGCAAGGCTGGGATAGGATACTGTTCGCAGATGGGTCCAGAGTTCATCTCGACAGATCCGATGGTCGTACAAGGGTCTATTGGCGTCCAGGAGAACGTTTTAGCGACGTTCCGTTACTTAACGTCGTCAGTTTGTTGGTGAAAGTGTAATGGTATGAGGTGGCATCACAACTCATTAATGTTGAATGGCTACTGGGACGACGTCGCTCGTGATCATGTTCTATCCTTTGTGCAAATGCATGGACGTAACGTTGCAGCGGGGTCATGCTCGCCCACTTGTTGCACGTGTTGTAACAGTCTTGTTGAGGAAGCATAACATTGCTGTACTGCCATGGCCGGCTGTTTCTCAAGACCTCTCGCCAAATGAACATATCTGGGATGGGATAATAATAATAATAATAATAATAATAATTGATTTGTAAAGCGCCTAATATCCATCGACAGTTGCTCACTGGCGCTGTGACAATGTTAAAATGTAATGTCTATGTACATATGCCAAAAATCAGGAGAAAGTGAAGAAGTGGGTTTTGAGGAGAGACTTAAACGTTTCCTTAGAAGCAGAGTTTCTCAGATTCAAAGGCAAAGAGTTCCATAACTGTGGACTGCAAAAGGACAAGGCACGGTCAGACATAGCAGAAGTAGACAGAGGCTTATACAGTAGAGTTCCACCAGAGGATCGGAGAGCACGCTCTGGAGAGTACAGGGATATAAGATCTTTGAGATAGTCTGGATAGTCGCTATTGTTGAGGCAGTCGTGAGTGATGATACATATCTTATAGTTTATACGAAAGGAGACTGGAAGCCAATGTAGTGCCTTGAGGACAGGACGGATGGGAGGACGCCTACGACAGGACCAGAACCAGCCGGTAACACCAACTCAGTTGAGCAAATCTTTGGTTGACATTTGGAACAACATCTCCCAGGCTGTTTTCAATCATCTGGTGTCTTTAATGCACCGCCGCTGCCTCGTCTGTATCAACGCAAATGGTGGTCACACCCGACACTGACATAGTTCATTGAGTTGTTACACACCTCTGTTTTAGGGCGTGTCTCTCTGTCTCCTGTTATCAGATATGAGTCTTGTCAATGAAATTGTCATGATAAGACATTGATCAGACGAATGACCAAACATTACAATACTATTTATCAATATCAACATTTACACCACTCTATACGAGGCCCGGGGGGCATGGGTGGCCCAGTCGTCTAAGGCGCCGCGATTCGCTGTGCAGAGTTGCGTCCCTTGGGCACGCCAGAAACCTATGATTGTGGGTTCGAATACCTGTTCGCCACGATTATGTTTCTAGGTTTGTCAGCACCATACCCGTGCTCGTGGGTTTCACCGAAGTGACAAACGTCTTAGACCTACATCACTTCGGGCTTTCCTCCCACATTAAGCTGATACACCGTGATATAACTGGAATACTTTTAAAAGCGGCGTTACACCCAACTCACTCACTCCCAGTTACTTTTTTTCCGTAAGTGTATCTCGCTTCATTAAATCTCCACTGACGTGAGATGTATTTCAACGAAATACGTGAAATCTCCTTTGAAATATGTATTTCCAAATACACGTACATGCATACGTGGTGAATAACAATATGTGTAGCAACCGGCTCAACTTTTTGACAATAATACTCCCTGAACCTTGGTAGTACCGTTAGGGTATGGCATAGTTGTCATCTTATCTTTCAATACACTACTCATTACTGTTGTAAACGTCGACCATAGAGACCCAGACAATGCTTCATGACAATGTAACTTTGTTGGATAAAACACGGGTTTGACATCAACATGTCCAGTGTCACAAGCTACAACGATCGTGTTTCTCATGTAACTTAATCACATTATAAGTTGCAGTACGCGGAACAATACCGGCTGTCTCGTTTAGAATGAAATTGTTGTTAAAAGTATTACAATTTATGACATTAGAGACGGACAAAAATCTCAGAATAAACTGCAAGGGGAAAAATTTGCATTGGTATATATACTGCCAGACCCTTCATGGTCAGTTCATAAGACATGGGTCATTATAAAAGCTGTGTTTGATATTTATGTTTCCACTATTCGTTTCATATAGGAAATAAATCTATCAACTCAGTATTACTAAAACAAAAGAGACACAAAGACCCATTCACACACCTTACCAATGAACACGACTCTACATTTGTACAGCGACACTGTGTACATCAGCACTTGTGACATAAGTAGGACAGTTTATATCCATATTTCACTCACAAAACGAAATACATAAACATGAATATAACAAAATATGGGCAGTAGCTTACCTGTTGGACCAACAAACGCATACAACACGCAGCTAAACGTTGCTATATAGATTTTTCTCTGGGCCTATAGTGCCCTTGTCACAAACCACCGAAGTGTGTAATGTACTCGATATAAGCGCTCAACAGTATCAATGAATCGTTAAAGATAATCCACGTATGTCATAATCCCCTGGCAGGAGCGCCGAGCCTAACCCGTCGGGTGGCCTTGCACGGTGAACGTGGTGTTCTACATGCCTTGTTCGTGCAAGACGTGGAATTGATTTCCGATAATCTTGAAAAGATTTACCGCTAGTAAGTCTACCGTACATGGAGGGTGTCTAACTGCGTGTAGGCTCATGTGTTGTCATGGGGGATGGCATTAGGAAATGCAGTCTACCACCCTTCCATTATAATCCTATCAATAAACACATAATTATTCATTATGAAATATGATATGGAATAAGCTTAAAATACTTCATGTAGAGGGTAAATAATATTCCCAATATAGAATAAATCATAAGTTAATATACTTCGGTAAGGGGTAATTCCCCCAAAATATAACGTAGAATGATTAGTGCCTTATTGAAGAGTGTGTGTCGCTTGCAATATTAATAATAATATTAATATTAACGATTACCCATATTTCAACGTGTTTTTAAACAGGTGACATTTAAGGTCACGTATATTAAGGCACAGCGTTCAAGGGGAACAGTTGCGATATTGAGTACCTTTGTCATAGGTTCTAGTTGAAAGAGCCCATGACTCAAGACATAACCTTGCATGCCGCCATTCTTCTAATCCCGGTTTTCATAGCTAAGTAAGGACAGACAAGAGCACACAGTCACACCACAGCTAGGTCTGAAAAAGTCGCCTGTAGTCTCCTGGGAGGTTGGGCGATCCATGAGTGTGTTTCGCCGCTGTCACACAATGCTACTGTTCGTGAGGCCGGTGTTATATTTCAACTTGTCACCTACTGGAGTCATCACAGTGTCGAGCAGACCGTCGTGGTGATTATTGTAACACAAGAAGGCTGGGGAAGTAACGCATACAGTGACGGCGTTCTGGACATTTGACCTTATCGTTGCTGACCTTGTGTAAATTAACGTTCACATACATGCTTTTATCATGGTAACTGTGGAAGAACCTATTTTTCTGACTTACTTGAGGTTGGGTCGGTTGTGTGTGGTAAGGTGGCTGTGATGTAATGTGAATAATATAACAGGAATACTGCTGAAATAAACCGAACTCCCTCACTCACTCGTGTCGACGACTATTCCAGATATGCAAAGAACCCGTGAAGATCCGGCTTAGAATAGAATGTCTTACTTGTCGCAAGAGGTGACTAACGGGATCGGGTGGTCAGGCTGGCTGACTTGATTGATGCATGTCATCGTATCCCTATTGCGTGGATCGATGCTTATGATGTCAATCATTGGACTGTCTAGTCCATACTCGATAGTTTACACACCGCCGTTATATAGCTGGAATATTGCTGAGTGCGGCGTTAAACAACAAACATACATGCATTCTTGTGAGATATTAAAGTTGAAAAGGCGCTATCAAAGAGATGACACATGGACTAACATGGCATAGTAGTGGCTTCCTTGGACACATTCAACATCTTTATTGAAGGCATGTTGCATTTACGACAGACACCTACTATTCCGTTTCATTCATATCTATATAAAGTGAAGGAGTACTTAAAGAAGTCCACCAGGAAGACATCTTTATATACTACACATAAAATGTTCTGGATCATAGATATTTGGGGGGATATTTTCATGAAATTGTGTGCTTTAGTTACTATATTCATGACTGTTCATGATCCCTCCGTTTTTGTTCATTAAATGTAAAATAGGCAACATTTATAATTTAGTTAGCTTCCTGTTCATGACATTTTGATTGGGGGCGGTCGGGTAGCCTGGTGGTTAAAGCGTTCGCTCGTCACGCCGAAGACCCGGGTTCAATTCCCGACATGGGTACAATGTGTGAAGCCCATTTCTGGTGACCCCCGCCGTAATATTGCTGGAATATTGCTAAAAGCGGCGTAAAACCATACTCACTCACTCACTCACTCACTCAAGTCTAGTGCCGTCATTGAAACCGGTTATTTATCGACGCTGACACATAATGACTAGCCGATAAAACACAATAACCTGAACGGATTTTTGGAGGTCGCCATCTTGTTTTCAAAAGCTGTACCAACCTGTGTTTTCGATCTGGAATCCTTATTCGAAGTTTTCTTCCGATTAGGTAAACTGTACGTACTCAGTGGAAGTGATTAAGGCACATATTGTTGTACAGGATGTACGAAATATTTCATGCTTGTAGCTTGTCGGAGATGTAGAGCGGCCTTGTTAATCCAACAACCCAAATTGGCAAATCTTTCTAGCCGTTTCGAATCGTATGCCCCAGTAGTGACAGGATAGCTGATATTGAGCGACAAACCGGTGACGGTACACGATGACCGCAGCCAACGTGAACCTGCTGTGTTCGGCTGTCAGCCTATATTTCATTACTATATTTGATTTTTTCTTTGATTTGTTTCATTGATTTGCTGATTTATTTCATATTGACTGAGGAACTTGAGCGGTCGTAAAAGGGTCGGGTGGTCAGATTGGGCGAATTGGTTGATGAGGTGTCATCGGATGCTTTGTGTTTTCAGCATCTTGGTCCATATTCGATTTTGGGGGCGGTCGGGTAGCCTAGTGGTTAAAGCGTTCGCTCGTCACGCCGAAGACCCTGGTTCGATTCCCGACATGGGTACAATATGTGAAGCCCATTTCTGGTGTCCCCCTGCAGTGATATTGCTGGAATATTGCTAAAAGCGGCGTAAAACCATACTCACTCACTCACTCCATATTCGATTATCGAAGGCTGTCGTGGTATAATGGGATATTGATAAATGTGGTGTTAAAATTGAAAATATCACACGCATCTTTACCCAATTGACCTAGTATGTCTTACAGACCCTGATACAAATATATATCAAATACAGCCCATTCAAGTCTATAATGTTTGACAAGTCTAGATTCCTGCAGTATCAGTATCCGAAAATGAAGAGAGTCACTGGGCTCCCTTTTATTATATTTTTTATTAAGATAACTGAACAACTGGTTTTTTTCTGTACGATATGTTCATTTCAGAGACTAGATGTTAGTCTACCAATTGACAGTACTCGTGTGTCGTTAACTCCAAATGCGTTGTCGTTAATTATACATTCAGAACACGGATTGTCGTATTAGTGACCTTGAGCTGTCGGGTTATCCAATCATAAGGTGGGCGGCAAAAGGTGTACTACATGGGACAAGTGGTAGACAAGTAAAGTCAGTCTCGATTATCTGCCGAAACATATTCCACTGTGCGTAAGACCCGTGAAGATTCCGGGGTAGAATAGGTCTTCAGCAACCCATACTTGCCGTAAAAGGTGACTATGCTTGTCGTAAAAGGCGAATAACGGGATCGGGTGGTCAGACTCGCTGACTTGGTTGATACATGTCTTCGAACCCAATTGCGTGGATCGATGTTCATGATGTCAATCACTGGATTGTGTGGTCCAGACTCGGTTATTTACAGACCGCCGTCATATAGCTGGAATATTGCTGGATGCGGCGTTAAACAACAAACAAACCAACCAACTGTGCGTAAAAGGCAAATAGTGATGAACATTGTATGAAGAGATCACTGAGAATTGGTGATGATACAAGGTGTTCAGGAAAAAGGTAATCATGTCAAATTTGCATAAAAAATGAATGTTTGATTTGCTGCACGCTGCAGTAAAATCCATATCTATCAGTATTTCAACATAACAACCTAAAAGTACTTTTTGTTTGAATACGTCGCTGACCTGTAAAGATCCGGGTTAGAATAGGTTTTCAGAAGAGGCGACTTACGGGATCGGGTGGTCAGGCTTGGTTGATGCATGTCATCGTATCCCAATTGTGTGAAACGATGTTCATGATGTCAATCACTGGATTGTTCGGTCCGGACTCGATTATTCACAGACCGCCGTCATATAGCTGGAATATTGCTGAGTGCGGCGTTAAACAACAAACAAACAAACAAGAATACGTCGATATAAGGTGAGTGAGTGAGTGAGTTGGGTTTAACGCCGCTTTTAACATTATTCCAATCATATCGCGGCGTGTCAGCTTAATGTGGGAGGAAAGCCCGAAGTGATGCAGGTTTTAGACGTTTACCACATCGGTGAAACCCACGAGCACGGGTATGGTGCTGACAAACCTAGAAACATAATTGGGGCGAACCTGGATTCGAACCCACAATCATAGGTTTCTGGCATCCCCAAGGGACGCAACTCTGCACAGCGAATCGCGGCGGCTTAGACGACTGGGCCACCCGTGTCCCCCGCTATAAGGCTGATGTAGGGCGATACCATGTTCAATGTTAACACTCACTCTTTCTGAATAGTTTGTCCAAGTAGGGGACCAGAATTTGATATTCTAGGTATTCATATGAAAAGTATAATCTCTTTCCGGTAACCCTGGAAAAATATCTTGTCCCCTCGTTTCACCAAAACAAAATTATTCCCTGACATTCTGGGCGTTCTAAACAGTAGTTTGTTGTGGGTCCCAAAGGGTATTGTCGGAAAGGGAAACAGAAAACTGAAGACAAACAAGACATAATCTCATATTGACTATGTCAAAGGTCACTATAATTAAAACAAATTGTGATTGCGTCAATATTTATTCTGCAAATAATGTCGAGGCATTCGTTGGCCGTCCTTCTCGGAGCTGCAACACTTGTGATGTATGGAAGGTACCCCCTAATAACAGGAACAACATTTTCAATGATTGTTTGTTTGTTTTTTTGTTTGTTGTTTAACGTCGCACTCAGCAATATTCCAGCTATATGACGGCAGTCTGTAAATAATCGAGTCTGGACAACACAATCCAGTGACTGGCTTCTTGAGCATCGATCAACGCAATTCGGACACGATGACATGCATCAACCAAGTCAGCGAGTCTGATCACCTGATCCCGTTAGTCGCTTCTTACAAGCATAGTCGCCTTTTACGGAAAGCAAACTTACAACACTTTGTAAATACTGATTCTTTCCAATCAAAAACGATCACGAAAATCATCTTATCCTTTTTATAACATTAAGAACAACTGATTATAATATAGAAAAAATCTGACATACAAATAAATATGAAAAAATTATGTTCTTACAAAGGAATCTTGAACGCGACGTTAAACCCCATTTCACCTCAACCCTTCTCACCTATGTGCTGATGCCGCGGTTGGTGGCTGATGTTAGCTTCACCGTAGCCGCCATTGGACCACTTTCATCATCAAGCCAGGCATCGTAGACGAACGTGAACACATTTCCCGTATAGAGCTCGTCTATAGTCACCTGGGTAGGACGCATCATGTTTGAATGATTTTCGTTTATTCAAGAACGATTTTATATCAGAAACAGGCTTACGTATGTAAGCCACTTGAATAACTTTCACAATTGTATTGACAAATAATTTGTTGTTGTTTTTCTAAATGGCATAACAGAGGAGTAAAAAAATGTCTAAAGCTGACTACGAGTTGACAAATGCTAGAAACCCACCTTCTCAATGTACCACCCATCGCTGCCGTGCAGTTGCATATGCACACTATCGATTAAGCCAAGTCTCGGGGATTGGAAATAGACCTCATTTACTCTGAAATCAAAAGTGTATTTAATGTGAGTATGGGAACAGTTGTGCTCGTAAGGATTTAAAGTTGGCTGGATAAGTAAATCTGGGTTTACGCCGCTTTTAACAATATTCCAGAAATATCACGGCAGGGGACACCAGAAATTGGTTTTACACATTCCACACATATGGGGAACGAACTAGCTTGGTTGCTTAAAAATTAATTCAAGATTTTACAAAACAACAATGTCTATGCAACATTTCACTTCTCTTACTCACTCTATCAAGAGTGTGCATGTATTTGTCATCCACTGAATTTAGACTCTCCATGAATTTATCACCAACTGTATTTACACTGTCGATGTATTTATCACCGACTGTATTTAGACTGTCGATGTATTTATTGCCAACTGTATTTACACTGTCGATGTATTTATCACCAACTGTGCATACACTGTCGATGTATTTATCACCGACTGTATTTAGACTGTCGATGTATTTATCACCAACTGTGCATACACTGTCGATGTATTTATCACCGACTGTATTTAGACTGTCGATGTATTTATCACCAACTGTATTTACACTGTCGATGTATTTATCACCAACTGTATTTACACTGTCGATGTATTTATCACCGACTGTATTTACACTGTCGATGTATTTATCACCGACTGTATTTAGACTGTCGATGTATTTATCACCAACTGTATTTACACTGTCGATGTATTTATCACCAACTGTATTTACACTGTCGATGTATTTATCACCAACTGTATTTACACTGTCGTTGTATTTATCACCAACTGTATTTACACTGTCGATGTATTTATCACCGACTGTATTTACACTGTCGATGTATTTATCACCAACTGTATTTACACTGTCGATGTATTTATCACCGACTGTATTTAGACTGTCGATGTATTTATTGCCAACTGTATTTACACTGTCGATGTATTTATCACCAACTGTATTTACACTGTCGATGTATTTATTGCCAACTGTATTTACACTGTCGATGTATTTATCACAAACTGTGCATACACTGTCGATGTATTTATCACCGACTGTATTTAGACTGTCGATGTATTTATCACCAACTGTGCATACACTGTCGATGTATTTATCACCGACTGTATTTAGACTGTCGATGTATTTATCACCAACTGTATTTACACTGTCGATGTATTTATCACCAACTGTATTTACACTGTCGATGTATTTATTGCCAACTGTATTTACACTGTCGATGTATTTATCACCAACTGTGCATACACTGTCGATGTATTTATCACCGACTGTATTTACACTGTCGATGTATTTATCACCGACTGTATTTAGACTGTCGATGTATTTATCACCAACTGTATTTACACTGTCGATGTATTTATCACCAACTGTATTTAGACTGTCGATGTATTTATCACCGACTGTATTTACACTGTCGATGTATTTATCACCGACTGTATTTAGACTGTCGATGTATTTATCACCAACTGTATTTACACTGTCGATGTATTTATCACCAACTGTATTTACACTGTCGATGTATTTATCACCAACTGTATTTACACTGTCGATGTATTTATCACCAACTGTATTTACACTGTCGATGTATTTATCACCGACTGCATTTAGACTGTCGATGTATTTATTGCCAACTGTATTTTGACTGTCGATGTATTTATTGCCAACTGTATTTACACTGTCGATGTATTTATCACCGACTGTATTTAGACTGTCGATGTATTTATTGCCAACTGTATTTACACTGTCGATGTATTTATCACCAACTGTATTTACACTGTCGATGTATTTTTTGCCAACTGTATTTACACTGTCGATGTATTTATCACCAACTGTGCATACACTGTCGATGTATTTATCACCGACTGTATTTAGACTGTCGATGTATTTATCACCGACTGTATTTACACTGTCGATGTATTTATCACCGACTGTATTTACACTGTCGATGTATTTATCACCAACTGTATTTACACTGTCGATGTATTTATCACCAACTGTATTTACACTGTCGATGTATTTATCACCGACTGTATTTACACTGTCGATGTATTTATCACCGACTGTATTTAGACTGTCGATGTATTTATCACCAACTGTATTTACACTGTCGATGTATTTATCACCAACTGTATTTACACTGTCGATGTATTTATCACCAACTGTATTTACACTGTCGTTGTATTTATCACCAACTGTATTTACACTGTCGATGTATTTATCACCAACTGTATTTACACTGTCGATGTATTTATCACCAACTGTATTTACACTGTCGATGTATTTATCACCGACTGTATTTAGACTGTCGATGTATTTATTGCCAACTGTATTTACACTGTCGATGTATTTATCACCGACTGTATTTAGACTGTCGATGTATTTATTGCCAACTGTATTTAGACTGTGGGTGTATTTATCACCAACTGTATTTAGACTGTGGATGTATTTATCACCAACTGTACATACACTGTCGATCTATTTACCGCCAACTGTATTTAGAATGTGGATGTATTTAGCACCAACTGTATTAAAACTGTGGATGTATTTATCACCGACTGTATTTAGACTGTCGATTTATTTTTCACCAACTGTATTTAGACTGTCGATGTATTTATCACCAACTGTATTTACACTGTCGATGTATTTATCACCAACTGTATTTAGACTGTCGATGTATTTACCGCCAATTGTATTTAGACTGTGGATGTATTTATCATCTACTGTATTTAGACTGTGGTTATATTTATCACCAACTGTATTTAGACTGTAGATGTATTTATCACCAACTGTATTAATACTGTCGATGTTTTAATAACCAACTGTATTTACACTGTCGATGTATTTATCACCAACTGTATTTACACTGTCGATTTATTTATCACCTACCGTCTTAAGACTTTGGGTGTATTTATAACCAACTGTATTTCGACTGAGGATGTGTAAATCACTAACTGTATTTAGACTGTTTATGTATTTATCATCAACTTTACTTAGACTGTGGATGTATTGATCAGCAACTGTATTTAGACTGTAGGTGTATTTATTACCAGCTGTATTTATATTGTGGTGCATTTAACAAATACGCTCTTGCAGCTAGAATACGGCAGGTAACATCTACACTCTCGAAGAAAAATTACACAATTGTAACAAACATACATGCAGTCTTCATACGGCAGGTGACAAACATACTCGCAGTTTCCATACGGTAGGTAACAAACATACTCGCAGTCTTCATACATCAGGTGACAAACATATACGCAGTCTTCATACAACAGGTGACAAACATACTTGCAGTTTCTATACGGAAGGTAACAAACATACTCGCAGTTTCCATACGGAAGGTAACAAACATACCCGCAGTCTTCATACGGTAGGTAACAAACATACTCGCAGTCTTCATACATCAGGTGTCAAACATATACGCAGTCTTCATACAACAGGTGACAAACATACTTGCAGTTTCCATACGGAAGGTAACAAACATACTCGCAGTCTTCATACGGTAGGTAACAAACATACTCGCAGTCTTCATACATCAGGTGACAAACATATACGCAGTCTTCATACAACAGGTGACAAACATACTTGCAGTTTCCATACGGAAGGTAACAAACATACTCGAAGTCTTCATACGGTAGGTAACAAACATACTCGCAGTCTTCATACGGTAGGTAACAAACATACTCGCAGTCTTCATACGGTAGGTAACAAACATACTCGCTGTCTTCATACGGTAGGTAACAAACATACTCGCAGTCTCAATACGACAGGTGACAAACTTACCCGCAGTCTTCATACATCAGGTGACAAACATATACGCAGTCTTCATACATCAGGTGACAAACATACTTGCAGTCTCCATACGATAGGTGAAAACTTACACGCAGTCTTCATACATCAGGTGATAAAAGTACACACAGTCTCCGTACGACAGGTGACAAACATACACGCGGACTTCATCCGGCAGGTGACAAACATACTCTCAGTCTCCATACGGCAGGTGACAAACGTACACGCAGTCTCCATACGGCAGGTGACAAACGTACACGCAGTCTCCATACGGCAGGTGACAAACATACTCTCAGTCTCCATACGGCAGGTGACAAACATACTCTCAGTCTCCATACGGCAGGTGATAAACGTACACGCAGTCTCCATACGGCAGGTGACAAACTTACACGCAGTCTCCATACGGCTGGTGACAAACTTACACGCAGTTTATATCACTATCAATCAGTTGAATGACGTTATAGTGATAATACCAGGAGTTCGCGAAACCTGACCCGTCTCACTTGCTATGACCAATACAATATTTATAAACAAACGACTCATCTGTTGCATATTTAGATCTATGCATACAGATTCAGAGTGACAAAAAAAATATCTACGAGATTGTGTGATAAGAGGGTAGAGTCAAATTTCCAATTGTCAACCTTTCCTTCATGTCGAGCAATATTCCAGCAGTTCCAGCCTAAGGCTAAACTTTCAAGAAGTTGTATGGTTTTGTTTGTTGTTTTAGCGCCGCTCTCAGCAAAAGTTTCTGGTAGACATTTAGAGGACATTTCCTAATTTGACGCATCAGTTACAAAGAACCCAATGTCTGATTAAATTCTCTATTTTGACTTGAACCATAATGTTTTTTTATGTGAACAATTGACTTGCCTTTGCATGTGTTTGTGACGGGTGCCACGTTTGGGGCAGGTATCCTCACTATTTGATAGAGATTCATGAAGACATGCTTAGGATGTAGTTGGTTAGTACAATGGATCTGGATTATGGAAATGTTTTGTTACTCTTAGTTAATTAGACCGTGGAAGATAACTTGTCAGGTATATTGAAAGTTAGAGTGTATTTGTCACTGTCCTATGGAAAGTATGAAAATGTTTTTCACCTGCCGTATACGATCTTGTTCCTCATTGCTAGATAATTACTATGAACGTCATCGCTTACCACAAATAAATGATTCCTTCCGGGCTTTCCTTATGAGTGAGTGAGTGAGGTTTTACGCCGCTTTTAGCAATATTCCAGTAATATCACGGCGGGGGACACCAGAAATGGGCTTCACACATTGTACCCATGTCGGGAATCGAACCCGAGTCTTCGGCGTGACGAGCTAACGCTTTAACCACTAGGCTACCCGACCGCCCCGCTTTCCTTATGAACTAAGTAACTGATTCCTATACATACTCTCCTTTGCCGTGTATCGGGGTGTTTATGTCATGGATCTTGTGCACTCCTAAAGACCCGTCGATCCGGATGGAAACCCGGTCAGATGACTCCCCGTACCCCACATTGCCGATATACGCGGACAGCTTGTACAGAACACCTGGAACAACGAGAGTGAGTGAGTGAGTGAGTTGGGTTTAACGCCGCTTTTAACAGTATTCCAGTTATATCGCGGCGTGTCAGCTTAATGTTGGAGGAAAGCCCGAAGTGATGCAGGTCTCAGACGTTTACCACTTCGGTTTGTTGTTTATCGCCGCACTCAGCAATATTCCAGCTAAATGACGGCGGTCTGTAAATAATCGAGTCTGAACCACTCAATCCAGTGACTGACATCATGAACATCGATCCACGCAATTGAGAAATAGCACAACGAAGTCAATTTGCTAAGGCCTTTGCCGACACTTACATCAAAATTATTACATTTTAGTGAACATTTCCCTCAATAAGTTGTACCTGACGCTAGAGACGTGTACGTATGTCTTGGTGGGTAATGTGTAACCCACTATTTTAATATATATTTACTCGAACAGTAGATCGAAATATAAGCTTTGGTAAATACCTCTGTTCGTAAAATATAGACCAGCGGATATCCTTAAGCACGATAAACTTGTATACTTATTTCATGATGCTGGATTGTAATGTGCTTGAGATACATGATAAATCAGTTGGTATGAAACCTGATACAGTAAACTACGGTTATAGCGAACACGCTTATAACGAACTGACGGATATAACGAACTTACTTTTTTGGTCCCGACTATTTGCTGTAGTTATGCTGTATATATGCTTATAACGAACTACGGTTATAACGAACTAAAATTAGTAGACCCCTTGAGTTCGTTATAACCGTAGTTTACTGTAGTTTAAAAAGAGGAAAACTACAGAAACTCACCCTGCACGAATTCAGTCAGGTTGGCAGTTGAGGCCGTGAGGTTACTGAGTATACTTTCAGTTTCTTCACTCTTTATTTCCAGATTGTAAACCCCATGTTCCAGGCTCCGGATGGCCTCTGAACAATTGTGTGATTTGTCTGCCTGAATTTCTGTCTGGATCAACATCGAGTCCTTCAGTTCTTTAATGTGCTCTTCCATAACTTTCACCGCTTTTTCAACTGCCATCTTTTCAATGTTCTGTATTGCTGTGTGTTGGCAACCGAAATATAAGGATTTTATTAGTCAATGTATCCATTGCAATTGATTCCGTGGAATTTTATTGGCTAACCAAGCTAGTATACAGTAGACTACGGTTAAAACGCACACCCTTATAACGAACTGACGGATATAACGAACTTACTTTTTAATCCCGATTATTTGCTGTAGTTATGATGTATATATGCTTATAACGAACTACGGTTATAACGAACTAAAATTAGTCCCTTTGAGTTCGTTATTACCGTAGTCTACTGTATTTGCGTTTATGTTTCCACAAACCGAAAACAAATTTCCTGATTCTAATTCACAATTTAATTGTTCATATGCTAAATTTTAAGTGAAACGGTTGCTGCATTGATGGTGAGAGCTTTAAAGCTAGATTGAGTATGGTTTTACGCCGCTTTTAGAAATATTCCAGCAATATCAAGGCAGGGGACACCAGAAATGGGATTCACACATTGTACCCATGTGGGGAATCGAACCCGGGTCTTCATTGTGACGAGCGAACGCTTGAACTATTAGGCTACCCCGCCGCCCGGCTTTAACAATGGAAGAACGGAGATTTGTTTAGACGGTAAACACAAAGCGCTAGGTATAGTTCTTTCCATTTTTAAATAGCATTTCCATAGAATACAGAGCGGATATGTCTTTTAAAACAGAAAATAGTTACACGTTTTTCCAGGGCGGCGTGATTTACATTTTTTGGGGAGAATGTGTTTTATGTTTGAGTGGAATTGTAATTTAGGACGGGAGATGAGAAACACACACAAAATGTCGAAGGAAACATTGCTTTCCACGATACAATCAAACTACCGGCTGGTTACATTGTCTACCGTTAGTTCCACAGCAGCTGTGTGCAAATACTATAAATAGTTGAAGTTAATGTCGATCAATATTACTTTAAGTTCCAGAACAAAAGCCTTTTGTGTTCAGCCCTCATCCTGGACATTTCAATCACGCCCGTCAAATTATGATTTATGGCGTAGATCGGGAAACCTGGACATTTAGTGTGATTGCGCGGGGTCAATCACAAGGTCACAGAGAAGGCAATCTGTGTGTCCCACCGTACATGCGAAATCATGAAAACCGTAGCTTAGAAACGGGAAACGTCACCATTTATGCTGGAATTTATAGAATTAAGCCAGCGGTGACTATTGTCCACGGAAGAAAAGACGCACTATTCTATTTGGATAATGACCAAAATGATTACAAATTAATAATGCACATGTTTTTATACAGGAAAGCAAAGACTTATATTAAATATATAACAACCAGAATGCTTTTACTCTATCCTTTGCATCTTATAATCTTTTTTTATTAATACTAAAAGGCTACATGTCCACAAGAGATGATGTATGCACAGATTAATTTCTTATTGACATGATAAATATACACTGACAAGGTACGAAAAATATTTGTAGTGACTGTTTGCAGCATAGAAACAAAACTATCTATATTTGGATGAGCAAGATAGCACGATCTTAGCTTTGTCTATCTCTTGACTTGCCTCCATTACGGAGTGGCTGAACGTGGATAACCTTGACACCTATTCGCAAACATTTCAAGTTGAAGCTTACCTGTTTTCATTTCGTCGAGCTGCTCTTGCAGATTCACGTTTTCATCATGATTTGCATCTTGCTGTTTCTCTGTGGATACAGTAAATAGAGATAAGTAAGGTGTAAACCTTGGTTCCATTTGTCACATGGACATTTATGTCACTTTCGCATTCCAAACATGATTAGACTATTTTTATGGTATCAGAATTATATCGTGGCTTGGACACAATTATACCACGCCAGGGGAGATCGGTAGTGGGCTTGACACATTGTACCCATGATGGTAGTAGAACCCGGGCCTTCAACGTGACGATCCAACGCGTTACCAGCTATAGTCTGGAAGGGAATCCCGTTGATTGGTTCAACTGCGTCATATGGCCCTGTGACGCAGGGGTAGCATTATGCAGATGGCTGTTTCAATGAATGCTCGTTCCACCCGTGACGAACAGGTCTGGTTGTTGATGAAATATAGCGATAGCTAAATAGACAGATTTTTTATTCATGCATCGGTTGTCTTTAAATGTACTATCCAGTTATGTATGACTGTTTAATAATCTCATACCAACTTTGACTGGAGTAGGTCCAATAGTTTTTCAGATATTGTAGTAAACGTCGGTACCTAAATTACCTTCCAGACTATAGGCTACCCCACAGCCCCAGCATTGTCCAAGAACATCAGCGGACGGGACGTCACACCAGGCTTATGTGGACGAGTACATATTAAAGTGTCAGTTTGAGTTAATAAGGTCTTCAAGCTGATAAATAACTTACCTTGCTTGCTGAGGCAAATAGACTGTGTTGTTTCAAGCTTTCCTGATACCTCGTCCACTCTGGCAGATACATTCTTTAAATCTTTGTCGAATTGATCTAGAATACAATTTACTCAGGTTAGAATACGTCTTCAGCAACCCATGCTTGCCGTAATAGGCGACTATGCTTGTCTTTAGAGGCGACTAACGGGATTCGGGTGGTCAGACTCGCTGACTTGGTTGATGCATGTCATCGTATCCAAATTGCGTGGATCGATGCTCATGATGTCAATCACTGGATTGTGTAATCCAGACTCGATTATTGACAGACCGCCGTCATGTAGCTGGAATATTGTTGAGTGCGGCGTTAAACAACAAACTAACTAACAAAAAGTTTGGTTTCAGATATGACAGGAAATACCAAATATTTTCATCCAAGCTATTTTTTTCAATGGCAGGTTAATTCAGTAATAACAAGAAAAGAGGGCTATCACTATCCCCAGCCACGGGGTACATGAGAAAATTTGTTCCTTTCACGAAATTATTTTGGTATAAAATTTATGAGTTTCTAACATCATGCACTGGAAAGAAGATGCACAAAACCAAAAGAATGGAGAAAGGTTGGGTAACTCGGGGAAAAATACAGCATCAAGTTAGTCGTTACAAGTATGTCTAAAATTAGCATGCAAAGTGTCATCCATGTCATTCTGTGGAGAAAACTTGTCCCCATTACAGCAATGATGCTCTCAGTAAAATAACATGGATCAAGGACCGTACTTTATATATTTTTGCGGCACCAATGTTTAAGCTCAACCTACACGAGTGTCTTTTATAAGCATGCAAACTTTCATGTAGTTTCTACATTTAAAACAGGATGAAACAAAACCTAAATACATGCAGCAAGTAACGTAACTCCAAGTAGAATAACATTGGTCAAGGACCGGAACTCTGTCCAAAAATAATCTACGGCACCAAGTTTCTAAAGTATGGAGAAAGGGAGGGCAACTCCAGAAAAGACAATACACCATCACACTCTTTAACTTAGTCTTGACAAGTATTCCCCAGATATGTATTGGAACTTGCGTTCATGTAACTTCAGTATTATCTGAGAAAACTTGTCCCCATTTGAAGAGCATGGGACAAGGGCCTAAACCTTGTAAAAAATTATTTTAAGGCACCAATTATCGAACTCATTTTCGATCGTGACCAGTAACAACAGTGTGTTTAATTGTACGTCTCTAACTTCAACAGTTTTTGAGACAATTCGTTCCCATTCCGAAGCTCCGTTTGTATATTCCCTGCATCACTTCGTGGCGGATGATAATAACTTAGGTGAAACAATATTCATGACAGTCACGCGTTAACCGTAGGTAAAGTTCATCTGTGTTTGGCCCCGATTATGTTTCTAGGTTTGTCAGCACCAAACCCGTGCTCGTGGGTTTCACCGAAGTGATAAACGTCTGAGACCTGCATCACACTTCGGGCTTTCCTCCCGCATTAAGCTGACACGCCGCGATATAACTGGAATACTGTTAAAAGCGGCGTTAAACCCATCTCACTCACTCACTCACTCATCTGTGTTTGTGTCTTCAACTGTCAAACACAAAACATAGGTACAAAAGTTATTTCAGAAAAGAGATTCTTAAAAGAGAGTGAGTGAATGAGATTTTCGGGCATCTAATTCATATTTAAACCCCCAAATCTAGAAGCACATAAGGTCTATCTCTTTATTGGAACCATCTGGCTAACAGCTTTGGTTCAAATGGTTTTCAGGGCATTTGCAAAAATATTTATAAAAACAACACTTTCTCGTATTGAACGATACTTTCTCTGAAGTACCCCCATATGAACACAACACAAACACCTACCTTGTTTGGACATCATGTCGTCCCTGGCCTCTTCCAGCTCTGTCACATACCCGGGTTTACTGCGCGTGATAGCATTTATCTTGAACTTTGGCTGTTTGAATGTGCTGAAGCCAAATACAGACAAACTATTGATGAACATCAAAAGCAATGGGAAAACCATCATCTTCATGTTGTCAGAAGAAATGAGTTTCACTTTCTGTCCCTATCTACGATGCTAAGCCAGGTTCAGTTCTTTACCTCAAGACGAGCTGGGCTTAAATCACATCGATGTCGACACAAATAAACATATAAAGGGTAGGAATTGTTGTTACGCACGAGACTGATTCTATGTATGATAGTTTTGAAATGTGCAATCAAACAGACCATGACCTTTATGTCTTTGAACACAGAGGTCGAAAAGGCTTTTTCCAAATACGAGGGCCATTAAATATATAACCAGCTTAAGCTATTTATCAGATCTTAACGGTTGAATGTTTGTCACGTGCTGTGCTCCAATGTATGTCACGTGCATAGACAAAGTTTCACTGAGGAAATTGTTTTTGAAGTCACACACGTGATCTATAAAGATGGCAAGGGTAGATTCTGTCAAATTTTCGTCAAAGGTTGAATACAGGGCTGTTATTAGGTACCTCTACTTAAAAGGGAAACCGGGAAAGGAGATACATGATGAATTGTCAGATGTTTATGGTCACAGTGCACCTTCGTATGCACAGGTCAAATTGGTTGAAAAAGCAGTAGATACCGTATTCACAAATATTGATGAAAGTATTGAGTTTATTAGAGAAGCACTCTCCTTTGCTGGGAACGAAATGAAGAAAGTGGTTCACGTGGACAAGAAAACACAAAAATGGTTTGATTGGGAATGTCAGTTACTAAAAAAAGAGAGATGTACATGCCTCAACAAATTCAGAAGAGATAAAGATTAACAGTCATTTCAGGAATATACAAGAATTAGAAATCTTTACAAAACCACGTGCAGGGAAAAGAAGATTATATTTCTTGAAAAGAAAAAAACAATATTTGGAAGATAACATTAAGTCGTTGAAAGAATTTTGGACAACCCTCCACAAGCTAAATCCACATTATGAGTTTAAAAATAATATTGAAATTGATAAATGGTATGATTATTTCAAAAATAAGTTTAGTGGTAATAGTGTTGGGGATGATACCTACTTTGAATTATCAGATCAGGAAACATGTGATAATGACATAACTCCTACAATTCTTGACTCGCCAATCACAAGAGAGGAAATTCAAAAAGCTATCTACGATTTGAAAAACAGCAAGAGTTCCGGCATAGATGGTTTAATTCCAGAATTTTTTAAACATTCTGTTAATATTCTACTCCCATACCTTGAATTACTCTTAATATGATTTTAGAAACGTCTTATTTCCCAAAAGAGTGGACTATCGGTGTGATTGTTCCACTACATAAATCAGGATCACATATCGATAACAAAAATTATCGAGGAATTACCCTTCCGACTGTTTTTAGTAAAATATTTATTTCTATTATTAATAAAAGGCTCACTTTTTGGTCAGATTCATTAGATAAAATTTCGGAAGAACAAGCAGGTTTTAGACAAGGGTATTCAACCACGGATAATATGTTCGTACCTAATGCGATTATTCACAAATACATGCAGAGAAAAGGTGGAAAATGTTATGCAATTTTTGTTGATTTCAAAAAAGCGTTTGATTCTGTAAACAGAAATATAATGTGGTCATTGTTTCGTTCAAATGGGGTGAGTAATCAAATGGGTAAACTATTATGCAATATTTATCAAAATGTAAAGTCATGTGTTAAAAATCGGGGAATATACTCTGATGTCTTCACATGTACCATTGGTGTACGCCAAGGCTGTATTCTTAGCCCATTCCTGTTCTGTTTTTTCCTCAATGAACTGGCTGCACAAATTAAGGAAAATTGTACGGATGGTATACAGCTGCATCCAGATATTGTTAAGATATTTGTGTTGCTTTTTGCTGATGATATAGTCCTGTTCTCTAGTACGATAAAAGGTTTACAGAATTGGATAAATCCACTGGAACTGTACTGTTCTAATTGTAAACTCCAAGTGAACACTGAGAAAACGAAAGTGTTAGTTTTCAAAAAGGGAAATAAACTATCAAGTAGGGAAAAATGGTTCTTCAACTCACAACCGTTAAAAATTGTCACTTCTAATAAATATCTGGGAGTAACCTTCACAGGCAGATTATCGTGGAATTACCACACCAGTAATGCAGCAATGCAGGCAAAAAAAGATACTAATGGGAATCTTACATAGTTTGAAAACCTTCACTGATCTCTCATATCAAACCTTTTTCTAAAATATTTGATACTAAAATTACTCCAATTCTTTTATATGGAGCAGAGGTCTGGGGGCATACTGAATACAGAACTATTTAACTGGTCCATCTATATGCTTGTAAACGATTCCTTGGCGTAAAAAACTCTACATCGAGTGTTATGGTATATTGTGAATGTGGACGTGTACCACTTTACATATTTCAACATATTAGAATTCTCAAGTATTGGTTCAAGATTCTTAAAATGCCTATTAATAGATTACCTAGAAAATGTTACAATATGATGTTATTGTATGAAAAACATGGAATCCCCAATTGGGTATATGATGTAAAGTCGTTATTAAATCATTGCGGCTATGGATATGTTTGGCGTAATCAATGTGTACCAAACAATCCAGATTCATTTTTAGTATCTTTACGCCAAAGACTTAAGGATATATACTTGCAAAAATGGGCATCGCATGTTTTAAGTTCAGAAAAATGCAATTATTACAAGCTTTTCAAGACAACAATTTCCCCAGAATACTATTTGTTTGAATGAACTTTAAAAGGTTTAGAAAAAGTTTAGCACAATTTAGATGCAGCTCTCATAGACTTAGGATCGAAGTAGGCAGGCATAGAAACATAGACAGAGAATTGAGAATATGTGAGCAATGTGATTTAAATGTGATTAAAGATGAGTTTCATTTTCTGTTAGTTTGTCCAAAATACGACCACCTTAGAAGAAAATATATTGATCTGCCTGGTTATGTACATCCCACTCTACAAAGATTTACAACGATCATGTCAACAACTGATAAAGATACTCTAAAAAATCTATCAATGTTCATTTATCATGCTATGTTAATTAGAATATGACCTGTTAAACGGATCTGTAACCACTCCCGAAATCAGAATTGTACTATGGGCCTGAGGCCTTTCAGTATGGAATAAAACGTATCCTATCCTATCCACAGGTCAAATTCTCGGTTGCAGAATTAAAGAGGGGTCGGGTGAACCTGGAAGATGAGCCACGCCCTGGCAGGGCTGTAGAGGTGACCAAACCAGTGAAGCTGTGAGACAACTGGTTGTCAAAGACAGGCGAATGAAGGTGTCAGAAATGGCCAAGGCCTTGGACATTTCAGAGGGAAGTGTTCATACCATTTTGCATGATCGTCTGGGTATGAGGAATCTGTCTGCCCGATGGGTCACGAAATGTCTGAGTGATGATCAGAAGGCTGTACGTGCGTCAATGTGTCAGGCATTTTTGACGCATTGCAGACAACTTTATGGAGAGAATTGTTACTGGTGATGAAACCTGGGTACAACACTATGACCCAGAAACCAAAGAACAGAGTAAACAGTGGACTGGCTTAGCTTCACCCCGTCCAAAAAAGTTCAAGACTCAACCACCTGCTGGCAAAGTCATGGCAACCATCTTTTGGGATACCAAAGGGGTCTTGCTCATTGACTACTTGCCACGTGGCCAGACTGGAGAGTACTACTCCGATGTCCTGGGCCGTTTGCGGACTGCTATTCTTGCCAAACGTCGTGGAAAGATCACAAAAGGTGTGCTGCTCCAACATGATAATGCCAGAGTGCACACCTGTCGACTTGCGGTTGCCGCAGTGAAGCGGAACGGGTTCAAAGTATTGCCTCATCCACCTTACTCACCAGACCTGGCACCAAGCGACTACTTTCTCTTCCCAAACTTGAAGAAAGAACTGAGTGGACGTCATTTCCGGTCCGATGATGAACTCACAACAGCAGTGGAGGGGTGTTTACACGAACTACCCCATGGTTTCTATCACAACGGGCTTTTAGCTCTTACACATCGCTGGACAAAGTGCATAGACCTCAATGGTGATTATGTGGAAAAAGAAGTGAGGAGCAGTAGCAAATAGGTTAGGCTGGTTATATATTGAATGGCCCTCGTAGTTTTGTTATCGTAACTCAATTTTTACGAACTTACCAATTTATGTATAATAACTGCAACTGATTAAAGATATCTACAAAATGTGTCGTTCATACGCTTATGTACGTCAATTGCGCGATAGGTGATCGGCCTCTCGTCCAAAGGAAAGTCGTATATCGTGTAAACTTCACATTATCATGAAACTAAAAGTCCAGTAAAGGTCCAATCACAATATAAAGCATCACAAAAATGTGTGACCCTTTACAAAGGACAAAAGGCAGGATGTTCAAAGGCAAAATGTACTGTCATGCAACCAAATTTCTGAAATAATTTCAAGCAATGGATAAGATACGACCTTGAATGTTAATCATGTACGTTAGTACGAACATCTGCGTGTAGAACTACTTGAAGTGGAAGAATAGAAATAATACCAAAGTCTTTGATATAAATAGATGAAAATGCTTGATTCTGTCTGATCTTTGGTACGCGTTTCATACGTATTACAGTGCATATATTTCAGTATACTTTTTATATTTTTAACACATTAAACTTAAATTAGGAAATTCTAAAATTCGAAAGTCGCTTGACCAGTATTTCTCGTTTTTATCGCCACTGGTCGACGATGACGGCTGCTCCTTGGCAAGCTCATTCACGCGAACAGAAAATTACGTAATCATAGATAAAGTCGGCGCGTAGGTCCGCCTCGGCCCTTGTTCTATTGATAATGTTTTGTTACCAGCTGGCGCAGGTTTTGACCCTCATCTAAAACTGTAATTAAAATGTTGTAGTTAAGTTGAATCATTACTGCCATATTGTTACTCTCAATCTACTGTGTACAAGTTCTAAATTACTGCTCATTATATATTATTTACCGTTTAATACTCAGGCACTCTCCAGTGTTGTTTGAAGTGTAATACGTAGTGGGCTCCTCCAGTTTATGTGTCATTAATATGCGGCACCAATAGTTCTCTCCTGTATTTCGACATCCATGATTATATTCACCTATTATGTCTAACATCATCTGTTCAAAACGCCAGATGCATATACAGTTTATATTTCCTTACAGCAGCGTAGCATACATGTAGCTTAGTCACAAAACGGTTCCTGGAGTTAACACAACTGTTTCAAGCATGATCTATTTTATACATAGGTCGGTTATTCCATATTTTCCGACAGTCCACCGATCAAGGGTTATATGAGCAGCTTTACCTTCCGTGTGCGCTTACAGAATAGGCTATAACTACGCTTTCCATATTTCCTAGGTTTTATCCTCATTAAATAAGTATTTGAATATATTGTAAAGAGTTCCGTCCCTCATATAGTTGCATACGCTACAACACAACCTATACTACAATTTCATTACCGTAGTCATTTAATACTGTTAAAGTCATCCTTTATACTTCATAACAACGTACATTCAAACGCGCATCGTTTAAGTATACAATTACCGTATTCACTCCATTAGCTGTTTTCGTCTAGCTCCGCATATATTTAGGAAATGCGCGTAGTCAATAGCAACAAAGCCGCCGTGATTCATTACCGTAGTCACCAAAGTAATCACTACTAAAACTAATAATTACACTAACTAAAACCGAGCTATATCTTCTACCGCGTACATTCGTATCTTTATTTGGATCAAGTATTTACTTTCCGTATTTGCCGAAATTATGATGTTGTGATAATTATTACGGAAACTACAAATATTAATGTTTACCGTCTTTTCATAAGTAAATGTCATGATCCTCATCTAAGCAGATTGCGCAGTCTACCGTACATGCTCTATCAAAATGCTCAATTTAGCTGTTAAGGAATGTTATTTGGCATTACCGTTATTATTCTAGTAAATACGTCATCTGTTGTATAATGTTACCGTACATACTCCAATATTAAATACATTGCCTTTATTATTATGTCTTTATTAGATGGACACTGTGTTAGCATATCATTGTCATTATTATCACTGTACGTCACTATTATATATTAATTGATGTAACTTGAATGATATGACACACTTGCTTGAATAAACCCTAAGGACCTCACAGCTCTCTTCTCTCTTGTTTCAAGGCTAGCTCCCAATAGCTAATTCCCCAAACCGAGGCCTGACAGTTATTTGTATCACCCCAACAAGGCTGTCTTATACGGTTGCCAAGCGGCTCTCTCTGGTATCTCCTGACAACTAGCCATAAGGTGGCTATGGTCTGGTCGACCAGTGTTACCGTATGAATACATGTTTGTTTGTTTGATTGATTTGTAGTTTAACGCCGCCCCAAGGAGAAGTCCAGGTATATGACGGTGGAATGTAATACAACTAAATAATACCATCAGGACCAGGTGATCTGTTTTTCGCATTTTTTAAAAATATGAATTTCAACTTCCTGATAACATAGTGAAATTATATTAATCCTGATTTAGATTTCCTCCCGTGTCACACTGACACACATTTGCACAGAATAAGATAGATGAAAAATGGTCTACTCATCCTTGTGTACGGATTCCATCTGATTAGTCAACTTACTCTTGCTTTAATAGTTTCCAGAACAGTATAGAATTTCCCTTTGCATCAATTAAATTGTGTCTCTATTGATTCCTATATACTAGTGGAAAAAGATAACTGTGTTCCATATGAGGTGGTGAGTGAGTAAGTGAATTGGGTTTAACGCCGCTTTTAACAGTATTCCAGTTATATCGCGGCGTGTCAGCTTAATGTTGATGGAAAGCCCAAAGTGATGCAAGTCTCAGACGTTTACCACTTCGGTGAAACCCACGAGCACGGGTATGGTGCTGACAAACCTAGAAACATAATCGTGGCGAACCGGGATTCGAACCCACAATCATAGGTTCCTGGTGAGCCAAAGGGACGCAACTCTGCACAGCGAATCGCGGCGCCTAAGACGACTCGGCCACCCGTGCCCCGGTGTTAGTGATGGGTTATATAAACAACATAATATTTGGTAATAAGTCTGATTAATGTTTTATCATAACCAATTCATTGATAATACCAATACCTGGTAACAACAGACAGAGCCACAAAGGTGCAAAGTCAGTTAACAATGTCAATATCAGATGTGTCCACCATTTATGTTGATACAGGCGAGGCAGTGGCGGCGCATTGAAGACACCAGATGAAGGATGAACAGCCTGGGGGATGTTGTTCCAAATGTCAACCAAAGATTGGTCATCTGATCTGGCGGGCTACCGTCCTGTTGAGATGTCGTGTTATATCACCCCAGGCATGTTCAATGCGGCCGCGGTGTGGGGAAACGGCTGGCCATGGCAGTACGGCAATGGCATGCTGCATTAAAGACGTTGGATACCATTGTTCATGCGCATACCGGACGCGCATGTAAAGGGCCAGTATTTGTAATGCGGTTACGTCCCTTTGACTCGCGGCTAATTGCATTAGAACTCATAGAAATATAAATTTGGGCAAGAGCTACCTCCCCTGATTCATTTTTTTAGGGGTATGCTGTGTTGATTGAAAATAATTTGAATATCCTCTGGTAACATGTTGTTTTTATTTTATAATTTTATTGTACAATGAATAAACATTAGAAATAAGCCAGTTTGAAAAATATCTTGATTTGTAAAATGCTTTTTTGACTGATGAATCAATTTTGGGGGAAAATGTGCTGTTTTTAAAGTCAAATGATGTGTGGAAAATTCTGTTTTGTGTCATATCAATACTGTACTATGTCTATTTAAAAACACTCATTTAATAATCAAACTTTAAAATGACCATTGTATTGGCAAAAATGATTTTATCATCCGATGCCTCTACATGGCGCCACTTATTCAAAAAATGACGTAATTTGATTCAGGACATATTTTCCTACAAAATGATACCAAATATACCCATTTCTTGAATGTTTCTTACAACATGTGGTCGGGCTTTGTCCTGTTGCAACGTGACCTTAGTGCATGATCTCGAACGATGTACTCCGGGTAGCGCACGCCATTCAAATTACCGTTAACAATCATGAATTGTGTCATCCTTTGAGTTGTGATGTCATGCCATGCCATTGCTCTCAAACCCCTAAACTGACGACGTTGAGTTACGTAAGCGTCCCTAAAACGTTACTGTGTGCCTGTAGATCATTGAGCGACCGTCCGGATTAAACCTGGACTCATATAGGAACAGTATTCTGTCCCAGTCCTGCCTTCCAAGCCTCTGAGGCTGTCTGCACCAAGCTAGGAGTTCTTGACGGTGACGTGGAAGCAAAATTAGGCGTATCGCCTCTAACTATTAGTTTTGACCTAGGAATTGTCCGAGATGTTCATGTGGCAGTTTGGTATCGATTCCGTAAATGCACCAACCGAATATGGTTGTCTTGTTGCCGTGACGCCACATGTGGACGAACGGTCCGTGGAAAGTCATGAGTGTTGCCCTGTTGTAGATAACATCTCCAAAGACATGCTATTGTGTTTCTATGAACAGTAAAAGATATGGCGACTTTGTCGTGGTATGGCGTAAACGTTATTTACGGTTAAACAAAACTGTTTTAGGAGCTACTGATAGCTAAACAATAATTGTGTGCTGTTCACATTCACAAACCACGTCTGAGTATCCTGCTCCCAGCAACACGCAAACGTCCACATTGTACATGTACCTCGTACATTAGCATCCCCGTGCAAATTATGAATTGCCACCCTACTGTCGAGATGCCTTGATGAATATGTGTTAAAAGAAGCATTATTTAATTTCAGGATAAATGTATTTCTATTGAACTTTATATGAGGCATAGTTACTTGTTCCCGATAGTATATAATTGTCTTTTCCGTTCAAACATTTTCTTAAATCGCGCGCATAACTGTCAGATTCAGATTCTGACTCTTTATTTCTCCATAGACCAACGACGGTGGTACAAGAGCATACATATACATAAAGTAGAGATAAATATAATATGTACAATCGAGAAGGCTGTGTGCATTAAAATTTGGCATTCAAAGTGATAAATATAAATAATACATATTTTCGTAGACGTTTTAGCTCGTTTAGTTTGGTTGTTGAAAAAAGGCTTTTTAATGAAAACACATCTGACCAAGTTAAATATCTTCTAGGAATTATGCGAAAGTCTTTTGTTATAAAAAAAACTTGACATCGGAATATATAATTGAATTCATCTGCTATTGTCTAAAACTCTTTTGTTCACATTTGCCGTTTGTTAGTAAGAGTGACACATTGAGATAATGCACATCAACGAGTGTCTAAAGAGCTATTTCATCCTTATTTTGTGTGCGAATAATGTATTGAATATGTCAATATAGCCTTGTTGATGAATAATGACACGTGGAGATAATGCACATCAACGAGTGTCAAATGAGCGATTTCATCCTTATTTTGTGTGCGAATAATGTATTGAATTTATCAATATAGCCTTGTTGGTAAAATGACATATTGAGATAATGCACATTAACGTGTGTCAAAAGAGCTATTTCATCCTTATTTTGTGTGCGAATAATGTATTGAATATATCAATATAGCCTTGTTGATAAATAGTGGCGCATGGAAATAATGCACATCAACGAGTGTCAAATGAGCGATCATCCTTATTTTGTGTGTACTTTGTTGGTAAATAGTGGCGCATGGAAATAAGGCACATCAACGAGTGTCAAATGAGCGACCATCCTTATTTTGTGTGCGAATAATGTATTGAATATATCAATATAGCCTTGTTGGTAAATAGTGACACATTGAGATAATGCACATCAACGAGTGTCAAATGAGCTATTTCATCCTTATTTTCAGTGAGAATAATGTATTGCATATATCAATATAGCCTTGTTGGTAAATAGTGACACATTGAGATAATGCACATCAACGAGTGTCAAATGAGCGATTTCATCCTTATTTTCAGTGAGAATAATGTATTGCATATATCAATATATCCTTGTTGGTAAATAGTGACACATTGAGATAATGCACATCAACGAGTGTCAAATGAGCTATTTCATCCTTATTTTGTGTGCGAATAATGTATTGAATATGTCAGTATAGCCTTGTTGATGAATAATGACACGTGAAGATAATGCACATCAACGAGTGTCAAATGAGCGATTTCATCCTTATTTTGTGTGCGAATAATGTATTGAATTTATCAATATAGCCTTGTTGGTAAAATGACATATTGAGATAATGCACATTAACGTGTGTCAAAAGAGCTATTTCATCCTTATTTTGTGTGCGAATAATGTATTGAATATATCAATATAGCCTTGTTGATAAATAGTGGCGCATGGAAATAATGCACATCAACGAGTGTCAAATGAGCGATCATCCTTATTTTGTGTGTACTTTGTTGGTAAATAGTGGCGCATGGAAATAAGGCACATCAACGAGTGTCAAATGAGCGACCATCCTTATTTTGTGTGCGAATAATGTATTGAATATATCAATATAGCCTTGTTGGTAAATAGTGACACATTGAGATAATGCACATCAACGAGTGTCAAATGAGCTATTTCATCCTTATTTTCAGTGAGAATAATGTATTGCATATATCAATATAGCCTTGTTGGTAAATAGTGACACATTGAGATAATGCACATCAACGAGTGTCAAATGAGCTATTTCATCCTTATTTTCAGTGAGAATAATGTATTGCATATATCAATATAGCCTTGTTGGTAAATAGTGACACATTGAGATAATGCACATCAACGAGTGTCAAATGAGCTATTTCATCCTTATTTTCAGTGAGAATAATGTATTGCATATATCAATATAGCCTTGTTGGTAAATAGTGACACATTGAGATAATGCACATCAACGAGTGTCAAATGAGCGATTTCATCCTTATTTTCAGTTAGAATAATGTATTGCATATATCAATATAGCCTTGTTGGTAAATAGTGACACGTGGAGACAATGCACACCAACGAATGTCAAATGAGCGATTTCATCCTTATTTTCAGTGAGAATAATGTATCAGATATCAATATAGCCTTGTTGGTAAATAGTGACACATGGAAATAATGCACACCAACGAATGTCAAATGAGCTATTTCATCCTTATTTTGTGTGCGAATGATGTATTGAACATATCAGTAAAGAGATCCCGCATCTTTATTTCACGCATATTTAAACCAGCTTCTGGTATTTGTTTCATTTGACTTTGGTTTAACAGATATATCCTTTTCAACACGCAACTGGTCCTCAACTGTGTTGACCTATCACGGTTATTTCTGTGAAAATTAAAAGTGCCGTAGATTGGGAAATTATTGTATTCATCTCTGGTACCCAAACCTAACTCTGAAATTAGAGGCTAAATGAATGTGAGAGCAATCTTGTAGTTCACTACACTGGCGCCATCGTATGTCACAGGGGAACTCACCTTGTTTGTGTGGACGAGGACAGTGGGGGGACATACCTACAATTTAAGGTTCATTGGAATACACGTCGTGGACAAATCAATGGACAAATAAAGTCTTGTGTTAATTTCTTTATCTTGTTGAGAGGTCTTCGAGTGCTATCTGAGTGGAGGATACATTTCAGTTCTGCAAGGCTGCAGCACCATTGTTCTCGGATTCTCGAAGCGGTTTAGTTTCAATTAGATATTTAACAACTATCTATCTGTCTGTCTGTCTGTCTGTCTGTCTGTCCGTCCGTCCGTCCGCCTGTCTGTATGTATGTCTGTCTGAAGATGTTATTCTGACAGTTTATTTATTTTTCTGTTCATCTGAATAACCTTGCAATATCCAACCTGTTGATGTCTTATAGATATATAGTGTATATATGATTAGTCTCTAAACGGATAGAACGATTGTTTGACGTCCATCCAATTCAAAGGGAAAGTGCTTCAAATGAAGTACAAATCGATTGGATGATGCAGACAGCAGACGTGGCTAACAACGAGGATTACATCGGGTATATAACCTCTGTCAGTCGCCAGAGAACCATTGCCATACAGCCTACTGTTCGCAATGGTCTCCAGGCGTCTTTTCCCAGAACAAGTCAGACCCGAAAGTCTATGCTATGCTGTTGTAGTGTTCACGTATGTGAGATGTGCCTGCGTGGATATCGAGTCTCTATTGGTTGAGAACTCCTCCATGCCGGAGAAAGGATTTCGCGTTCTTGAATCGTCCACCTTGTACGAATGTGGAGCAGAATGTTTGATGAACCAAAATTGTATGTCCATCAACTTCGAGAAGAAATATAAACGTTGTCATCTTAACACTGATGATAGTAACAATGGCACGATCATTCATGAAGAAGGCGTCGTCTACAGTGATATCAAGTATTGGCCGAAGGTGATGTATTTTTCTGTATCTGAAACTGTTACTCCGATTTAATTAAGTACTACAGTCTGGATTGAAATACACAGGCTGTTTTGGATTAAGAAAGCGTTAAAGAAATGATACTTATCTTTCACATTGATTATCGTATGTTGTATATTTGGTCTCCAACCGATCCTGTTATATGGATGAAAACTGTATAAAGTACAATTTGGCAATTTAAAAAGTTCAAAAAAAATTCTGCACAAGTTCTATTGCACACAGGTTACAACGCTGCAAATAAAGTTTTAATGGCAGAATGAGGTCGCTGCCCACTGTTCATACATGCCCACAGTAGAGTTCTTTCATATTGGATAAGGCTTATCAGACAACCATTAACAGATACTCCAGGAATAGTTATGACTTAATCAAAAGACTAGACGATGCAGGTGACGAAATCTCGGTTTCTTCTCTAGGAATACTATTATTTAAATACGGGTTTGGGGCATTCTGGCTCACACAAGATGTAGATAACAGAGGAGTATTTCTGAATATTTTTAAACAAAAGTATAAAGACATATATCAACAAGAATGGTTCATGAGTGCGCGAGAATCAAATTGTGACAGTATTATTCTGAATTATAAAGTTCTATTGCATCAGAGACCTACCTTATATTACGTCAATAAATACAGTACACCTCGGTCGAGTCGAAACGAAATTTAGATGCAATGTACATACTTTTAAAATTAGAAAAGCTACATTTAAAAAAAAAAAAGGCAATTTAAAATACATCCTGTCCATACTGTAACCGCCCAAATGAAGACGAATATCACGTACTATTAATATTAGCGCAGTACATGTTAATAAAATCAAGTATTAATGTATTATGGGCCTTTGAACCTTATTACTATGTCCAGAATATGCAAGTTTAAGAAATGATTACATACAACAGTATTTTAGAAATGGACCATCTCGAGAAAAGTCGTATGAAACACTACAGACAAAAGATGCGAACATTCTATTTAAGTTATCCGTGTTATTATACGTAATATTTATCACGAGGGCTAGGAAGCCAATATAGATTTACTATGAAATTCATGTTTGTAAACCCATTCTACATGTTCTGAAACTACGATGTCAAAATAGCGCTGTAACGTGTACAGTTCTATTGCATACATGGTGTACAATTTGTCCTTTGGCCACATATACAAATAAACTGCCCGTATATATTTGGTCTTTTCACCGTAGACCATATGACTGGCGCCATTATTCCTCAGGATTAGTTGAAGGAAAACCTAATGCTTACTTGGCAACGACTTCTTCCGACCGCCTTCTTGTATGTTACCCTTGATTTCAAATTTATATATTTCCTTAGTGATAAATTCATACAAGGAAAGGTCGACTAAAAAGGGATCACAACGAACGAATAGAATTGTGTTTGGTTAACTTAAGAGAAAGGTTATTTCACAGTGTCACAGTGCAAATCGTATGATCGTGGCTTCGAATCCCATATTAGCTCCATACCCGTGCTGGTGGGTTTCCAAAATTGTAAACGTCTAATGCCTGCATCAATGTCTTTCCTCCTGCACTAAGCTGACACGACGTGATATAACTGGAATACTGTTTAAAGAGTTCACTCACTCACTGGGTTGGAAACAGGCTATCGGAAGATTTGAGTTAACTTTAATAAATGTACCTGAATTCAAAATTGCCAATTCGAACTCTGTCTATAATGTTAGTCTTCTTTACGCTTCATGGTTACTTCAATCCCCATTTAGATCCGGACATCAGTTTGAACGCGAAGAGAAACTGAGGCAAGGCTTGTGACTTTTAACTCCGACGTACTAAACGTGATCTCCCTTGACCAGTTTATTTGGGTGTTTAGGCACACGGTCACATAGACATGTATGACACACACTTCTACACGCCACACACCACACACCACCACCGCCTTCGGTTGCGTACCTAGGTCGGGAGTCTGGTGGTGAGGGCACTCCAGGGATAGCGTTCCTTTGGCCAATGCTCCACTTCGACCCTTACTTCGCCTGGACGGGTGATAGGATGGGTAGGTCATGCCAAGCCCAAAACGCTTATATTTGTATTGCTCTATCACTTTTTGGCTTGAGATTTTGATTTGTTATATTGTCATCCATATACATGGATTTTCACTTTACTTTTAAAATTAAAAGAATGCCTAGATGTTAGGGCCAAACTGAAGGAATCATCTCTCATCTCTAGTGTCTGTCTAACACTGCTCTTGTTAGCACCCGGTGGCGGGCGGGCATGGCGAAACTCTACCACCAACCATGAATTACAAACACCCCCTGAAAAAATCAAAACGTCCACTTGACAATGATGACGAACAGCGTTACTGGCCACGTTTTCTTGTTCTTGAGATTCTTGATCAAACAGCTCTGAAGTTGAATCCATTTGTAGTATCAAAGGATGTACATGGAATAGAAAGAGATGAGAAAAGCATTAAACACTTGCGATCAGGCTCTCTTTTCATTGCATGTAACAACAGACAACAAACAATTGATCTCATGTCCACAAAGATGTTTGTCGGCATCCAGATCACAGTCACTTCACGCAGGACACTTAAATCCAGTAAAGGTATTGTGAGAGACTGGGATCGATTGTTTGCTGACATAAAGGTAATTGACATTTTATTTTAAATGAAAGAAAAATATGTCATCTTTGTAAAAAGCTTCACACCTCGAAAAAAACTATGAAACTCAACCAAACAACACTGACCTCTTTTCTTTTTCTGCTCCAACTGCACCAAAATCAGCCAAAACAGGATACTGTAATATAAATGTTGAAATCTTCATTCCAAACCCTCATTCCAAACCCTCTAAGTTGTTTCAAATGCCAGAGATGGATATGGTGTTAATACCTGCAAAAAGGATGTTAAATGTGCTCACTGTTATGTTAATACGTAACTTTAAAAAATGCGCTAAAGACCCGGGGAGTCATTGATCCTTAGGGCAAGCATATTAAATATCTGAAAGCTAAATGTCTGAAGGTACTGGATTTATTAAAGGTTGTTTCTAATTCCAATAGTTGAGGACATAAGTCAGCCGTACTAACTAGCATAGATCACTTATCCGTTCTAAACGTAATTTTTTCAGACTCTCTGTCCTGTCTTCAGGCTATTAAAAATAATTCGTGTCAGGATCAAGTTTGCTTGACTTCATTTCACAACATGATAATCTTGCTGCAGGGCAATCCGACATCATCTTTTGTTGGTTACCCAGCCGTTGGTGACATAATGGCTGATGTTGCAAAAAAACGCAGCAATCAATAAATCTGTGACACCACTTCTGATCCCATATACTGATTAAAAACCCGTTAAGTTGTTATATCAGAGACCCAATGCAAAAAGGTGGGACAGTCAAGTAGGTATAAATATATTACATGCAATAAAACCAACCACCTACTTTCTGTTGTCAGTCCAGATTTGAAGAGGTCATTTCAAAAAGATATCGAATTGGCCATTCGCGATATACTCATGAATATTTATTGAAAGGTATCCGTTGTGATGACTGTATTGATTTTTCCATTTTATTTTTCAAGCAAATATATTAAATCATCATCTCTTTAGGATCGTTTTAATAATATTAGTTCTAATTTAGTCATACGTCCTTTAAACGAAATTTAATGGCTTCATAAATTTTGATTCATATGCTTTCTAGAATAATTGACTTTTTATAACTGGTGGTATAATTTTTATAACCGAGACTATTAGTGGCTGTACCATCGACAGGGGTTTGAAGTACTGTAAACTGGTTGTCCCCCGGAGAAGGAATGTAAGACCACGTCATTCAACGTAGTTTTATTCTACCACGTTTGTAATCGTAGAATATGTGTTCGAGTGAGTCAGTATGGTTTTACGCCGCTTTTAGCAATATACCAGCAATATCACGGCGGGGGACACCAGAAATGGGATGCACACATTGTACCTATGTCGGGAATCGAACCCGGGTCTTCGGCGTGTCGTTGTGTTCGAATAATACGGTTTGTCAATAATCGCCAACATCTGAAAGGATGATGTAAATCCTGCTAGGGTCCATGCAGGTAGCGAAGGTCAGTCCCCATGGTCCCTGGTGTGGTGATCTACCTTCCGTTGCTGGTGATCTGCAGCCTGCTTTTATAGTGTCTTGTCATGAATAATAATATTTTTGTATACTACATGTTGTTGGTTGTTTATTTGTGTGTTGTTTAACGCCGCACTCAGCAATATTCCAGCTATATGACGGCGGTCTGTAAATAATCGAGTCTTGACTGCACAATCCAGTGATTGATATCATGAGCATCGACCCTCACAATTGGGATCGATGACATGCATCAACCAAGTCAGCGAGCCTGACCACCCGATCCCGTTAGTCGCCTTTTACGACAAGCATGGGTTGCTGAAGACCTATTCTACCCCAGATCTTCACGGGTATCATACCACTTGTAGTTTTACATATATTTCTGTGATAAGTCTAGTCATTTTCGACATTTTCCTTTGTCGACAGGTTTTATAGTCTCAATTGGTGTATTATTAATGTATAAATTGCTTTAGTCACGATATGGCTGAAATACTGCCGATATGACTATAAATTTTAACTCACTTCTCACCCATGTCGGGAATAGAACCCGTGACGCACGAAGGCATCAACCACTAAACTACCCCACTGCCCTTACTCCATACGGGGGCAGGGGTGGCCCAGTCGTCTGCGGCGCCGCGATTCGCTGAGCAGAGTTGCGTCCCTTGGGCCCGCCAGAAACCTATGATTGTGGGTTCGAATCCCGGTTCGCCACGATTATGTTTCTAGGTTTGTCAGCATCATACCCGTGCTCGTGGGTTTCACCGAAGTTGTAATCGTCTGAGACCTGCATCACTTTGGGCTTTCCTCCCATATAAGCTGACATGCCGTGATATAACTGGAATAGTGTTAAAAGCGGCGTTAAAACCCAACTCACTCACCTTACTCCGTACAGACCAGAGTGAACAGGATCCGTAGTATAGTTACATACCCTCATTTCATCCTAAACGTTCAATTATTGCTCTTCAGTCTTTAATCGGACCATGTGAGAACGTCAGCTGCATCCCTGGTGAACGATGCACTGTCGACCGACTCCAAAGACCCCACTGTGTTGAAGGTTGGTACTGGTTGATGAATATTAAACATCTAAATATATTAAAACTGGCATATGCTATCTTATGCTGGATTCGCTGTGCAGAGTTGCGTCCCTTGGGGACGCCAGAAACCTATGATTGTGGGTTCGAATCCCGGTTCGCCCCGATTATGTTTCTAGGTTTGTCAGCACCATACCCGTGCTCGTGGGTTTCACCGAAGTGGTAAACGTCTGGGACCTGCATCACTTTGGGCTTTCCTCCCACATTAAGCTGACACGCCGTGATATAACTGGAATACTGTTAAAAGCGGCGTTAAACCCAACTCACTCTCTTGTGCTGTTTGAAACATTTCAGATTATGATGTCAAATAGTAATATCTTATCCATGTGTTGTGTGTTTTCTCATCTCAAAGAAAGTCACATCGGTCGAAGAATTGTTTATTTACATATATGTATCACGTCAACACTAGAGAATAATCAGTCTCGATTATCTGTCGAAGCAAATAACATTGGATTTAAAAGAACAATAGTGATGAAAATTATATGATGACAATCATAGGATGCAAATTATAGGATGCAAATTAAAGGATGCAAATCATATCAGGATGATAGGATCACAGAAAGACGGTGATGACACCAGGTATCCGGGAAAAGGGAAAGTATGTCCCGCCCAACTGGTAGCACTATTTACATACAATAAGTAAGTGTTTGATTATTGCCCGACGTAGCAGAGCAGTACATCGGTGTAAGAAAGATATAGCTGGAATATTGTTTGTTAAAAGCTGAGTAAAAGCTTAATAAAAAGCTGAGTAAAACTATACTCACTCACTCACTCACTCACTCACTCACTCACTGATTATAATTGTGTTTGAGCAAACAATATTTAACCCCAATATATTTCATTTTACATGACATACTGTAAATCGTGAAACTAATGCGTCTCCAAAAGAATGCGATCACTGGCCCCAAGCCAAAAATGCGACTCAATATGAATGCGACACTCACCTCCGCTCAAGCATCAGTGGATTTATGTATAAAGAAAATGTCCTCTGTCAGGTTTACAGAAGAATCCACACTGCAATCCATCCTTACATTCATCCACACGCACACCAAATAGCACCGCTATTAGCGCCGAGTAAAATACTTCCGCTAAAACAATACATGCGCTGGCTCGAGTCGGCCTTTGACGCAGTCGCAAACAACAGAGACACCGTGTTGCGTGGGTGGGGAGGGACTTGCAGGTGTGATCAGTGATGACATAGGTGATGTCTTGGCACCAGCAGTGACAATTCACAGGATGTAATTAGTGTTTGAATGACAATGTTTATATACTTACTACAAGTGCTGCTAAAGAAATCAGTGTTGTGGACTACATAGCTGTTTGTTTTCAGTGTATGTCTAAGTTGTTATTTCTCCTATCCAAAATGTCTTATTGTTGATATAAGTGCTATCTTAATAATGCGGACAAAGACCACTCGCATTTTTCTCATTTAATTCACGCTCGCGTTAATTTCAAGATTTACAGTATGTAACTCAAATATATACTCAACAACAAAAGTTCCTGTAACACCAATATTTTAGTGTATTTTTCAAACGAGTAAAGTTTGGTTTTCAATATTGTAGTACATATATGGAATCAATTTTTAAGTCACAAAAACGCACCTGGTACAGAAAAGAATGCATTCCATGCAAAAGTTGACTTTTATGCAAGCCCCATGCATTTCACGACCCAAGAATGGGTATAAAAACATGTGCGTTAACGGGATTCCATATGCCTTGTTTAGCATCGTTCTGACAACAACCACTCAGAAAAACAACAAAATTACGCAATTATTCAACATTACGAAATGTCACTCCTGTCCGAAAATGAGCGTCTGCGAGCCATTGGTATGCTTGAAACAGGATCGAGTCAACGTGATTTTGCAAGACAATTTAACGTCCACAGAAACACCATTTGGTGTTTATGGCAACGTTGGCAACAGACGAATGCAGTCAGAGACCACCCTCGGAGTGGCGGGCCACGCGTAACCAATAATCGACAAGACAACTGTATTCGAACAACACACCTACGAAATCGATTCCAGCCAGCAACAGTGACTGCAAGAAGCATCCCTTGCCTTCGACGAATATCTTCACAAATCGTACGACGTCGCTTCAGATGTGCAGGGATTGTCGCCAGAAGACCCGCCAGACGTCCCATTTTGACAGGAAACCACCGTCAAGCACGCCAACAGTGGTGCAGACAGCGTCTACGCTGGACGGCCATGCAGTGGGGACAAGTTCTATTCACTGACGAATCTCGTTTTCACCTCAGCCACAGCGATGGACGGATTCCAGTGTACCGACGTCGAGGTGAACGTTACGACAATAATTGTGTCATTGAAGAAGATCGGTTTGGGGGCGGCAGCGTTATGGTATTGGGTGAGATTACAGCAAGATAGAGGACCCGTTTGATAGTGGTAGAGGGAAATCTCAGTGGACAGCGCTACCGCGACGAGATCATCGGCCTGTTGTTCTACCTTTTTAGCGTCGACATGGCCCAGGCATTACCTTTCAACATGACAACGCCCGGCCTCATATTACTCGACTTGTTCAGGATTCTCTTCAACAAAACAACGTGAATGTCATCCCCTGGCCGGCTCGCTCCCCTGATCTCTCACCAATCGAGCACATGTGGGATGAGATGGATCGGCGCCTTCGACGTCGACCACTGTTCCACAGACACTCCAGGAACTTCGAAACATGCTCCACCAGATATGGACTGATAGCCCACAGTACTTTGTGCGACGCCTGGTCCATTCAATGAGACGAAGATGTGTTGCTTGCATCGCAACCAGAGGTGGATACACACGCTATTGATTTGTGAATTGACATTTTGGCATGTTCATTTTTTTTATGAAATCACGCATTTTCTGAAGTCAGTATGGCATATTAAACCATTTGAACGCTTACAGGAGTCTTTTATCTGTGGTAAATATCCTGTATTAGGAATAAACATTGTATTTAGCGAGCCTTGGCATAGTGTTATTCCTAATACAGGACATTAACCACCCCTCAAACTCACAAGCGTGATAACCTCTTCATCATGTAATGTCATTTTTAAATTCTGTTCTTGAAAATAGCTTTCCCTCTCTCACAAACATTACCGAAACATTGCGACTTTTCCTGGAATGCGCGCAATAATATGTATTACGTCACAGGGTAAGTGATGTGTCACTTGGACAGTGAGACAGTAGCCAATTTAGTTCCAACTGAAATCTGTTTCTTATACAGTGGGGAAACAACATATACGCAAAACAACAATTGTTTTGGTCATCTTTTGATAATGATAGCAATTATCCCAGTAGTTTCTCCAGATTCTTGATGGTTAATTCTGACTTAATCGCCGAATGACAAGGCCATGTTTGTTTATAAACACTGAAAGTAGTCCTTATTTGACCTTTGATATTTGCATCTGTATCCCCATAGACTCAAACATATATCGCTTTTATCCGTTTGTTTATCCTGCCGAGAAACCTACCCTTTATATGTTAAATGTATTTTATCATGTTTGTAACGTCTTTGCTTGTTATTAATAACTTTAATATTGATTGATTTTCCCTTTGAACTCAGGTATAGGCTGTCCTGTACAATCTTTCCTCCTCCGTAGAAAATATTGGCGAAATAAATTAATAATACCACGTCAACAATTACCATAAAGTCAAACAACATATTCAAACCCCAGTACTATTGAGGATAATAATAATAAACACTACGATGTTGGCAGGACTGATTACTACAGCATATTCATGCCAGGCATCAACACGGCATCAAAACCTCTCTTGTTTGGGGAGGGGCGAAATATTTTTTTCTTTCTGTCAGCTCTTAAAACAATTCAGTTATTTAATGCAATTTATAATTTATGAAAGGAGGATCGAAGCCATTTATTTTGAACCACAACACATGATTTACAGAAACCCAGGAATTCTCGTTAATTTTGGTAATAATGAGGACAGATTACATGGTGTGTTCAAGTTAAATATATGGCGAATCTATAAAGTGTCCACTCTCATTAATGAAAACAAATGTATAAAAACGATTGACACGTCTTAAAAATACACTTTGTATGTATATTAAACAAATGGTATTCCCATTATTTTTGCACAGTAAGATTGTTGATTTTTCATCTTCCTTTTAACACGGAAATAGTCAGAGAAATGTCGCTATCTGGCTTCATGGAAGACAAGTGGATGATATGTTTCATGGTAGGCATGCAGCGTTAGAAATTGGCACTAGTCCTGGAGTCCTTGCCAAACTCCCCAATAGTTAAGGTATCATAAGGACTAGTAGAAATTTGCCGTTTTTATGGGTTTTGCTATATGTTATTACTATGAGGACTAGTGGACTGAAGCTGTTAGTTTCTAACAGTGGACATGTGGATGACGTGTTTTATGTTTTATGGTAGGTAAGTGGATGACGTGTTTTATTTTTTATGGTAGACATGTGGATGACGTGTTTATGATAGACATGTAGATGACGTGTTTATGTTTTAGCCTAGACATGTGGAGGACGTGTTTTATGTTGTATAATAGACATATGGATAGCGTGTTTATGCTTTATGGTAGACATTTGGATGACGTTTTTTATTATTTATGGTAGACATGTGGAGGACGCGTTTTATGGAATACCTTTGGATGACGTGTTTTATGTTTTATGATAGACATGTGGATGACGGGTTTTTTGTTTTATGGTAGACATGTGGATGACGGGTTTTTTGTTTTATGGTAGACATGTGGAGGAAATGTTTTGTGTATGGTAGACATGTGGATGACGTGTTTTATGTTTTATAGTAGACATGGGGAGGAAATGTTTTGTTCTATGGTAGACATGTTGAGGAAAGGTTTAATATTTTATGATAGACATGTAGAGGACCTGGTCTATGTTTTATGGTAGACATGTGGATGACGTGTTTTATGTTTTATGGTAGACATGGGGAGGAAATGTTTTGTTTTATGGTAGACATGTTGAGGAAAGGTTTAATATTTTATGGTAGACATGTGGATGACGTGTTTTATGTTTTATGGTAGACATTTCGATGACGTTTTTTATGCTTTAAGGTAGACATGTGGATGACATGCTTTATGGTAGACATGCGGATGGCATGTTTTATGTTTAATGGTAGACATGTCGATGACGTGTCTTATGTCTTATGATATACATTTGGAGGAAATGTTTTGTTTTATGGTAGATATGTTGATGAAAGGTTTTATATTTTATGATAGACATGTGGATGACGTGTTCATGTTTTATGGTGGACATGTAGTGGACGTGGTCTATGTTTTATGGAATACCTTTGGATGACGTGTTTTATGTTTTATGATAGACATGTGGATGACGTGTTTTATGTTTTAATGGTAGACATGTCGATGACGTGTTTTATGTTTTATGATAGACATGTGGATGACGTGTTTTATGTTTTAATGGTAGACATGTCGATGACGTGTTTTATGTTTTATGGTATACATGGGGAGGAAATGTTTTGTTTTATGGTAGACATGTTGAGGAAAGGTTTAATATTTTATGATAGACATGTTGATGACATGTTTATGGTTGATGATAGACATGTAGAGGACGTGGTCTATGTTTTATGATAGACATGTAGAGGACGTGTTTATCTTTTATGGTAGACATGTGGAGGACGTGTTTGTGTTTTATGATAGACATGTAGAGGACGTGGTCTATGTTTTATGATAGACATGTAGAGGACGTGGTCTATGTTTTATGGTAGACATGTGGAGGACATTTGACGCACCAGTGACCAAACTGATGTCTGATTAAAATTCCCTAATTTGACTTGTGCTTGCCCCCTGCTTGTTCAGTTGAACAGCTGACTTATGATGTACTTATGATGGTACTCGGAATCGTACAACTGACACAAACATTTCCATAATCATAAGAAATCTCAGATCCGTTATACGATTCCGACTATATCATGAGCATGTGTTTATGAATCGCTTTCAAATAGAGATGGCATCCTGACCCACCGGTGGCATCCGTCACAAACACATGCAGAGGCAAGTCGTTTGTCAACACAAACAACATAATACATAAGAACATTGCAATAGAATAAGTGATATAAAGGTAGATGTATAAATGAGTATGTTCTGTACCCAAACTCATTATCTGTAAATAAGTAATACCAATTGTAAAAAAATGTCAGAAAGATTATTATTGAAAATGAAAAAAAATTTGAAATATGAATACTTTGAAATTGACATTCCGTTGTTGTTTTTCCACACTAGAGAGGGGTCTAATCATGTAGAGTCATCATTATGCATACATTATCAATGATGTTGATATTAAAATGCATGTTTGTCATGTGTAACGTATGTTGTTTTATAGATGTGCAACATTGTGGCAGCCCCCCTAGCACTGGTAACGGCAGCATGAACCACCAGCTTCAGTCTTTTGGGGCCGTCGCCAGCTACGACTGTGACGATGGCTACGTCTACTGCAGACACACAAGAAACATCCATTGTCAGCGAGACGGTACATGGGAGGAAGCCAGTACATGTGAAAAGTACATCTGGAACGAGACGGTGATGAGCATTTACAATTTCAAAGAGAATTGAGAATATGGTTTTACGTCGCCTTAAGCACTTCTCTAGCAATATCATGGCGGGTTCGCCAGAAATGGGCTTCACACATTGTACCTAAGTAGAAATCAAACCAGGGTCTTCGACTTGACGAACGAGCGCTCTAACTACTAGGCTACCCCGTTGACCCTTTCTCAGAGAAAATGAATTGTATCCATGACTGAGAGACTAAGAGACAGAGAGAGATGAAGCCATAATGAAGCCACTCTGGCCTGTTCTGTGAGTGAGTGAGTATGGTTTTACGCCGCTTTTAGCAATATTCCTGCAATATCACGGCGGGGGATACCAGAAATGGGCTTCACACATTGTACCCATGTCGGGAATCGAACCCAGGTCTTCGGCGTGACGAGCGAACGCTTTAACCACTAGGCTACCCGACCGCCTATTCAGTTCAGACAAGTGGTTCGTTGTGTGCATAGATAGAAGAGTGATCCATCATTGATCAAATATAAACCTTACTAACATATCTTTTTTGTAATTGTCAGTGATGAATTCATTTGTATGATCACAATAACAACCGGTTGTGAATATATACTGGTTAACATTGCAATATATTCAACACAAATCAGACCTGTGAAGATCCGGGAGAGAATAGATCTTTAGCAACCCATGCTTGCCGTAACAGGCGACTAAAGGGATCGGGTGGTCAGGCTCACTGACTTGGTTGATGTTATCGTATCCCAATTGCGTGGATCGATGCTCATGATGTCAATCACTGGTCCAGTCTCGATTATTTACAAACCGCCGTCCTATAGCTGGAATATTGCTGAGTGTGGCGATAAACAACAAACAAACAAACAACAACAGTGAACCTCATTTCACAAACAATAACAACCGTTACGTGAAGATCTTACTCGAGGATCAATGTGAGTGAGTGAGTTGGGTTTAACGCCGCTTTTAACATTATTCCACTTATACCACGGCGTGTCAGCTTAATGTTGGAGGAAAGCCCGAAGTGATGCAGGTCTCAGACGTTTACCACTTCGGTGAAACCCACGAGCACGGGTATGGTGCTGACAAACCTAGAAACATAATTGGGGCGAACCGGGAATCGAACCCACAATCATAGGTTTCTGGCGTGCCCAAGGGACGCAACTCTGCACAGCGAATCGCGGCGCCTTAGACGACTGGGCCATCCGTGCCCCCCGAGGATCAATGTGAACCAGCCATGCGGAAATATATACACGATATGTAACAATGGCAGAGGGGATATTAATATTGCCTAATCTTGTCAAATATAATATTTATTTTGTCGAGTGGCAAATACATGTTTTGCAAGAACCTTTTATGCAGCGACAACTGCAATGATAGTTCCTCTGACATGTGACTCATTTTCTGGCGACCAAATGGCAATGCAGTAACGATTGTTTCCTCCATAAGTTAACCATCAATTTTGATAAGCCTAGTTCTAATTCCTCTCAGTACTCTTTAAGATTTACCCTGGGAGTATTAGACATAAATTGTAGCATTATATCGCGATGCTAAATTTTCCTACAAACAGTTCCTACTGTCTAGTTTTGTTTTCAGACATCTTCATTCCCCATCCCATGCAAGTCCTACAACTTTTCCCTATCTCTGTACGCACGTTTTATCAAATCCACAAGGCAAGTACTGCTTTTTATTCCATGGACGCAATCTTCGCCATTATACGGCCATGTGTAACTCCACGTATTGCCCCAGGCAAAGATGATGTTTATGTTCCCATGCTGAAGCTGAACTCTCACTTTAGCACTACACTTTAATACCGATCCAGTATCCAATATCGATTATACATGCCGCATATTATCAAAACCTCCACTTGTTGGTGATTTGGCATGTACATTTACAGGATACTTTGCCAATATACAAAATACATTCTTCGAAATTTCTATCCAACCTTGATTGTTTTTTTATAAACTCTCTGTAGGATTTTTGTGTGATCCTTTATGCTGATCTTTCAGGTTCGAAGTGAATGTAGCAAGTGGTTCTAATCTTGCATTGCATGTGTCCAGCCGTTTCGACGATCCAATACATGGTCGGTACATGGTTTTTAATAAGAAAATTAACGGCGCGTGGGGCGACAGGATTGGTCTGAAATACATGCCGCTTCACGTAGGCGTCCCGTTCATCATGGACATCGTGTACAACGGATCGGTTTTCGAGGCGAGTTGCTCTTTATCAACACATTGACAAGCAGATCCCACTTTTAAGGCAGTTTTAATCTGATCATTGTGTAATATTTTGACTATAACAATAATTTTGTTTTAATCGCACCGCCTATATTATCAAAAAATCTTAATACTGTACAAAATCATGCATAGCAGGTGAGTGAGTGAGTGAGTATGGTTTTACGCCGCTTTTAGCAATATTCCAGCAATATCACGGCGGGGGACACCAGAAATGGGCTTCACACATTGTACCCATGTCGGGAATCGAACCCGGGTCTTCGGCGTGACGAGCGAACGCTTTAACCACTAGGCTACCCGACCGCCATAGCAGGTGAGGTGAAATAGGGTTTAACGTGCAAGTGACATGCATGTACCCCTGTGTGTGACTGCTTGTTCTAATGGTTTTATAGTGCTAACCCACTAAGGTACCACGCCGCAGCTAAACAATCATACACAGCCGAGTTTATGTTATCCTCTTTTATGCCGAGCACCAGGCAGGGTAACAACAAGTTCCATCTTTTAACGCGTTTTGGTATGACGCGGCCGGGGATCGAAACCCAAACCTTCCGCTTTCCGTGCAGACTCTCAAACGAACTAGATCACAGAGGCGTTCTGTTTGTATGAAATAGGCCCTAGCAAAGGGGCGGTTAAAGTGTAGATTGCTGGTTACAATGTCTCCTTAGAATGATTATACCTTGAAAGTTACCATCTAGGAAGAGTCTGCATCACATAAAAAAAATACCAATAAGTGTTGAAAGATCAAGTGAAATAGTAAAATTGACCAGAGACCATATACCGTATATGGTCTCTGATTTGACTGATCGGTGTAAAATATTATGTCCGATGCATTTCCATATTTTGACTTGTGCCATATGCTCCCGTGTTTTGTTTTTTAAATAGAACAATTGACTTGCACTTGCATGTGTTTGTGACTGTAATCACCTTATTGCAAACACCAGGTATCATCCCTATTTCATATGTTATATAATCGGAATCGTACAATGGATTAAAAGTAGAATATTTCTTATAATTATGGAAATGTTTTTTGTCGCTTTAGTAATATTTGCACATGCGCAATCTTAGCGATTCTCAATGTTGATTGGTCAGTCGAAGCGATATGGCGTCACATTGTCTCTTTGTTGTGAAGAGGCACGGGTGACACACTGAGCTTAGGCGCCGCAATTCGTTGTCCAGAGTAGCCTCCCTTTGGCGTGCAAGGAACCTTTGATTTTAGATCCCGGTTCGCCCTGACTATGTTTTTCGGTTTGTTAGCACCAAACCATGGTTCTAGGTTTTAGCAAAGCGGTGGACGCTGGAGGCCCCCCACGTCTACCTGACACGTGATATAACTGAAATAACGTTCAAAGCGGCGTTAAACCCAACTCACTCACTAATTGTTTAGAACATGTGACGTTACCCAGTTGGGTTTTTTTTTTAATGTTTTTTAAAAAAAATAAAAAAAAATTTTTTGACATCATTGATGACGTTACCCAGTTCTTCACGCCATGACAACTTGAATGTGGATATTGTCACATGACATATATAACACATCTACATGCCAACTTAACTTGTTTGTCCTTATGGTTAGGTGTACGAAACGACGCTTCGAGTAAGTAATTAAACCATATATTGATTGTATGCGTATCACAGAGAGTGAGTGAATTGAGTTTAACGGCGCTTTGAACAGTAATCCATTTATATCACGGCGTGTCAGTTTGATATGGGAAGAAAGCGGGTTTCAGACGTTTACCAATTTGGTGAAACTTACGAGCACGGGTATGGTGCTGACAAACCTAGAAACATAATCGAGGAGATCCACGATTCGAACCCACAATCATAGGTTTCTGGCGTGCCCAAGGGACGCAACTCTGCACAGCGAATCGCGGCGCCTTAGACGACAGCACCACCCGTGCCCCCTACAAATGAAGAAGGCCATATCGGTTTGTCAATTTTATGTTCAAGACGTCGTATATATAAGGTATGACAGAACATGTGAACATCTTAACTATTTTAACCCAACAATGAAAAACATCTTTATCCCGTTATCAAGTAAGTGATGCACTGACTATGGTTGACAAGCATAGATAGATAGATAGATAGATAGATATTCTTTATTTCCTCCATTTCATGAAGAGTACAAGGTATACAGTGAAAGGACAACATCTATAGTATAAATGTGCACACACACATACATATATATATATTACATATATGTCAGAAGTAGTTCATATACATAATATCATATTGATTATTTGTGTTATTAGATAGACAATTAGCATGTGTTATTTACAGATGTACACTTGTTTACAATACATACATTGTTTAGTATAAGCAGCTTCGGATGACTTCATCCCACTTTTTTACTGCACCACCAATATTTATCATGCTCTCTGCCCATACATTGTAGTCTAATTCTACTTCAAGTTGTTCAGGTAACCCGCCAAGCAAAAACGTCAGAAAGGTGTCATCGTCTGCCCAGATTCTCACAAATATTTTAACATCAAGCAAATCAATGATTTTATCAAACATGATATTTCTTTCTTCTAAATTCTTTTGACATGACATGAAAACGTGTTTCACTATATCATTCGCAACTGTTCCACAAATACATTCCTTTGATTCCATTGGCATTGAACCTAAGCGAACTAGCCTAGCTAAGGAAGTAAAATATTCTGGTCTATCGAGAGCAAGTTTCCATAATCTATGTTCTCGTCCAGATCGTATTGTTAGATATCTTGACAGAGATAATCTGCTCAGAAACGCATTGTTTAGTAATTGTTTTTCGTGTAGGTGAATCTTTTCTTTCACCAGTTTTGACCATAATCGTTT